AAACGCTCCTCGAACGCGCCAAATTTGCCAAGTATGCGCACTCATTTTGCCGCTGTGCCATACAGTGTGGAATTTGCAGATCATAACAAATCAATGTGACGTTACATGAAAGAGGTAAATCGAGCACGTCTCAAATCTGACATCCAAAAAAAAAATCGCCCCTTCCTTGTTAAATACACCGCTGACCCTACCTTGCTGAGGCTCGCCGGCAATCAAGAACTAATTAGACCTGTTAACAGAAATCTGCAGTTCTGGAACATGAGGCACGCGTAGGTAAAAAGCAATATATATTACTACCAAGCGAATTGACCTTTCATAGGATCTGGGAGTGTAAAGGGAATATTTCAAAAATGATAACATTACAGTGCTTTTTCCTACACCCCTCAACACCTTGAAATAAATATTTTTATTGTATAAACTACGGTGTTATTCAAGGATTTCCAGCCTTAAGAAAAGCCGAAACGACACACCTGAAAAAATACCGTATTTTTTCACGTGTGTTTTAATTTGATATCGCCAATCAGCTGCTGACACGTCTCTCACCTTTCTTCTTTATCTATAAATATACTGTTTTGAACATGCTTTGAGGGGTTCAAGTCCCAGAGAGCGCCTTCGCGTTCATTTATTCCTCTGCGCCGCCTTATGACATATGTGCCGAAGCCTCTATTTTGCGCGAAATTATGCTCTCATATTTTCCCGCAGACATTATCTGTTCCGAGAAAAAACATTTTGAGCTGTATTTACTATCCTTAATATATATTTTGCAGTGCGTGGGACAAAATATTAACGATCAGCTAAACGTTTACTGTGTGGGATGTTTCGCATAATTCAGTGTTCTCTGGTACGACTTTACAGACAAAGAAATATTTCTGCTCTTCTCCAAACGCTGTGTTAAATTGAATTAAATTTTAAGCGCAGAATTGTCCTATTGGAAGTAAACTTTTGAAACTGGGGAATATTGCTTGGGGAATATGTGGACAATAGCCTCTACTTGGGGCGAAAATATGCACGGATAGTTGTTGATAATCTCCAGCATTTTCGCTAACGGGGGTAGTAGATTTATAATAAATTTAAAGCCTTCGTAAACCGTTGCTTTACATGCGGGTCGGCACACCACACCAGCGTCTTCATTATGCCCACACTTGTGAGCTTCCCATTCTCTTGCACTATTCCTCCCATTTCTTAATGCGTTGCGGGTAAAGTGTCACGGGCTGCGGTTAAATTGCTACTGATGAAAGGACTCTTCTTAGAACAGTTCTTTTTCTAAGAATTTTAAGACTACGAACAAAGCTTATTTGCCATGTGGTCAGTTCAGAAGTGGGATCTATCTTGCTGTATTGTGCATTAAAATGGACTATGTAGCATTTGAGATCGCTTTTGCTACTCAAACCATAACTTAATGAGATGTAATTTGCTTGAATCAATGATTGCAAGATAGTCACCAAACTCTCAGACGAGACTGCTTCTACGCTTCTAATCTTCTAGAGAAGGGTCAGAGAGAAACTCAGAGGTAGACTTCCATGGTGAATTATATCGTGACGCGCAAAGGTAAAAGTTGCCATGGAGCGTGAAAGTGAAATCTCAGGAATTGTATTAGCACCTTTCTGGCCCCTTCTTAATACCGCGTAGTGAGCACAAATCTTAAAACAAACAGTCACAACTCGATAGATCCCTTCTAACAAGGCGACGTTCACTTACAAAAATTACGAGGTGACAAAGGAGTACTCGGGTTTTATACATGGCAGAGATTTTTTAACTTGTGCAAATGTAATTCAGTTTTGAAAAAAGAACTTCAAGGGATAAAAGGTCGATTGTATCAAATAACGTGACTTTTGACAACTCACAGTCAGTAACACCTTAGACTTCGGGATTTACACAAACTGACAATCGTATCGAAGCGCAAGGGAAGAGGATAGAAAAAATTTCTAAAATATAACAATCAGGAGCTCATGGTCCCGTCTGCTCTGGATCGAGACATATTCAGTACGGATTCTGCTATTCATCAAATCTCACAGGGACTCGATAAATAAAAACCACCGTGATCGCCGCCATATTGAATTCTCTTGATATTCTATTGTTCCGCAGTGTAATACGATATACCGCTGATAATTGTTAGCGGGCTCGAAATGTCCTTGATTTCTGGCGATGTGAACTCCTCTAAAAGCTTGCGAACCTCTCAAGCAAAGTAATGCTGATCTCAGAAGTACAAAGGACACTCTTGCCCTAATCCATAACATGGTAGTAGCATAGCTTTCGCCCTTCTTTGTAGAAACTAGCTCAGCAAGTCGACCATGGTATCGTTTGCATTCACCACTTCTGTGAGATTAGAACATTTTCTGATCGGCTCTATCCACAAACCGTCCCTACTGACTTTGATTCTGATTTGTTACGAAGAAAATTTTACAAAGAAGCAGAATCGTTGGCAACTGAGCCGCGTAAATATTGATCATCGACTTGACCCATGTAGTACACAAAGAGGTCAGTGTTTTTGTGTGTTCCATATGAAGCTTTACCTTAACGGAAAACTGTTTAGCAACTTTATACCAAGAAACGACAGTATGCCACACATTGAGTGATAGCAGTGGATGATGTTCTAAATTTGGTGACGCAACATCTTATAAATAATTTGTCGCAAAGCATTTTACCTAAGTAAATAACCTTTTATCCCGCAAAATCGAGAGGACCAACCGCAGAGAGACAACCATTAATTAATTGGGATAATAGTTCGCTTTTTGTCTATAGAGTATTGATTTCAGTATCTTATCGCCTTCCCTAATGAGAGCCCCATCAAAGGTTGCTTTACGAAATGCCTTAAAAAGGGCTATACGTCAACGATTATCAATAAGAAATAAGCCACCATAGCGAGTTTTGTCATTTTGAACGATTGACACGTCGAGCGTTAACTGTTTTTCAGAGCAGAGCAGAGGGCTGAGAGTCATAATCCACCCATTAATTTTTGCGCGATTTTGTTGGCTATTTTAAGTCACGTGGCGGAGAATTAAGAAGCCTTCAGCCTTTAGAGACACTACATAGTTACACTTTACCATAGCTCATTAATGACCTCAGTGATGAATGTGCGCTTAAACTTAATTTAAATGTTTTTTAAAGAGCTTCTTGATGTATACCATCTCAGCTCTTGCAAAGTTAATTCTCAAAATCAGTCATCCCAAATACAGTTTAATGCTACCATTAAAGGTTGAAGTAAAACGCTTTAAAGAATCAGGGAATAACACCACTTGCTATCTGTTGGTGGGAATAACATTGCGAGAAGGATAATTTCATTGAATTACTGTCGAATATGCAACGGCTTTCTCTAATTCTGATAAGTCCATTTTTATGCTTGCTAGAGATGGTAATACAACATACTCGTATCGTTACTTTACCTTTGGGTCGGCATACCACACCAGCATCTTTACTATGCTAACAGTTCTCAATTCCCCATCCTTGGTGACTGCACTGTGATATGGATTTCTCATTTCCAACACATCTAACGTCATCCAGCCATATCTGACCAGTTCCTTGTCCAAACGCTGCCTCTCTAGGTGCTGATAAAGCTCCATCGTATCCAAGCTGGCGACAAACTACATCAGCGTCCTGTGAGTCCCATAAGTCATCACAAATGGTTCCCCATGTATGATTATAAAACACTTCAACACGACCAGATGACGGTAGATTGGTGGGGCTCACCAAACGAACTGTGGGTATGAGGATAAAATTTAGCTAGGCATAGGGAAGCCAACAGCCAACATCGGCTTATAATTGTAATTGCATTTGACCAGATCGTTCGATGGAATATACGAAAATATGAAAAGAACGACATTTGAAATACCCTTTGAGAAAAAGGGGAAATAAATTCGCTCTGCTAGCATCATGAGGTATGAAAAATAAAAAATTGAGAGAACGAAGGAAAGTTTATGTATTCTAAATTAGATACGATGTAGGAGTATCACCTCCTTGCCTGCTGGTCAACGAACTACTCCAGCGTCTTAAGTATGCCCAAATTTGCAGACTTCCCATCGTCCGTGATGGAAAGGTTAACTTCATTACTGTCAAACTTTGTAACGACTTTCTCGCATTCTGATCGGCTCTTTTTTACATGCTCAGTAAAAATGGCAAGAAAAAGTGCTCGTATCGTTTTTCTACCTACGTAAGCGAGTTATTACCAAGGACGTGGAATCCCCAGAACCTTCAAGAATGGAAAAACCACGCCCTAGAGAAGGCGAACAAAGTACATGGTCGCACTGCTCACTACCTTCCTGAACTGAAAAATGAGGGCATCTTCCGAGTGAAACCATTTGAGAAATGTGCACGAGTGATTGACGAAGAAAAGCCAGCTTAAGAGCTAATGTCAGCATGCATCAGATAAACAGCGGCAAGTCACCCAAAATTTGCTTTCACCCCTACTTTTATATTTTGTAGCCCAATATGTCCTGATAATTGTGGTGTAGTTTTTTTGTGAAAATATATTTTAGTTTTCGAGAAATTATTTTTTCGTTCGACCGCTCAAATATGCAATTTTTCACCGTAAATATTACCCGAGTTGTGCGACCTCGTGTAACGAATACTCTTGACCTCCGGTATTTCTGTCAACATAATTCATCGTTTTATCATCTAAACTTAATCCCCTGTCATTATTGAAGCTGGCAAAGTCATATTTATATTTTGGTGAATATTTTTGTCCGACATACTTTTCCTCTGTCGAATAGTAGCATCAAAACAGAGAATGGAGAGAATGGAGAATGGCACTCGCTCGATTGGTCGATTCCGATTGTAGGCTTTTGAGTGCATTTAGCAGTTTTTGGCGAGCAATAAACAAACGAAATGGCGACCTTTGTTGCTAAGAATGGTGGTGGGGTGAAAAAGAAGCCAATGATAATCTTAAAAGAGTTTTTTATTTTCGTTTTAGTTTCAACAAGCGGCGCCAGCGACTGGCAGGCATGCAAGGATTCACACTGAAATAACAGAACAACCTTCATTTTTCATAAAATTGTAATTTACAATCCTTGAACTTGAAAACAATCCGAGGATTCATTGAAAATATCACTTACCGCGAAGCGGTCGGAGTTTACAGATGTTCAAAAGCTTTTTCTGTTATGGCGTGAGATTGAGGACAAAATCGATCATTACGTTTCGTATCGTGTGTTTTTCCTGTGTGAAGCAACAAAAGATGCCGGCGACTGACGAAATTACAAGTTATCACGAAAATCAAATAACACCTAAACAAACAATTTTAGCTACCGATTTTCAGTGAATTTTTAAAGAACAATTTTCTTTTAAGTTTCAAGACAATTTGGGGATTCAAAATAAATATTACGTACTAAAACGCGAAAGTTATACACCACAAAATTGATAAATAGGCCTGAAATGAAATTCTATCTTGTTCTTGATTATACGTTGCCTAGCACTTGACTAAAATCTACCCAGGCGGAGATCCAAAATGACGGTGGCAGTCTTGGCTTAGTAATATCACTCAAAACTCATTCCCGTTTGTCTCATTTGATAAAGAGGGAATCGTTAATGTTTTCATTATGACAGTATTGCCTTGGTTTTTTAATATTTACAATGATACACAGTAAATTTCACTTTTCACCCACATGTTCTTCCAACCTTTTCTTTTGAACCAGAAACAAAAATGATATACGTTTAAAACACGACATCATCCACCCTTGTCAAATGTAATAGCATGATCATTTCAGTTATGCCTTCTTATCCCAACGTTACTTTGTTTCTTTGCTGCAAACACTGAACTATTGCTCTTGCTCTAGATATGACAATCAACCACAAAATTCCCTAAACCAGATAACATTAAACATAATCCAAAAAATCATGTGTGAATTCACGAGTTTTCTCACAGAGCAGTTTGATTCCTCTTTGTATAATATCTAAAAAAACCTTTCAGGAACTACCGCATTCAGAAAACTAAAGACGATCAATGATTCCTTTGCCGGCCGAAGTCAAAGAATGGTTACAAATGTCAATTTGATTGACAAGCTACATACAGATTTAGGTAATTACCTGTTGTGTAAGCGTCTCATCTTACATGCTAACATGGAAATTTGCTGTTCATTTAAATCGTTCGCTGGTGGAACTCGAGGGTTTAGTTATCGAGAAGACCGAAGTTGCATATCTCAAGTCGTTCCCTTGCATAGTTGTAAAAAAGACATTTCAAGTCACTTGCGGAGTTGCAAGTTTTCAGATTCAGAAAACGAAGTTGATCTTATTTTGTCGCTTGCCAGTGTCCTAGCGGATTTGGACCCCCCTCCGCGGATTTGGACCCCCAACAAAACTAAGCGAAAACATCATCCTTAACGTTCTAGTAAAGATGGATGATACTTTACGTTCCAGTGCGCACTAAAGTATGTTTTTAATTCAAAACATGCGTATCGTTAATGCATACGAACTGGCATCCCGTCGGATGTTTCTTTTGACCAAGGGAAAATGGGCAAGAATTTAGTTTAATGTAAGGAGAGAGGTCGTTTTTGAACCTTTTCCGCGATAGTCGAACGCCGCTAGATTCAATAAGAGATAAACTTGTGGCACTAATTTATTTTGTCATTGTTCAATGCCCGAGTGTTGGGACGACATGGCATAGTGCAAGTTGTGCGAGGAATGGTTACACATGAGCTTCGAGAGATTTAAGACTGCCCCGGAGGGCGAGTGGCTCTGCATTGTCTGCAGATCGCCAGACTCTACACGTCTTCGTAATTGTTAAGGTGTTATTTCGGATCCCTCAACAGTTAATAATAGTTAAAATTAGAAAATAAGATTGAGTTCGATGTAATAGTCTCCACTTTAGTTAAGACGTAGACATCTAAGTTGATTTGCATCTGAAAATAAGCTGAGAGTTCCAATAGTTCAGAATAGAAACATTTTTACTTATCATAGGCTTTACGAACGACTTGTAGTAGGAGTAGTTTCTTCGTTCTTGTTCAAAAACTGTTTAATGTTATTATTTTAGAAAATCAGACTGAGTTATTTTTGTGACTGGACGCAACAGACTCCACTATTTTTATGACGTTTCGTACCAATGTTGATTCGCATCAGAAGAAGCAAAGATTTGTTGTAACTATTTCAATAGTTCGAATGCAGTAGTTTGTTCATATCGAATTCTTGCGTATACGGTACAACTTGCTATAATAAATGCGGTAGAATTGGAACGAAATGGCCAGTGTTTTTTTTTATTTTTTATTTTTACCTTTATTGAGGAATGTTGTGTTGTGATTGAGAAGAACATCGACAAAAAGCTTGCAAATAGAATTGTGTAACCAAATATGTTACAAAGGATGCTTAAAAGGAAAGTTTGGTAGGGTTTGGTCCAAATCTGTGAAGGGGGGTCCATATCCGCTGTGACACCGGCATCTTCGAGACGCTAACAGATATCGATTATTTTGCAATTTGCCCCACACGTAGATATTGGGTAGAGTTGTGGTTCCAATAGTAGATGCAGAGTGCCTAAAGAGGTGTCCGGCCATTGCAATGGTAAGGTTAAGTCGATTGCAAAAGCCGATAGGGGAATTGGCAAGCGTGTATCACAGGTAGTACTCAAGATGTCTGGAGAATTCATACAGCCTGGCTGTAGTAAGTAGGCTACTTACCACCGTGAGAAAAATTACGCGTCCCGTCAGACCCAAGTCTCGATTGGGAATCGGTCAATAGGCTACCAAAAATCCAGGCAGAGGCGGAATTTTCTATACTAATGTCTGAACACTTTGTTCGCTTCCCGCCGTTTGGCGGGACGCGAACGGTGCGACAAGTAAACGGTGCGACAAGTAGGCAGGTAAATTTTGCCGGACTTTGAGTTCGTATCAAGATAGAGCAACACAATTACACAAGGAAATTTTTACAGTAACTTTAAAAGCTCGAAGCTCAGTAGATTCTATCATATCGGTCATTGTTAAAACTGTCTTTGTTTTGATGTTACTTTTCGACATAAGAAAAGTATGTCGGACAAAAATATTTACCAAAAAATAAATATTTCTTTGCCAGCTCCAGTAATGACAGGAGATTAAGTTTAGATGATAAAACAAAGGATTATGTTGGCAGAAATACCGAAGGTCAAGTTTATTTGTTACATGAGGTCACACAACTCGGTTAATACTTACGGTAAAAATTTGCATATTTGAGCGGTCGAACGAAAAAAATCATTTCTCGAAAACTAAAATATATTTTCCCAAAAAAAAAAAAATACACCACAATTATTAGGACATATTGGGCTACAAAATATGAAAGTAGGAGTGAAATCTAATTTTGGGCGACTTGCCACAATATTTCAAATTTGTGCTTTGCATCAGGCTGACCGTTGAAAAGAAAGTGATTTTCCTTTACACAAAAACCGATGGAGCTTTTTTTTTCAGAGCTCAGTAGAACCCCTGTTTTAGTCCTTACTGATGCGTATAGTATTGTCGAAAGAATTTAAAGCCACAGTTACTGTTGTTCCCTCGCTAAGTAAATAACCGATGAAAAAACACAACTTCACACAAAGTCGGCCATGTGCCTTCTATATTTCTCTCTCCCTATGCTCTTTTGGTCATTGTTACGTAAAACATGACAATTACTTCCAAGAGTGGTTGCTGAGCGCTCATCGGTTGCTGCTGCGGATGTTAGTTCTTAAAACCAGTCTGCCCGTAAACTAAAGATATGTTTCTCAGACGTGGAAACAGATGCAATCACTGAGTCGATCGTGTGTTGAATCTTTGGATAGTGTACCCGGCGACCTCTTTCGATCTCGATCTGTGGATCGAGTTTTGACTGAGAAGGGCAACTGAGAGAAATCGAACTCACGCAAACACACCCTCACAAAAACTGAACAGTCATCACGTTTTTCAATTAAAGGAAAAAGCCTTAGAATTTTGTCTTGTAGGTGTCTATACTAGAACAGCAAGCTAAACACTGTTCTATTCGATTGCTGGTAGAAATTTTATGTCGACTGCTCGGCTATTCACTGGCCCAAAATGTACAAAACATGGCAATGAACTAGTATCATCTCCTTCAATCTCAACTTATTCGATTGTCATTTCTTGGCCAAAGTTCACCGAGAAATTGTTTACTTAAACCAAAGATGGGAATCGCATAAGTTGATGCCCTGTTACACTTACCAGTAACACTTGCTGCTTTCGGAAGAAGCACCACAGCACCTGAAAGAGAAACCACGAAAACTTATTTTTGGATTAACTTTTCCAGACCTGTTATGTGTAGCCTGCATTGCAGGCGTCTTATCAGGGATAGTTAACTTTAAGAAACACGCGATCGTTTGTTCAACTGGTCATGTTTGATTTGGAGATAGGGACAGCGGTAGCAGGGGAGGGGTGGGGGAAAAGCGAAAAGAGAAATTATAAATTATATAGTGTAGAACAAACGGTACAAAGAAATTCGATAAAAACGGTCGGAAAAGACAAGGCGTCTATGCAATAAAGGTAGGGAGGTTTAACACGTCATATTTCTCGCTTTTATTATCATGGTTATTTTTTCAACATTTTTTACAAATATTTTTTAAGGCACAGGCGAACGCTTAAAATTCAATCTAAATTTATCAGACAACCGTGTAATATTGAGGGAATTTCGACTTCAATGAACTAAAGAGAAATTTAATACCACTGAACAAGGAGATAGATTTCATACCGAGGAAATCAGTTTGGCTTGTACTACTCTAGTTAATACACATATTCAGGTTGATATTCTCGTGGTATTACATATTCCTGTTTATGACCTTTAAACCCCGAAATGTACGTTTTGGCCGCCTGCGTTGACGGTTGACGTTCATACAGAAGATATATTTATAGGAGTTAAAATTAAGTTTTTCTGTTTTGATACTAATAATATACATGGAAAAATTACTTTGTTCTGATTGGTTAAGATAAATGCAGTTTTCAGGTAATACAGAAGAGAGTTAATTCAGTGCAGAAAAGGTTTAATTCAAAGCATAGAAATTAACAAATCAGACATTCTGAATCATCAAAGAAACTCACAGATAGCCAATCAAATGCGAGCCTTGGATGTCGTAACAAAATTTGAAAATTTGAGAGCGAAACAATGGCCGCCGTTTTAAGTAGGTTTTCTAATTTCTGAGGTTTTCTAAAAAACTAATAAACGGTGATGTAAATGTAAGTAATGCTTCGTTTCACCTCAAAATTTCCAGAATTGTAATTTTTTACGTCGTCAGTTACTTTACTAAAGACAACAATCAGTAACTAGTAAAATGTAAACGTGGTTTCAAATAAAAGTTCAAGTGCTTTGATCATTGTCTTGATCAGTTTTTTAACTAATCGGAGCCATCTTGATCTTTGTTTTCATGGGGAATCAGAAGTAATGCACCTGACAAAAGGAGACAATCTTATTGGCTTATTACCTCATAAATAATTAATGGTCACAAAATGAAATAGCTCACAGACTTAAATAGCTCCCAAACTGAAATAGTTCCGCAAGTCAGCAGGTTTTTCATCATTCCTGTTTGATTTGTTTTTGAAGAAAAATTATCTATATTTATTATGTGAGTGTTAGCAGTGTTTGAATTCTATTACCGTAATTAAGCTTGAGACAGTCTCAAAGCGTGAAAACCTTCAAAAACTCGGACAGTTTACTTCCGCCGTTTTCTCTTTGATGTTTTTCGTCTCTGCTCAAGTTACAATTTCGTCAGTTTCGACGTTTGGCATGTCTACAAACCCTTGTTTATTTCTCTAGTTCCTACTAGCTATATATACATAGCTGACTCGGTGTTTTCATCGATACCTTGGTTACGAAATTTCACTTTCTATCTCCATGTGATTTGTTCTATTACTTAAAGTTTGATCTAGATCAATTGAAGTCGGGTGCTCGTTTTTTATGTTCGCGTTCTAGGTCATGCAAGCCTTGTGGGTCAACAGAAAAAAGAAAGAAAAAAGTTAAAAAAAAAAAAAGTGAGAGAAGTCCGGGAAATAGTCGGTCATTGCACAAAATGGTTGATGGCGAGATAAAGTTACTCGGTGCATCTGTACTCTGATAAAGCACGACGTTTCATCCAAATCAGAAAGCGTAAAAAAAAAATTTAACAAAAAGAAGTGGGTAAAGGCCCCGTGAAGTTTACTGAATTAAACAATTCGTACGCTTTCCCAAATTTTCCACATCGTGGATAAAAATCTGTGCGTCGCACTTTCCTTGAAGTAACTAGACTCATGCGAAAAACTGTTCGTGATCAGTCCTAGATAAGAGGCAGAATCTCTTGTAACCAAAATGTTATTAAGTTAACTTCTATTGCTGGCAACTTTGATAATTACAAACCTAATTATCTGATAAAGTCTGTAAAGCTTTGCTACATTATAACAGTGTAGTAGGTACATGAACGATTCCTTGGGAAAACGAAAAACGATGTCGTAGCCGCGATAACTTACATTAAATTTTCGTGTGAACATTCACAACACCAAAAGTAATAGCTATGGAAGCGAAAGATTTATTTGAAGGTTTGTGCAGTTCCAAAATAGTCCTTAAATTTTTGTCATTCGACTGTTGTGTTAACTCGCAAGAGGAACACGTTCGATACTAAGCTCTTGGTAACCGCCCTATATCCGATTTCGGTTGCGCGGGCTCAATCAACCTTTTGAAACGCTTCCGAAAAAGTGCGCCAAATATTAGGTTGTCGTTGGCTTGTTTTAATCTCATATGAGGCAGGAGATTTCAGTGGCAAATACTGCATTCCGCTCCAAGGTTAACTTGAACGTTAGGAGGGCATTAAATCTGGGTTGACATAGAGTGATTCAATTGGAATATTCTGAGTGTCAGGTTGGTTTTGTTACAACAATTCAGTGTCAACCGATCGACTGAAGCTTGAATCAATAAGAAGAGGTTAAGAAACTGAATCCTGCTTGATCGGACTTAACCTTCATTGGAGACATGCTGTTAACAAAGCTGTTAGGAGGAAGTGCTCTTCAGGAACTGATTGAACCCTGTTCATACTGTACTGATTGTAGGGACTGACAAATTTAATTTCAGTTGCAGCTGCAGAGCTCGAAGTTAGGATAAAATTGCAACTGAATGGGGCTGAATTATGTACTTGAAGGCTTCAGTTTGCAAAAGAATTAAGCTATTTTTGTGTGATTCATAACTGAGCATTCCCCTTCCCCTTTCAACTATGTTTGTGAACAGATAAGTACTGGATTGCGCAGCTAGAGAAGGGATCATAGGAAAGAACTAGAGGTTGCAATTGGCATGCTATTAATTCGTTGATGTTCAACAACTGCTTTTTTGCAGATTGTTACAGTCAGTAAATGGTATGGGGTATAATCTGGGAATGATATATATAACTAATACACAAAGAATGAGATATATTGATAAAAATTGAAAGTTTTTGATACAGTGAATGTTGATATAGTTGTTCATTGATAATTTGATGTATACATCATGATGTTGTGAAAATATTAAGTTAATTATATTTCATGTGAATTGTTTGTTAGAAAATAATTTTAAAAATGGGCTATGATTTAAAGGTGATGTGATATTATCATAAGAACAAGGAATGAGATATGTAGATAAACAGAGAATGTTGTTGATACAGTGAATGTTGATATAGCTGTCCATTGATAACTTGATGCATATATTACGAATATATAAGTTAATTTTGTTATATTGATCGTATAAATCAATTGTTTATATAACTCAACAAAACCCAGAAAAGGCATAGATTCTTTTCAATAGAATATTCAGACCTCAGAAGAGCACAAAGACTTTATCTGCAAGAATGCTTTTGAATGTGACTCTTCACACAAGCAAAGTCAATCTCTGGAGAAGAATGATCAATTTAAAAACGAATATTCACTCTTGGGTGAAGGTCAAAAATTCTTGTGAGGAGACTTAGGAACTGACATTCCTCGCTAGCAAATATTGTGTCTTAAGGCAAGACCAGTAATTCTTCTGATAAACTTGCTTAAAAAATGGGATTTTGCTTAAATGGATATCATCTTGGGAGGAGAGCAGTGTTTCCTCTTATATAAGAATACTTCATAAACTGGTTCCCGGCAAAACAATTTTGTTCTTGTGGGAAAAAACTAGTATTCTTCTAATAAGAATCAGACATACATGAGATTCTTCTCGTAAGAATTCTTAACCCTGGGAGAAGACCCACAATTCTTTCCTGAAATGGATATCATCTTGGGAAGTGAGCAGTGTTTCTTTACAGAAGAATACCTCATTAACTGGTTCTTGGCAATATAACTTTGTTATTGTAGGAAAAAATTATTATTCTTCTAACAAGAATCAGACATACAAGAAATTCTTCTTATAGGAATTCTTAACTTTGGGAGAAGACCCGCAGTTCTTTCCTCAAGAATACGATTTCTTCTCAGAATTATAATTCTCCTTTGGGACAAGAATCTGAAATGATAAATTCTTCTCTGAAGAGACATAAATCTTGGCAAAAGAATTTAATCTCTGTTCAACAGGGCCGTAATTAGCATGAGGCAAGACGAGGCCATTGCCTCGTCTTGATTTTGGCTTTTTTTTTTCTTAAGAAACGTTTAATTGAGAAAATGAGGGGGGGGTGCATGCCCCCAGACTCCCTTAGCGGCTCGCGCCTACGGCGCTCGAAACTTGCCTCGTCTTGTTCCGAAGTCTGGCTACTGCCCTCTTCAAGAGAATCGAAATTAAGAGTGATTTAGAGTGATTTTTAATCACTCTAAATCACTCAATAATCCGGATAATCGAGGGTCCGGATACTCGAGAATATGAATATTAAAATATTCATATTCTCGAGTATCCGGACCCTCGATTATCCGGATTATTTCAACAAGTTCGAAATAATCGAGGTCCGACTGTATCAGGCTCTTGTAAAATACCTATTAACAGAAACCTTTTCGTTTCAGGTTCGAGCGAATGAAGATTTCAATGATCCTTGAATAAAATTCAAAGGAGTACACCAGGGTAAACGCAGTGAGGTGCGAGTGTCGATTACCCGTGTGTTGGAGTTGCAGTTTAGATCGTTATTCAATTTCAACTTGATTGAGCCTGTCTTGCTAATGAGACTGAACGTGTGGTAGATTTTAAAACAAAACAGTTTAATTTTTCGCTCTTCACATTTATCGCGCGATAACAGACTCTGGCTTCGCCCCCGTCTATCATCATGCGATACTCTCGAACTATAAATTAGTTCGTTTAAATATACGTTAAAAAAATTAAGTTATCACATCGAAAAGTACTTACTTCCGCCAAGAAGAAACATGAACGCTCCAAGCTTCATTCCAAATACTTTAAAGATCCTGACAAGTAATCAGCTTCGCCGTCCACAATAGTTCATTTATAGTTAGTCACAATTATTCAGGGCTTACAATAGGAAGTCTCTGAGATGTGCAAATCAATTCTCTTTGTAATGATGTACAGTATTAGGATGCTTGAAGACCCAAGCGGTCGTGGTTACAAGGGATGACCCGAAAGGACCTCATTAAATATTCAAAACACAGACGTCAGACGACGTCTCTGAAGAATGTTCGGCAAATATTCAATATGACGGCCGAAAGTTAATGCGTCGATATCCTCGTTCACATTAAATCTATGTTCTTCTGCAAAGAATTACAATTCTTTAAGGTAAGTTGGAAGTTTCCATAAATGTTTGTTTTCATAAGTTTGTAGCGTGTGAAGGTTTTGTCGTGCATATCGTACAAACAAACATCTTTTGCCGTCGCTTATGAGACATCCCAGAATAAAATATTTATTAATTTTTGGAGAGACATTTTAATATCACATCTTAAATTTTTGTGACACAAGTCTTTACATCATGATTAAGCTGTAAACCATACCTACCCACCAGAGCTAGAATTATTAAAGTTAACTTTCCACATAGTAATGATCCCTCTGTGAGCAGGCCAATTATTTATTATCTCATATATGAAAGGCCATGTTTACATTGATTTAAATGTACAAGTAACACATTGCCACGCAGTTTTCAAACTGCGGACAAAGTTATTGAATGTGAACAATCTTAGACGAGATCAAAGAATATCTGAAATTCGTGCAGGCTGTATGTTTAAATAAATACACTTAAATTTTTTTAGGCCTCTCTTTTCACAGCTTAAATAATGTATATAACTGCTATGATATTTCTTTGGCAAATCAACTTTTTTACTAAAAAGGCATTTTTGCACTGAGAAAACAACTGTTACGTCAGACGTATCACATATAGGTAGGAGCTCTGTTTCATGTGTTCCATGGTCCATGTAACTAAGAGTTCAAAAGCAAATTAAACAGTTATTTCAGATTTAAAAGGATACCTAAGTTCAGTTCTAAAAAGGACTTCATGTACCGAAATAGAGTTCAGACATCAAACGATCTTTTGATCGTGTTCGAGTATTGTAGGGACCGTACTCTCAGGGCGGAAGTGTGGAAGTGACGTTTCACCTGGTACGAATTTCAACTTACATGAGGAAAAGTCAACAGAATCAGTAACGTTTTTACTCCACTGGCGGTTTTTTATTTTATCTGGGTAATTCGCCAATAATTTATTAACATTGTCCGACAAAGATAAAAAAACCCAGCAATTTAAAAACTGTTTGTTGGGCTATTGCGGAGGTACCTTACAATCAGGTAATCGCAGCGTCTTCTCAGATAACCACCTTAGTTGGGCAACTGAGCTTCTTAATAGTCCACTTAAACATTTTTCTTTTTGAAACGAAACAATGGTCTCCGTCCATCTGCAAGATAAGATGTTATTTTAAAAAAATTATGCTTGTTTTACTTTCTTTTTCTTCAAGGTTATTTTCTCACTTTTTTTTTTTTGCTGGCTACTTTTCTTTTCCTTGGCGTAACGGTCTACCACATGCTAACAGTCAGATACTTCTCTCCCAACGATGATCAATGGGCATCCGTCAAATTTTATCCTGTTATGTCCAGCCGCAGGATCTTCGAAGAAAACTTTTTTTTTTAAACCTCTCACCGTCAGAAGCCCATTGCTTAATAATGGGCTCCTTCCACCGTCTGCCAGTTTATTAAAAATTAAAACACAACAGGGGCAGTATTTCAGTCACGCACGTTGTGTGACAGTTCCCCAAGTTTGGTTTTCTGCCAAAAGGTGACATTTTTTAACGCATAGCCGTCGCTTGTGATGCCGAAGGTATCACCTTGCTGTACCTAGCTTAAGCAGCAGTTTGCTAACTTAAAATCAAACGTTTAAATTAGAAATCTAGTTCAGGGTGAAAGCGTGAGATTGAATTCGTTTTGCGTGAGAGCTCTATGTGCAGTTTAATGCAAAGCGATACTTATCTCGGCGAAGTGTTAGATTTCAACTTGATCTTTTCCAATCTTATCGTTGTTATTGTTTCGAATTCACGTAGAGGTTGGTATGCTTCATCCACTTTGTCAAAGTAGCCAAACGTTCTGTCTGTGGGCACAAAATCCTTTAATTTCCTAAATGGCAAATCCATTCCAGACCTTGCACACGAGATGTTTAATATTCCCGCTCTAATTTTCCCGCATTTTTTTTTTCGTCAGACCGTGGTTCTCCACCTACCGGAAGCGAAGCGTGAAATTTCACTTCCGAATCTTGTCAAACGTCAGTCATTATCGTCTACGAGAGGCCCTAAAAGGTCTTAAAAGGACCGAGGGATGAGTCAGAGGGACTCATCACATCGGCAGCGACTCAATTATGCATCACTCGCTTTAAACAATCGAAAGGGGCTCAAACGCTTGCACAATACAAAACTATACGATCATTGCGCTTTGTAATATAAAATATATCTCAAGAAAACATAAATGCGAAAGAGGAAAGTGACAGCGGAAACTTTCGGACGCCATATTGAATATTTTCCAAATACTCTTCGCCGTCTGACGTCAGTGTTTTGAATATTTGATGAGGTCCTTTCGAGTCATCCCTTTTAATCGCGACTTGAAACATTTTTCTAAAACACCCACCGACTGTATTCAAGGCGCTCAAAAACCAACTTTCCCTCTTTGCAGGCGAACCAACTTCACACGTGTGTTGACCAAAGGACTGAAGTTTGACATAGTGAACGTGTTACATCAATCGCTATACACTGAATGCAATTATGGAGGTCACTCGGACGGCCCAGGCCGAGTTGCACGAAAGCGAGGTCGTGGGGCCAGGCTTTTCCTTGTGTCTTGACTGTCACGAATGGCTGCAAGTGGGCTTACAGAGGACGATATTCCAGGAGCTTCTCTTGCCGGGAGATCACCAACAACATTAAAAAACGAAGAACTTCGATTCTGGTTAAAATGAAGGATTGAAGTTTGAAATAGTGGACGTGGTATGTCAATCACTATGGTCTCTGCTTAGGGAGAGTAAGGTGTACTCGAATTTGTTTTCGAGTTCGAGTTCGTGTTGGACTTCGATTTAAGTTTCGAGTTTTAGTTTAAAAATCCAATTTTGACACAAGTAAATAATTCGTCGCCGTATAATAAGAACTCCAAAGGGCTGATTGAACCTCGTTCTCAAGCAACAACGGTCAACTCTAATAGAGGCAACTACAGGCAATTAGAAGATGGTTATCCCCCGAAACGAAAAAGAAACTGTCCTATTTTTGCAGGTGAATCTGACCATGCCAAGGAACGTGAGTGAAAACTGAGGCGTTGTATTGTAATCCTTCTAACATCTCTTTAATATCACGTAATGAGCTGAAAAAAACAAACAGCCAGGCGAATTCGAGGTATTATTAATATTTTTCATTTTCCCACGAGGTTTAAGCAACAACATTGCGAACACTTACCAACGTAAAGGGCAGGGGTGTAGACCTCAAATTCTGAAAGCGCGCGCTGTCAAAATTTCGTCTGTCTTGACTTTCTGTGATGCCTTTTTCATGTAAATTATCAATAAGTAACAACATGATTTCTCGTGCAATTTGGTGTAAATAAGCACCTGTAATTTTTTCAAAGACAACAAGTTGCACTCGCCATACGGGCTCGTGCAATTTTGTTTTACTTATAAATGTCCTGTTTTAAACATGCTTTGAGGGGTTCAAGTCCCAGAGAGCGCCTTCTCGTTCTGATTTTATGATGCGCCGTCTTGTGACATATGTACCGTAGCTTCTATTTAGCACAAAATTATGCTCAGATATTTTCCAGCGGACATCATCTCTTCCGAAAAAAGAACAGTTTTGAGATGTATTTACTATTCCTAAAATATTTGTGCAGCGCGCAGGACAAAATTTTTTCGATCAGCCTAACATTATTGTATGGGATATTTATTTTCTAGCGTTCTCTGGTACGACTTTATAGACAAAGAAATATTTCTCCTCTTCTCTTAACCCTCTGTCATATCGAATTAGATTTTAAACGCAGAATTATCGTATTGGACGTAAGCTTTTGAAACTGGGGAATATCACTTGGGGAATATGTAGAAAATAGCCTCTATTTGGCGCGAAAATATGCACGGATATTTGTCCGCGTACATTGTCTGTTCCAAGATGCAAACAGTTTCCTGAGAGCGAAACTCGAGGAAAACTATCAGCTTCAATGACCAGATAATGTCTAAGGGCAAACATACCAGCATATTTTTGTGAAATATTGCAATGCGCGTGAAAAAATATTTACGAATAGCCTCCTGTTTACGGTGCGGGATTTCTTCTTTTGAGTGTTATCTGTTACGGCTTTATGAACAAAACAGATATTTCTCTTCTTCTGTAACAAACACAAAGTCTCTTTCATCTTGAATTAAATTTTAAACGAAGACTTGTCGTAGTGGACGAAGGGTTTGAAAATTGGAGAATATCACTTGGGTGATATCCTCTGATATCCCATAGTTTTAGCTCATATTTGGTCACGTGATGATATAGACCAATCGCATACGAGCAAAAATGTTTGATAGATCATAACATCGGATTTTCCCTAGCTTTAGCTGGGGCATATTAAGTCTCGTGACGTGTTCACATTAAAAAAATAAATATTTAGTTTTTAATAATCTCCAGCATTTTCATTAAGGGGATAGTACATTTTCAGTAAATTTAAAACCTTCGTAAACCGTTGCTTTACATGCGGGTCGGCACACCACAATAGTGTCTTCACTATGCCCACACTTGTGAACGTCCTATCCTCTCGCACTTTATATATTTCTCCCATTTCCTACTACGTTGCGGGTAAAGTGTCACGGGTTGCGATCAAATTGCTATCGGTGAAAGGAACCACCTTTCATCTCCTAACCGTTCTTTTTCTTATTTACCAAGTGTTCAGTTCAGAAGCGGGATCGAGCCGTTCTGCTTGCTCTATTGTGTAACAAAATGGGTTATGTAGCATTTGAGATCGAATTTGTTTCTCAAAACATAACCCGAGACGTAATTTGCTTGAATCAACGATTGCAAGATATTCATCAAAACTCCCAGACGAGACTGCTTCTACGCTTCTTATCTTGTAGAGTATAGAGAAAGTGTAAACTCGAATTCACTTGTTCACTTACAAAAATTACAAGGTGACCGAGGAGTAATTGGGTTCTACATATGACAGAGATTTGTAACTTATGCAGATGGGATTCAGTTTTGAAAAAAGAACTTCGAAGGACGAAAGGTAAATTGCATCAAATGACTTGACTTCTGACAACTCACAGTCAGTAACAGCATAGACTTCGAAATTTACACTAACTGACAACCGTATCGAAGCGCAAGGGGATAGGATAAAGCCCCATTCCAGGGTTGCCGTTGTGTTTCAATATTTTGAAATTTGTTTACTACTAATAGATAACCTACGATACAAAGATGAGAAGAAAAATATGGCTATAATCAGTCTTCAGAAAGGAATTATTAGAGTGATTTAGCAAGAGGACGGGAACATCATTTCAGAACGGGAAAGCGCGGGGATAGTCTGGACACGACTCTATTTCGACTTCCGGTGTTGGCTTTGCCGTTCTCCCCGACAAGTTCAGGACGTCATTACGCTAGTTTTCGCGCCGCGATCAAAACGCCTAAGATTTGCGTAAATTGTGCACTTATAGACGAGATAATGTTGTATGGAATGATTTCAGAACTCATTTCCAGGATAACCTGGTCCCATTCTTTGTTTTATTCGGTGTATTTGTAAAAATTTAGCGCTACATTTATGCTAGATTCCAAAAAGGAAACGCGATCGTTGGCAAGCGATCCAAGATTCCAGGGCTTAGTTCACTTTTAATTGAGCAAGGCTTAAAACAACGTAAAGGCTTTTCTTTGATACATTTCTTAAATCCTGTATGAAATCTCTAGGAATGGGATGCTGTTAATTTTATCATGAATTAATTTATTAATAAACTTGCCTCATGATGAAGTTTATCAAAATGAAATATCACGAAGCTTACTTTCTCTATTATTCAGTGTTATTTGTTGTTATTGTCATCTTTATAGCGATGAAAAAATGTTCGGCGAATTGAAGTCAGAAATAAAAAATTTAAGAAAAGTTCAGGTTTGCACTTTTTTACGTCTTAAACTTTTGATCAGCGCTGGTAAAAACTAAGACAAGAAAGTCATGCTCTCGCTACAAAAGAAAATGATTGCGGCACGGCTTTCTAAATCTATTAATTCGATTCAGTCTTGAACGACTTTATTCGTTCAAAAAAATAATAAGAAAATTGAACAAAAGCAAGCGTGCATGTACTTAAGATGCTAAACAGCAAAATGTCGGTATATTTGACTATGAATACGAAAACTTAGACGTAATAAAGCTTCACCTTTATGGAAAATGAAACTAAATTAGAATTAAATGTGTTATCTGACCGATTCGTAAAACTCCCTAACAAAGTAAGCACTTAAGTCGAGGATGATCATTCCGTGAAACTTATTGTGGCAAAATGTTCAAACAGTTCGCCAATCAAACACTGAGGACGTGTACCTAACTACACTATTAAATCCTCGACGTTTGCATACAACTTCTTGTCGTACATTCTCATGTTGATCAGCCTCTAAAGAGAAAAAGAGAGATAGCATTATGAAACTGAATGTGTTCCCCCTTTACGTTATATCATGAGTTATCCACATTAACTGTCAGGTAGCAGTATTTTTAGAATTACAAAACGTTATTGTTCGCTTTTTTGGGGGACATTTCAGTGCAATTTTGCAATAGTCTTATCATCTTTTATATAATGACCATAAAGATTTTTCTGTTGTTGGAACATTTTATTTTGCTTCTCATATACCGATAACAACCGATAATAACCTTTACTTTGTTTGCTTCAAGGAAACAACAGGAAGAAGCAATCCAAACTTCGCACAAATTAGAAGAGATGAGTACATATCAAGTTAGGCCATCTGAATGACAAGCTATGAATTTAAAGATACTCCAGCGTAAAAGCAAATTTCCATGTCCGCCATAATTCTCACCTTGTGTAGAGTTTCCTTGTCTTTAAGCTGATTTTTTAATTCAGTGAAAGTTGGTCTTTCATCTGGATCATTTTGCCAGCATCTCATCATGATCTGATACCTAGAATTTTTTATATGGAATACAGGATTATTTCATCTTGTGAACATCAAACATCAGTTGATGTGAAAGAGTTTATAGAATATTTCCTGTTGCAAGGAAAGAAAAAGACTTAATAGAAGCTTACAATTGATCATCCACGTGTTGTGGCTTAGGCATTCTGTATCCCTCTTCAATTAGGTTGGCAATTTTTTTTCCATCCATTCTTGGGTAAGGTGAACCGCCTGAAAGAATTCAACAAGACAGTCGGAATGTTAATGTCTTAAACAACGACCATCAATGAAAGCATCATCTATGTCATTTTGATGGAGTATGAATTTGTATAGGGAGTTGTCTACCTGAACAGAATGCATTGCTATTCGCGAAACCTGCTTCTCTACCGTTTTCCGTGTTGTTTTGCTTTCGCGTGTTAATTACCCTTGAGTGTTTGTACGTTTCATTAGTTGTGTACTTGTGGTTGATATTTATATCGCTACATGATGTTACGAAATTTATGTTGAAAAATTTGTTAAGTTTTGTGTATAGATTTAGTCCTGTACATTAACGTTTATGTCCACTTTTTAGAAGCAGACTCGTTGTTTATAAATGCTTTGTATAGTTATGCACATAAATCTTTTTCTTTATTGTGAGTTTATTTCTTGCATATGCATTTTCCCTCCTCAAGTTTAGTACCGTAGACGTGTGGATATTTTAAATAAATGGATGAGCACAAATACTTCGGTTACAAAATTGTTCAGTTCAAATACGTGTATGGCAAAAAATCTCTGCAGTCTCTTAAATTTCCATCAGACGTTACCTATGGTGAAAATCTCGTAAAGGACAACTCCATAACTCCATCTGCAGGGAGGCAAAGAAAACATGAGTAAAATGGCTGGCTGAAGACATAAACATTATATAAGACAAAACGAATATCTTTTTGACAAACTTTTTAATCCCTTTTTTCAGTGATAACATTTACAGGAGGAAAATTTATAAGTTAGTGCGCACTTCTTTCATCTTATTCCTAGCTATTGAGTCATTGTAGAATGTCTACTATCTCTAAGGACGCACGGCCGTTGTATGTGTACAAGTGTATTTGCTGCAAGGCCCCCTTCCAGTTTAGCCGTGGGTTCCAGTCGTTTTTAAGACTGAATTTGAGGCACAAAGTGAAAAGTAAGTATGCCAAATATCACTAGATTTGGAAACTGAATGGACATTTAAATCTTAAGGCGACGGAATTAGCTTTAGAGTTAACGATACTTCGATTCCCCGACGCAACACGAGTAATGGCTTGAAAAAGAAAACTGAACTTGCTGATCTCAAATGAGGCTTTGCGACGTTTGGACTCTTCTTCAGGTCGGTAATTATTATTTTTTCGAGTATTTTCGATAGCATTTCGTTAGAATCCTTGATGTAATTCCTAACATTTCGTGAGACTGGTAGGCGCAAGAAATTCACACATTCTTCGCTCTAAAAACAACATATTTAGCACTTCTTTGAAAAAAGTTTTAAACTCGAAATACTTCTTGTCATTATTGCCTTACCTTTTACTTATAACTTTCAGGTAGCACGCGACTATTATATCGTGGACAAATTGTGTCTGCTATGTCATACAACAATTAGTTAATGCCTGTAACTGTGCGTATATCGAGTTGTGGATGCACTTGGAAAGTCTGGGGAGCAGTCAAGAAGCAAGAATTGCTATCCACCGCCCCTAAAGGAATTCTTACACTTCTCTTGTGCTCTCCAAACTTCCCACGAACATCCATACCAATCCTTACCTCTATGTACGCACGCTAAGCATGAACCACTTGTTTAATAGACGTCATCTTTCACAATTATGATCAGATATACTTACACGTCACTTTTGGTGGTATAGGTACCATAAAACAACGCCTCATAAGCTGTCCACTTCACTGGAAGACGGCCCTAAAGATTTATGAAAGGGAACAAAAATAATAGTTAGCGAGAAATAAACGACAGTTATAGATGAAATAGCACTCGATAAGTATCCGTTATTTCCTTATCAGGTCCAATCCAGAGATATCCTGATCGAAAACCATAAACATGTCACCTCTGCCACGAGAGTTACTGTGTAAGGTGATTATGCTAAATGTTCTATAACTGAGTAGTCCCCATTTTTGTATTACCTTTGTTTTTCGTTCATAAATATTTTCCTGTTGCACATCTCTAGCCATTCCAAAGTCTGTCACCTTACACGTTTCGTTTTGTCCAACCAACACATTACGGGCTGCAAGGTCTCGGTGGATGATCTAAAGGAATTGATCGTGAAAGAAGGGAGAATCAGTAATTAAAAGAGGAACTGAAAAAAAAGTTCAGATCTAAAATTATCCGCTTTTAGCGAATTCAACAGCGCGTGTATTTCTTATAAGCCCAAGTGATAATAAATTAAAATGCATTAGTACTGTTACAGTTTCCAGGAGAATTGGAGAAAATTCTCTTTCGATAATCAATGAACTGTTGACAATTGGAAACTTTATGGGAGTCAGCGAGACCAGAAGAAGTCGAGGGTGAGGTACATCTGCAAGGCTGCACGACGATTGCCAACCGCAAATAAAAAAAATAATGTTAATAACAAAAAGCATGGTTGATAGCGTTGAAAATTGGAGGGTGCGCCCTACAGAAAAAGCTCTAGACCAAACGGTAAGAAAATGTTTGCAAAATATGAAATAGTATGCATGTCAGAAAAACTTACCATGACGGTACGCCCTACAAGGAATATTTTAGAATTAAATTACGTCTTTTGCATTTGTTAGTTAACTTACAGATTCTGAGGACAGGTAACTCATGCCATCAGCGATTTGCCAGGCAAACTTCATCAACTGCTGTGACGTCAGATTGGTTCGAGGTTTGATATCCGGGTCTTTGTAATAAGTGTCATTTAATCCACGGCTCTTTCTCAGGTAACCGAGCAGATCTCCAAAAGGGACATATTCAATCAGTACCAGGAGTTCCTCTGAAAACAAAGAAGAAAGCGTTTTCCTAAAAATTAAAGCGAATTGTTATTGCCTTTTTTGTAAATTACAAGGAAAATGCGTTTGGCATCAAAAACCTACATAATCAAAACATACCAGATTCCGTAACACATCCCAAGAGTTTGATGACGTGAGGATTTTTTTTAAGCTTCTTCATCGTTTCAAGTTCTTTCATCAATTCCCTTTTGTACGATACCTTAGCGTTAGCTGGAGAGTTAAACAGCAAAAGTTAATGATATGCAAAACAAAAAACACAAAAAAAACCGTAAGAAATGTCCTGAAATAAGTACATGACTCACCTTTGAGCATCTTAATGGCCACTGTAGTCGTATCAGGCCTCCCTTGAAGTCCTACTGCCGTTCCCTTGGCAACCTGTCCAAAAGCACCTTTACCAATTACTTTATCGATGGTAACGTGATGTCTTGGAACTTCCCAGGAGCGTTTTGCTGGATGAGGAAGCTCGTAACCTGGACTTGTACTTTGTGCTTTTCTATTATCTTTCCTGGCTTCTCTGAGACCCACGTACTCTGAAGAGGGCTGCCCGGGTGTGCTTGAATGGTGCTGACTTAGTTCGATATCTTGTAGCGTCACCACATTCTATCAAATCAATGTACCCGTTCAACTACTTAATAAATGGGTATGTAACAATAAAGTTTGGTAAATTTCTACAACAGGCCATACAAGGCAAAAACATTTTAAGCATTTTTATCTGACTCATGTTTATATACTTCCTTTCTTGTATCTTAAATCAATAAAAAACATGTTCTCCACCACTGAAAGGATCATGTTCAACGGATTGACCGAGATTTCTGGAATTATTCGAAGATTTATTTGGAAAACAAATCTCAACCGAAAGCAGACCTATGAATTAATTTATGTGTGAAATTTGGAACAACCGAGAAAAAAATCTAGTGATTAGCTTGACCTGGTCCCACGGCAAAGTCCATATCCAGTTATAGGTTATTAATCACATGGTATCTGCAACCCGTTTTAAATACATTCCTTCTGCATTTTTAGTAAAATCCTTTTTTCTCTTCCTTCAAAGATTGCCAATTTCTCGTGAATATAGCAAATTAAAAGTAAGATCACATACTTCCTCCTCGCACCGATGCAACCTTAATGTCTTAGCCGTAACTTACGTCGTAAACAGTTTTTTCTTCTTCATAAGTCCTACTGTAAAGAGAAATAAAATCATAATAGCAATAAATACTAAAACTAATTCTAATATTAAACAATAAAGAACTTACATTGCGCACATACCATACAAGTACAGAATGTATGTTCATATGCACATTAATAATAATATACTATATTGAGTAATTTAATAATGAACCTAGGGTAAGGATAACCAACATTGATGTAAATTTACAAAGTAAATTCCTAGGAACGTCTGGGAGAAAAAAAATCGCTAATAACTAATTAATTTAGTCATAGGCCCGCTTGAAAAGTACGTTTTAAGAATGAATAAATGAATATATGATCTTCGACGAAACAGTTGAAGTTAGATCCAAGACTTCGGCGTATATAAGCATTCCAAGGGTCATGATTTCGCCCAAAATCAGAGTAAATAGGGAATAATACATGGGCACGAGTAGATATGGAATTTCTCTTTGAGTGTTTAACTCGATAGCTCACGAGTGAGATGTCGTGTTGGCCACGAGAAGAGAAATTTCATATCTACAAACAACAGTGTATTATTTTGTTTATTACATATAAAAGCAATAGCCCTCTACTGAAAGAAAAGTTAATGAATGAAAATGTAAGGATCGGCAATCCTCGAATAAAAATCGAACAGTGTGTTGGCACACTCAAGATGAAAACATGACGATGAAATCACTACAAAAACAAACAATAGGCCAAATTTCCAATATGTAGAGAATAATACATGGGCGCGCGTAGATATGGAATTTCTCTTCGAGTTGAACACGAGAAGAGAAATTCCATATCTACAAGCAATCATGTATTATTTTGTTATCATATAAACTGGGAAGAAAAGCCGACTTCATTGATGAATGAAAATAAATGAATCGACAATCCTCGAATAACAATCATAGAGTGCATTGGCGCTAACTCTTAAGATGGAAAAATGCGTTGAATCATGATTACAAAAACAACAATGGTCATAATTTTCAATTTGCAAAATTCTCATTTATTGACTTTGTCCTTACCGAAAGAAGTCTTTTAGGTAAACGGCCAAAATCGGCCCGTGGCAAATCTTCCAGTTGTCGATTTTCATTCTCAGCCGAGAGAAATGTTAACACAAAAGCCACTGAATACGCAACTTTCGGTTTTTCTTTTAGTATATTGGTTTTCTTCCTCTTCTAGGAGAGTTTGAACCTCATTGTCTGTCAGCGATACGGATTTTGGATCAATATCAATATCTGGACAACTGCCCACCTACCCCTCTTTTCTAACCCAACATTTTGTCAATTGACTGTTGTTGAATTAGGGAAGAGGGGTAGGTGGGCAGTTGCCCAGATACTGATATTGATCCCAGATTTTTTAGAGTTTTAGCCGCCATAATTCGAGAAGGCTCCGACAAGCAACTTGTATTGAGAATCGTGAAGGCTTTGCCGTTCATTCATCAACCTGACCGAGTGGCGCTAGAGGCGAGTGACGTGTAAGCAGCTGTTTGGCTCTGTCAACAGACGTGAAAAATACAATATTTTTTCACGTGTGTTGTTACGACTTTTCTCAGGGCCGGAAATCCTTGTATAGCACCGCAGTTTATGTGATAAAAAAATCATCAGTTGCTGAATTAGTGAAAAGGTGAAAAAATATCATATTTTAAACCTATAATATACTTTATCATATAAACTACGGTGTTATACAAGGATTTTTAGATCTGATAAAAGCCGTAACAACAAACGTGAAAAATGTTTTTTTTTCCACCAGTGTTTGATATCGCCAATCAGCTGCTGACACGTCACTCGCCTTTCGCGCCACTCGGTTAGGTCGAAGAATGAACGGCGATGCTTTTACCATTCTCAATCCAAGGTCGTTTGTCGGAATCTTTACGGATTATAGCTGCTAAAACACTGAAAAATCCGTATCGCTTACAGACAGTGACGTTCAAACTTTCCTAGAAGAGGAAGAAAACCAAAATACGGAAAGAAAACCGAAAGTTGGGTATTGAGTGGCTTTGGTAATGGCGTTTCGCGCGGCTGAGAACGAAAATCGACAACTGGAAGATTTGCCACAAGCAGATTTTTGACCGTGACCTGAAAGATTTCTCCTGTCGCCAAGGACTAAGTAAATAACTGAGAAATTTGTATTTTAAAAAATTACGCCCATTGTCTGTTTTTATATTGTTTTAACGCAATTTTTCGTCTTGAGCCTGAACGCCAACGCACTTTAGGACTTTCATTCGAGGATTCTCGATCCCTTTATTTTCATTCACAAATAAAATTGACTTTTCTTGTCAGTAAAGGGCTATTGTGTTTATATGATAAACAAAATAATACATGGTTGCTTGTAGATATGAGATTTCTCTTCTCGTGTTCAACTCGAAGGGAAATTCCATATCTACGCGCGCCCATGTATTATTCTTTCCTACTTACCTCACGTGCTCGAGCCGAACTTGGGATTATTGGCCCTCGTTCGTTTTTGTACGTTCGTAATGCTACGACCTCGGGCCAATATTCTCCAATATTCCCTCACGCCAGGTCAATAAGAAGTTATTATCTACCCCAATGAATAGATAAAACAGAGAAAAAACAATATTTCCATTCTTTGTTTCTGGAGTAATAGCAGACAACAGTTTGAAATTATAACCATGGTTTATTCCCTGGATCTTAGTACCGAGAAGAAAGTAAAATTTTAGTGGGATCTTCCACAAATGAACACTTGTAAGTCCTTGTATAAATGGTCAGGTAATGAAAGGCTATTAACAAAAAAAAGTACGGAGCAGAAAATTCGCAAGAGCGCAAAGTTCACGGCAGCCATTACAGCGCTAATAATATACATGAAAAATTACTCAGTTCTGTTTGTTAAGATAAATGTAGTTTTCAGGTGATTCAATGCAGAAGAGGGCTAATTCAGTACAAAGAAGTAACAAACCATACATTCTCATTGGTGAATAATCAAAGAAACTCACAGTTAACCAATCAAATTCCAGCCTTGGATGTCGCAACATTTGAATACGCTGAAAATTTCCGAGCGAAACAATGGACGGCGTTTTAAGTAGGCAAGTCGCAACAACTGAAAAACAGCTCTAACAACGAAAAAACTGTGAAAAGCACTGCTTTTTAGGTGTCGCAACAACTGAAAAACAGCTCTAACAACGAAAAAACTGTGAAAAGCACTGCTTTTTAGGTGTCGGTTTGGAAAAAGTGGTGTTTAGAGAAGGGAATTGTCAAGGAAATCGAAATTACGGGCCAACCCAGCTTAACACTTTGTTCGAGCGATTCTACGCCGAAAATAAAAACAAACATTGTTAAACCTCAGAAAAGACGATTCCATTTCATCGAAAGGGATACGGACACAGACTGAACAATTCCTTAAACTGTTTAACCGGACTTTGAACTCTTTGCATCTTAAAGATGTGAAAATATCGTTGTATATTATTGTTTTGATCGTACGCGGTCTTTTTGACCGAACGCAAGGTTTGGTTTATTTTAGCACTTGATGCGCGCGTTTTGCTCTTGCTTAATTATGATAAGCTATCTCGTATTTGTTCATGTATATTATTAATACGTAATCACATGATTTTTCTCGTGCAATTTGGATTAAATAAGCACTTGTTGATTTTTTTCACAAATTGCACTCGCCTTACGGGCTCGTGCAATTTTGTTAGTATTTGAAAAATGTACTCGTGCTTATTTATTCAAAATTGCACTCGAAATCATGTGATTACCTCTACTAATATGCAAATGTTTATGAAATAAATTTTGTCACTTTTTTCATTTTATTTTAGGATGATATTTTATCTGAAGAATAATCTTAAAATATTCCATGTAAGAGCAAATTCTTACCGTTTTTTTTCTTTAGCGCCTAAGGAGGAGGAAAAAGAAAAAAAATTAGAATTCTTTGGGTGGAGGTAAAAAAAAGTTTGTCTTGCTTCATGACGGATCCTGCCCCCACCACTCTAACGTAAGTAATGAAATTGTTACTCACCTCTCCTGTGTAGCCAGATTATGTAAATTATCAGAAGAAGGATTATGAGGACAAGAATACCAATAAACGCTCTGAACATGACGTCGTTACTTGAGCCCTTGCCTTCTTCATGACCTAAATTAATTGGTTTCGTGAGGCTTAATGAAGCAATATTGGAGCAAGGTTTTACTTTAATCCTGGCAAAAATACTGCTCTAATGACATGGCTTGTAAACGAGAGAATGTGCACTTTGACTGTCTAAATACTAAGGCAAAACAGGGTGTTACCCTTCCTTTTTTAATTTGGTCTGAAACAGTTTCTTTGTAACATGTACCTTTGGATGTCAAAACTTGTTTTATTGAGTCTGGATCGACTTTAAAATCACCGAATCTGTCTTCCCTTGCAGCATCCGACAGAGAAGTCACAACATGGCTGAGTACTACACGCTGATCGAACCTCATCATGAAGTCCAGAACAACACTGCCACACCTAGATAGAAAAGTGTACATCAAAGTACCAGAAAGTCAAAAGCGATTTAAAATAATTTGTACTTCAGTGACATAAGTCACATAGGCCAGAGGTATTAACGTGCATTAAGCCAGGCTGAATCAAAATTAATTCAAAGTCGATCAATGTCGAAATTAAGAAAATCTTTTTCCGTCAGATGTCGATTGGTAAGTATTAACTAAGACTAACTTGAGCAGGAAAACAGGTTTAATGCAGAGATTCGCCTATTTGAGCTAAAGATCCCCCTTGAACAAAAATTGCGCAAGCTGGTTTAATTTAAGAAAAAAGCTGTACTTTACCTGGTGTTCACAGTGTTTGCGGATAAGCAGCCAAACTTCAAGACAATTTTACAAGCCTAGATGGACAAGTGAAAATATTAATCTATGTATACGACAAAAAATCGTGCTTTACAACTATTGTTGTGTTGCTGAAGTATATTGCAAGCAAAATAATGACTTCGTATCACGATCAAATAGGTTAACAAGCAATGGTCAGTGGTCAACATTATATACAGTTAATGTATGGTCCCTCGGGAATCAGTCAGTTTTGTTTTCCCGAGAGTCCTAATGTTTCCCGAGACGAAGTCGAGTTTCCCGAGGGACCATACATTAAGTGCTTTGTTATGTATTTAGACTTTCCCTTAAACAATCATACGCTGTTTTATTCGGTGCGCGGGCAACAATTACGCTAAGACTCCCGGTCAGGATATTTGATCAGGCGCACGTGACCAAGAATCAACCAATGACGGTGCTCGTTTTGTTGAGTGAAAGTCTAGGTTTATAACAAGATGAATTGATCATTAGTATCCCATAAATATGATGATATTGATCAAGCAGATTATCGCACCACATCTGGGAATTCTGCAGCAACTTCTAAACGTCTGTCACAGCTCTCCTGTACTGTTGCTGTCAAGAAAACTTCTGAGCGTCCTGAAACTTAAAAATAGCCGCATTCTATCAGAATTACTGAGAGAATGAATGCCCTTTATGCAGTGCTACAACTCAAAAATGGTTTAAGCTGTGGGCATATAAAAAGTTTTCAAATAAATCCCGGTGAAAAAGTCGTTCAGACAGAGTGTGTTAATAAGCTCGAGAGAAGATTTGACCTTTCACTTGTACTCTTTTAATACGAGGATTCATTAAGATGTAGACGATTCCCTTTCATAGTTATTTTGTAGGATTTGATTTGGAAACTTTTCACATGCTCAAGTAGCCAGGAGTACGACTAAATCCTGAACGAACACTAAAGCAAGATACTCCGATACAAGTTTCTGAGTATGAAATAAATTGATCGATTTTTATTTGAAGATAGCCAATATCATAAATTGAAAAATCTCCATCAAACAAAATTTTGAATGGATTTCTGATGCAAATAAAGTGAATACTTCTTACTTTGGTCATTAAACTTTTTTGGAGTCCCGTGAAGGGAAAAGGCAAAAAAACAATGTAACGTTTTATGAACTATTTCCTTTCAAACTAGAGATCAAAAAGAGGAAACGAGGTCGACAATGTGGAAAGGTAAAATAGAGTAAAAAAGGTTTGAAATTTTGACACGAAGGCTGATGTTGACATAAAAACTTCGCAAACGATTGCCTCAACTACGATACCTAACCTGTGATACGACTTGTTGGCGGTCTACAGTCTAAAAGGGTAGCCCCCGCCCGTCTGTGATACTGTAAGTTTATTAATCTCGTAATGTTTTACTCGCTTCAGTTCGTAACATCGAAATACAATCTCTAATTTTCAGAGTATAACAAAGAAAAGCTGTCACCTGCGGGAGTTGTTTGGGATGATGTAGTAACTGTACTTGATGCCGGTTTAACTGGGGAAGAATGACATTGGACTTTTAAACGAGACATTTCTAATTTTTTTTAAATCTATTATTATTATTAAGAACCAATTGATGATAAATGCAATATTTCAGGAGGCTCCGATCAGAGAAGCAGTTTTCAAGGTGGTTCCGCATTACGCGATAATATTCTAGGACTAGTATAACTATTAAAAGCCACCCAAAGAGTAAGAACAATGGCGATGCAAAATTGTCTGGGAAATCCAAAAACAGCACCTATTTCCAAGTGTTCAGCCGAGGAGCACAAGAATCAAGGGAAATAAGAAATCGTTGGTCGTGGACTGTTTAATGTCAAGTTTTAAACAATGTGACTTGACGAATGTTTAATACAATTATGGATGTGTGCATGTATATGTACGAAAATTATCTTCCCTTGTAGAATAAGAAGCGTTATAGCATTTTAGCTTTCTCAAAACTTCTTCAGATGAATACGCATTAGTCCCTCTTACAGGGTTAAAAACTCCTTTGTTCTCTTTTCTCCTGCTGAATAGTATGTCGGAGGAAAGAGAGCTCTAACATGCCATTAAAAAAATAAATATCAGTAGAATTTGCTGAGGCCTTGTACTTTGCCAACGACTTTGCTGACAATATTGCTGGCTGACGTCGGCCCCAGATTAAAAAAGTAGCTTAGATTTATCAGTAATCATACTTAAATCTATTTAACTTACCAACAAGTAGCAAAAACCGTACGGTTGCATTTCCCAATTCATTTTTTGCAAAACAGGTATACCATCCTTCGTCACTTGAAGCAACATTCCTAACCTCAAGAGTTGAGCAGTTAGTCATTTTTCTGCCGTTGGTATCATTTCCTTTGTACCACGTGATATCAGCAGGAGGGTTTCCAATATTTACAGGGCAACCAATAGACCTATCTTCTCCTAACTCCAATTTGATAATGGTGCTTGCCTGGGTAGCTGATGGTGCACCTAGAAACAAAAAGGTGAATGAAGAATTGCTCTCTCAGTGAAGGTGGATATTACATGGTGTGGTGAGCCTCGATATCAAAGGCCTTTAAGAATATGAAAATTATTACATTCTCTTCTTGCCTTTAAGCAAACTGTGCAAGCAGTTATTGAAGAATAAATTTATATCTGCCCTGATTGTATTTGCATTTTTTAAAGTGATATTTCTTTAATTAAATCTACTTAACTGATAAAAAAGAGACCTATAACGTGCTGATTCTGCCTAAGCCAAATCATAAAAATTAAAAAATTCCTTGTCTATTGATACATTTAGATGAGCAGTCTATTCCTTTGCGTATTATGAATAAGTATTCAGTTTCTTCGCAGTTAACACTAACATCATAAATATTCCTAAGTAAACATGTCATGTAGACAAGCTCCTCCAAGAATAGATATCATAACGATTGAGACAGCAGAATTGAGAGAATTAAACTAAAGAAGAAAAAAAAAGAAATGAGAAAGACCAAAACTAACAGGTGTCGAATCCTCAGATTCTCGTAAAATAGAAAACAGAAGAAAATGATAATATTTGCTGCCAGTCCTATGCATAACAGGTCACCAAAATGTGCAGCATGAAAGTAAGGCGTAGAATTTTTCAATTATGTAGATGTTAACAACATTTAAGTGAAAAAATGCTACGTTTTTAACTCTTCCCAACGAAAGTATTTCTTGAAAATTTTCAGTATCCCGACCATGGAGTAGAAAGAATTAAAATAATAAAATAATAAATAAATAATAAAATAATATTAAAATAGGACCGCGCGTATCATTGAATTTACCTTTAATCTGGTGGCACACCACACTAACATCATTTTGATGCCCACAGCTATGGCCTCCCCATCCTGCGTGCGGGCATTGTGAGACTGATTTCTCAGATCCTCCACACTGCACCCTATTCAGCCATATCGGGCCTGTTCCTTGTCCAAATTCTGCATCTTTAAGGGCTGATAAGGCTCCATCGTATCCAAGTTGGCGACAAACCACATTAGCATCCTTTAGGTCCCAGTGATTACCACAAATTGTTCCCCATATTCCATGAAACTGGACTTCAACACGTCCAAACGACGGTGAATTGTCGGGACTCACCAAACGGACTGTAGTAAATGTGTACACAGAGAAAAATATTATTTAAGTCGCTCTCAAGAAACATATTACAGTCTCCACATTTCGTGACTACTACTCTGACAAATATCAACCGTTTTTCTTGCGATATTTCAGAATGACTCGTCGACTGGAATTTTCGGCTTTTATCATATGTATTATGCCTCAAATTACATACGACTCACGTATCGTTGCTAAATTATGCTTATCTATTACCACTTATCTTACTAGAATGTGAACGCATCGAAGTCTGACAATAAAAAGCGAACTTGAATCTGGGTAACATGTCAGTTATTTTTTTTTATTCTCATTTCTAGCTTCATAGCCTTATAGGTCCTTTACATGAAAATGACAATGAAATTTATGATGGAAGTCCATCATATGCCGAGCTGTTAAGGTGACCAAATTTTAATTCAGATATTCCTCCTCGAAAAATTTAGTTTTTCGTTGGTCCGTATACAAAATAACTTCGGACCTGAAGATTTTGCCCGAAGCCGTATTTTCAAGACTTCTATCAAAGTGCAAATAACCCATATTTGCTATTATGAAATTTTCAAATCTGACTACTGCATTTTTAGTGTTCTGATTGGTTCAAACAACTGCAGTTATCAGCTCATATTCCGATTCACCTTATACGGAAATGCATTGTGAGCGTGTATCGCCAAATTACCTGCAGGTCGGCAAACTACGCCAGCGTCCTTATAGTGACCACAGTTATGAACTCCCAATCCTGAGTGACTGCAGTGTGATATCGATCTCTCATTTCCCACACATCGCACATCATCCAACCATATCTGGCCTCTTCCTTGTCCAAATGCTGCGTTACGAACTGCTCGTAAAGCTCCATCGTATCCAAGCTGGTTACAAACTACATTAGCGTCCTGTAAGTCCCAAACGTCGCCACAAATTGTTCCCCATGTACCATTGTATAGCACTTCAACACGACCAGCACGGGATAAATAAGAATTCACCAAACGAACAGCTATAAAGTGGACATAAAAGTTGACCAGTAGTTATTAGTAAACTAGTAAGAACTAGCATATTCAAATGTACTATCTTAGAAATTGGGTAAAGCCAGTCAGCTTTGCCAATCCGGTATGAGCAAACTTTCAAATAAAGCGCAGGGTTTAAGTGAATAATAATAATACTAATAATAATAATAATAATACCTTTTTTAATTTCAATAATCTTCAATAATCTTTAGTTTCCAAATAAAACTAAAAAATACCATATCAGGAAAATCAACTTCCAAGGGAAGTTCTTAAAAATTGAATGTGAACAATAGAAAACTGTCTTGTTAATAACTACAAATAACAATTTCATTTCTAAAATTTTACAAGCTAATAAATAATTTTTTGTAAAAATCATTTAGTAACAAACTAATAATAAAGAATGCAGTAATCCTCTGCTATAAATGCTTTATCTAAAAGTTTTCATTTACTTTTATTTCTATGGATCAAAGTCTACATTGGTATCATTTACATTCCACCGCCGTTCCACCTGTATTTTTTAAAATAAAGATGTTGATGTCGTCCTCTCGAGACGCTCACAGAAATTATTCACCCTTCGGCGGGAAACATGGCATTCGGCAAAGCTGTTTGTTCGCCTAGCAAGACAACAATCGATATTTATACTTCGACCCCGATTTCTGCTGTTTATCTTTTGCTGAATTTTTGCGTCCTTTTAATTTTACTGTCGTCAAGCGATACAAGAAAACCGACCCGAAAAGCAGGGCTGAAGTAACCATCATATATCTACAAGAGGATAACGCTTTTCTTCACTCGAGGCTGCCATATTTCGCCAATTCAACGAACAAGTTTCAACAACTTGTCGTAAGCAGAGTTGTCTCACTCAATCCTGGCTCTAAATCATCCTTGCAAATGCTCTATTCGCTTGTAGATCATCGTAAATGTAAAAGAGTCAAACCGAGCAAATGTAAAGACTTTGAGGGTATGGACTACTTCGATTGAATTTTCCTCCCTGTCTTTATTGAACTAGTGTAACCACTACTTTCATCTTAAATTGTTCCACATCATTCATAAATGCAGATTACTCGACACAAGAGGACAAGGACCTGTCTGCCTTAAATTAACGCCTTGATGGCCTGTTAAACAATCTTCGCCGAAGTAGCATCGGTACTATGTACTATGTAGCTTCTACTTGGCATCAGAGCGATTCATTACAGATAATTGCATCTTAGATCATTGAATAAGAATCCCTGGCTTCATATCAGTGAGGAATGATCGAGACAATCAAGGTGACGGGGTAGTTTAAAGAAAACCTAACTGTACATCCAGTCTATAAATGGGATAATCTTGATATAGGAGGCAGAAAGGTGCGCCACCACCTCTGTGAGATTAGAATCTATTCTGATCGGCTCTATCTGCAGACCCTCCCTGGCGACTTTGATTCTGATTTGTTAGAACAGCAATCTTACAAAGAAGCGGAATCGTTGGCAACTGAGCCGCGTAAATATCGATCATCGACCGGACTCATGTAGAACACCAAGAGGTCAGTGTTTTCAGTTTGTATGTTTCATATGAAGCTATACCTTAATGTGAAATTGTTTAGAAACTTTATACCACGAAACAGCAGTATACCATACACTGCCTAATAGCAGAGGATAATGACCTAAAAATGGGGAATGAAGCTGCAACATCTCATTAATAATTTGTGGCAAAGCATCTTCCTTAGTAAAAAAAAACCTTTTATACCGCGAAATCGGGAGGACCAGCCCTGGCAAGACAGCCATTTAAAAATTGGGAAAATAGGTCGCTCTTTGTCTATAGACGAATGATTTCAATATCTCATCACCTTCCCTAAAATGAGAGCTACATCCAAGGCTGCTTTACGCAATGCCTTGCAAAGGGCTATACATGAACGATTATCAAAGAGAAGTAAGCCGTCGTAGCGAGTTTTGGCATTTTGAACGACTGCCACGTCGACCGTTAACTGTTTGTCAGAGCACAGCAGAGAGCTGAGGGTCATAATCCACACATTAATTTTCGCGCTATTTTATTGGCTACTTTAAGTCACGTGGCGGAGAATCACCAGACTGTTATCATACAATAACCCCATCCACGTCGATACTTATCCTCCGATTATTTCTTTCGAAAAGAAAAAAGCCATCGAAAAAGGCCAGCTCAAGAGTTTTATCTTCTCATCTCTATTATTCTCCACGGAAGAAAACAAATCGCTTGGTGGAGTCAGATTAAAAAGCCTTCAGTCTTTAGAGACACTACATAGCTACACTTTACCATAGCTCATTACTGACCCCAGTGATGAACACATTCCAAGCCATATACGTGTAATCTTAATCGCGCTGACGAAAGGCTAACGCTCGAAACGTCAGCTTTTTTTACTCTTTACAGTGGCCAATTTACGTTTCAATTCAGCTGTTAACACTAAATTACCTGCTATACTCTCCCACCGACGCAGCACCACAGTTTCTTTAGAAACTTACTCCCTTTAATCTAAATGTGTTTGAAAGAGCTTCTTGATGTATACCATCTCAGCTCTTGCAAAGTTAATTTCTAAAATCAATCATCTTGAATACAATTTAGGGCTATCATTAAAGGTTGCAGTCGTATGCTTTAAAAAATCAAGAAATGGCACCACTTGCTATCTGTTGGTGGGAATAAGATCGCGACATGGAAGGTTTAATTGAATTACTGTTAAACATGCAACGGCTTTCTTTAATTCTGATAAGTTCATTTTTTTCATTTAAAACGTACTTGTATCGTTACTCTACCTTTGGGTCGGCAGACCACACCAGCGTCTTTACTATGCACACAGTTATGAACTCCCCATCCTTGGTGACCGCACTGAGATATGGATTTCTCATTTCCAAAACATCCAACGTTATCCAGCCATATCTGACCAGTTCCTTGTCCAAACGCTGCGGCTCCAGGTGCTGATAAAGCTCCGTCGTATCCAAGCTGGCGACAAACTACATCAGCGTCTTGTAAGTCCCACAAGTCGTCGCAAATGGTTCCCCATGTACCATTATAAAACACTTCAACACGACCAGACGACAACGAATTGGTGGAGCTCACCAAACGAACTGTTTTCAATGTGAGAATATAAGAAAGCTTGTTTAACATTGTTAGGGCTCGTCATAAGATCTGTTTTTGTGCTGGAAATGATGCTTAACTGGTTCATAAAGGTCTAAAATGTATGTTACTGATGGTTTTACTTGTACTTTAGTTAGCATTGATTCACTAAAAATAGTGTTTTACGCACCACTTTGTAAAAACGGCTAAAAATGAGTAAAAAAAGAAAATCTGTTGGCTTTGAGTTGTTTATTGTGAGCGTGTATCGCCAAATTACCTGGCTTGTAAGCGGATATTTTACATGTATGTTATAAATGGTTTTATTTGTACTTTAGTTAGCATTGATTCACTAAAAATAGCGTTACACGCATCACTTTGTAAAAACGGCTAAAAATGAGTGACAAAAAAAAAAAAAAAGAAAATCTGTTGGCTTTGAGTTGTTTATTGTGAGCATGTATCGCCAAATTACCTGCAGGTCGGCAAACTACGCCAGCGTCCTTATAGTGACCACAGTTATGAACTCCCAATCCTGAGTGACTGCAGTGTGATATCGATCTCTCATTTCCCACACATCGCACATCATCCAACCATATCTGGCCTCTTCCTTGTCCAAATGCTGCGTTACGAACTGCTCGTAAAGCTCCATCGTATCCAAGCTGGTTACAAACTACATTAGCGTCCTGTAAGTCCCAAGAGTCGCTACAAATTGTTCCCCATGTCCTTATGTACAGCACTTCAACACGACCGGCACGGGATAAATAAGAATTCACCAAACGAACAGCTATAAAGTGGACATAAAAGTTGACCAGTAGTTATTAGTAAACTAGTAAGAACTAGCATATTCAAATGTACTATCAAAGCCAGGCAGCTTTGCCAATCCGGTATGGGCAAACTTTCGAATAAAGCGCAGGGTTAAAGTGAATAATAATAATAATAATAATAATAATAATAATAATACCTTTTTATTTTGATAATCTTCAATAATCTTTAGTTTCCAAATAAAACTAAAAAATATCATATCAGGAAAATCAACTTCGAAGGGAAGTTCTTGAAAATTGAATATGTACAATAGAAAACTGTCTTGTTAATAACTGAAAAAACAATTTTTATTTCTTAAAATTCTACAAACCAGATAATAATTTTTTATAAAAATCATTTAGCAACAAACTAATAATAAAAAATGCATCAATCCTCTGTTATAAATGCTTTATCTAGGAGTTTTCATTTGCTTTTATTTCTATGGATCAAAGATAAATCAAGGGCATAAAAATAAAAACTGATCCATAACATGATAGTCGCATAGCTTCCGCTCTTCTTTGTAGCAACTAGCTCTGCGAATCTACAATGGTATCATTTACATTCTACCGCCGTTCCACCTGTATTTTTCAAAATAGAAATATTGAGGAGTCCTTTTTCTCGAGACGCTCACAGAAATTATTCACCCTTCGGCGGGAAGCATGGCATTCGGCAAAGCTGTTTGTCCAGCCTAGTAAGACGACAGTCGATATTTATACTTCGACTCCGATTTTTCCTGTTTATCTTTTCCTGAATTTTTGCGTCCTTTTAATTTTACTGTTGTTAAGCGATACAAGGAAACCGACTCGAAGTGCAGGGCTGAAGCAACCATCATATATTTACAAAAGGATAACGCTTTCTTCACTCGAGGCTGCCATACTTCGCCAATTCAACGAACAAGTTCGAGTTAGAGTTGTCTCACTAAATCCTGGCTCTAAATCATCCTTGCAAATGTTCTGTTCCCTTGTAGATCATCGTAAATGCGAAAAAGTCAAACCGAGCGAATTTAAAGACTTTCAGGGTATGGACGACTTCAATTGAATTTTCCTCCCTGTCTTTATTGAACTAGTGTAACCACTACTTTCATCTTAAATGGTTCCACATCATTCATAAAATGCAGATTACTCGACACAAGAGGACAAGGACCTGTCTTTCTTAAATAAACGCCTTAATGGCCTGTTAAACTATCTTCTTAGCCGAAGTAGCATCGGTGCTATGTACTATGTAACTTCTACTTGGCATCAGAGCGATTCATTACAGACAATTACATCTTAGATCATTGAATAAGAATCTCTGGCTACATATCTGTGAGAAATGATCGAGAAAATCGAGGTGGTGGAGAAGAAAAAACATAAACCTAACTGTACATACAGTCTATAGATGGGATAATCTTGATATAGGAGGCACAAAGATGCGTCACCACCTCTGTGAATCTGTAGAATCTTTTCTGATCAGCTCTATCTGCAGACCCTCCCTGGCGATTTTGTTTCATATGAAGTTATACCTTAACATGAAATTGTTTAGCAACTTTCTACCACGAAACGACAGTATGCCTTTTATCCCGCAAAATCGAGGATCAGTCTTAACGAGACAGCCATTTAAAAGTTGGGAATATAGTTCGCTCTTTGTCTATGGAGAAATGACTTCAATATCTCATCGCCATTCCTTGCATAGGACTATACATCAACGACTTTCAACAAAAGTAGGCCGCCATAGCAAGTTTTGGCATTTTGAACGATTGACACGTTGAGCGTTAAGTGTTTGTCAGAGCACAGCAGAGATCTGAGGGTCATAATCCACCCATTAATTTTTGCGCGATTTTATTGGCTATTCTAAGTCATGTGGTAGAGAATCACCGGACTGTTAGCACGCAATAATCCTCGCCTACGTCGAAATTAATCCTCCGATTATTTCTTTCGAAAATAAACAAGGCCATCGTTTTCAACTCAGTTGTTTACACTAAATCACCTGTTATACTCTCCCACCGACGCAGCACCACAGTTTCTTTAGAAACTTACCCCCTTTAGACACTTTACCATAGCTCATTACTGACCCCAGTGATGAACACATTCCAAGCCATATGCGCTTAAACTTAATATAAATGTCTTTTACTGAGTTTCTTAGTGTATTCCATCTCAGCTCATATCAAAGGTTGAAGTAAAACGATTTAAAGAATCAGGGAATGGCACCACTTGCTATCTGTTGGTGGGAATAACATCGCGAGATGGATAATTTAATTGAATTACTGTCGAATATGCAACAGCTTTTTCTAATTCTGATTAGTCTATTTATGCTTGCTAAAGATGGTAATAAAAAGTGCTCGTATCTTTACTCTACCTTTGGGTCGGCATACAACACCAGCGTCTTCACTATGCCCACAGTTCTCAACTCCCCATCCTCTGTGACTGCACTGTGCTATGGATTTCTCGTTTCCAACACATCTGACGTCATTCAGCCATATCTGACCAGTTCCTTGTCCAAACGCTGCAGCTCTAGGTGCTGATGAAGCTCCATGGTATCCAAGCTGGCGACAAACTACTTCAGCGTTCCGTAAGTTCCATCGGTAATCACAAATGGTTCCCCATGTACCATTATAAAACACTTCAACACGACCAGATGACGGTAAATTGGTGGGGCTCACCAAACGAACTGTGGGAATAAAGATAAAATTTAGCTAGGCATACATGGTGAGCGTTCGTCTAAAGAAATGTTTTAATCAGTGGGGGAGCCAACAGTCAACATCGGCCTTGTAATTGTAATTGCATTTGACCAGGTCGTTCGATGGAATATACGAAAATATGAAAAGAACAACATTGGAAATACCCTATGAGAAAAGGTGCAATACAAGTTTGGTTTACTTGAATTCGCTCTGCTAGCATCATGAGGTAGGAAAAATGAAAAACTGAGAGAACGAAAGAAAGTTTGTGTATTCTAAATTATATACGATGTAGGAGTATCACCTTCTTACCTGCTGGTCGACGAACTACTCCAGCGTCTTTAGCATGCCCAAATTTGTAGGCTTCCCATCGTCCGTGATGGAAAGGTTAACTTCATTTCTGTCAAATTTTGTAACGACTTTCTCGTATTCTGATTGGCCCTTTTTTACATGCCCAGTAAAAGTGGCAATAAAAAGTGCTCGTAATTTTGACTTAAGCCAAAGACGAGAATCGTGTGAGTTGTTGCACTACAACACTTACCAGTAACACTTGCCGCTTTCGGAAGAAGCACCATAATACCTGAAAGAAAAACCACGAAAACTTATTTCTAAATTAACTTTTGGAAGATCTGTTATGTGCATGAATACTCGACATCATCAGCCAAGAATTAATGTGCTTTCTCCAGAAACTTCTATGTGACAGGGGGCACTCATATTAAAGCTGAATAGATGGCCAAGTTTTACCATACAAACTTGGTCCTTCAATCGATTAAAATTATAATTATTCCACGTACTGGACTGGACTGTATCAGTAAACCTGACATGGAATAAGAAAAATAAACGCAAAAACACATTTTGTCTTTATCCCATTGATCATCTCTCAGCCAAAGAACGATGTCAATCAACTGTACAATAATTTTAACAGAAGCAGAAACATAAGCATGAGCATTAGCGTAATGTTAAGAAAGGCACATGCTTAATTTAGAATCACAATGTTAAAGTTATTGACGGAAGGATAGATTTAAGAATGATAGATTTAATTGCGTGGTTCTGAGGGTGAAATGTGAGAGGAATGCGATCAGTATTTTCCTTCTGAGCCGTTTGTAGTGCTGACTGTCGATCAATTTGTTGGGTGCGGTGGTGGCCCGCTTGAACGAAAGAAACAGGTTAGCCACGTTCATCGAAAAACTGGTAGATTGCCTCTGATTTTCCGGAAGAATCAGAGTCGTCACTACATAAACGACGAAGTCTGATTAAACTGTGAAAAAGGTATGAACTTCTTTTCGTGTGATGGATGTTAAGATGAATATAACAAGTAATTATGTGAATCTGTAGTGCATGTATCGTTGCCTAAAATTGAAATTTTTATGTCTAGAAAAGCCAAAGAAGTGCCGTAAATTTCCTAGGTATATTTAGGAAATAGGAAAGGAATTGACGGCGGTTATAAATTGAGTGAGCTCCTCTTTGGTAGAGGCGGTGGCGCCGATGCAGTCGTCAATGTAGCGGCCGTAGGGTTGAGGTTTGGGGCCGTGGTATTGACTTAAAAAAATTGGTGTTCGATAAAACCTGCGAAAAGATTGGCATAGCTGGGTCCCAATTTAGTACCCATGGCTACGCCATTAGTTTTATTGTAGTGGTTGTCACTGAATGAAAAGCAATTGAATATGAGTACTAGTTTGGCCAGACGGAGCAGTGTTTCAGAGCTAGGTTCCTCAACAGTGCATTAATCGAAAAATGTTTGAGGGCCCAGAGACCTTCATTGTCATTGGGAATGAGCATCCATAAGTTTGTTTTGGCCAAGGAAATTAAAGTCACAAAAAATGCTAATACGTGTGGGCTGTCCTTCGTGTATTATGATAAAGTTTTGACAATAGGTGCTATAATTTTGTCTAAATAGCTGGAAATGAGTTCGGTGGGACGACTGCAGGCAGAGACGATGGGTTGTTAGGTTTGTGGATTTTAGGTAAAAAGTAAATACACAAAGTTCTAGGAGCGGTGATGGTGAGAGTTTTTGCAGTGGCCGGCAATTATAGTTTAGCTATGAGATCGTTAATCGTGTTTTTGACCATGTTTTGGTTGATGAAAGTGAGATCTTTGTCAACTTTTACATAAACATCGTTAAACATCGACTGCACCTCACTTGCCGGCCGCTTTAATAACTATGTCTGCGTTTTTGTAGACTTTTTAGTGCCGACCATTCTTTCGAAGAAAGGTTGGAAAATCTGGTGTCACAATTGAATTTAAGTTTGTTAATATCGTAGCGACACTTTTTGATGAAAAAACCTAAAGATGCGAATTGGCCCTCTAGGGAGTCCATTTAGACTTTCGAATCTGGAGTGTTTCGAAAGTATCTTTGTTAGAGGTGTTAGAATTATCCTCTGTTGTGAAAAGAGGCTTCAATTTTTTATTAGTTTTGTGATGAAGAAAACAATAAATTCGCCACGCATTCGTAAAAATTTTCAAAACAAACTTTAGTTTCCAAACGAACAGAGGTGGCATGAGCATACTGCTGTACTCTCATAAAGCTCGCCAAAATAGACCATTCGAACCTTTGTTAGATTGTTTTAATAATTTAATTGGATAAGACTAAAGCAGTCAAAATGTAGAACCATCAGAGATCACAAACTGAAATAGCTCACAAACTGAAATAGTTCACAAACTGAAATAGTTCACACGCTGAAATAGTTTACAAACTAAAACAGTTCAGTAAGTCAGCAGGTTTTTCATCATTCCTGTTTGATTTGTTTTTGAACAAAAAACTATTAATTAACAATTGTTCATACGTCAGCGTGCGTTCATCGAGATATGAAGTACGCGGGAAGTTTGGAGAGCACGAAAGATGCGTAAGAGTTGCTCGAGGCATAGCCAAGAGCAACTCTAGCTTCTTGATACTAACTCACTCTGTGTTTTTATTATTACCTTGGTTCCGAAATTTCACTTTCTATCCAAGTAATTTGTTCTGTTACTTACAGGTTGTTCTGTATCAATTGAAGCCAGGAACTCGTTGTCATATTCGCGTTCTAGGTCATGCAAGACTTGTGGGTCAATAGAAAAAAGAAAAAAAAAGAAAAGAGAAAAGTCCGGGAAATATTCCGTCATTGCACAAATTGGTTGATGGCGTGACAAAGTTACTCCGTGCATCTGCACTCTGCCGGGATAAAGCACGACGTTTCAGCCAAATCAGAACGCGTAAAAAAAATCATAATAAAGAATAGTCAGTTGATGTGAAAATAGCCTCCGTGTGGAAAAAATTTTCATGATCAGTCACCAACGATCCCAAAGAGTTTAGACGCATGGCTGACGTCGTACGAAACTTGTTTTCTCTGCCTTGCATAATCATTTACGAGATTTTCCGAGCTTTAAGAAATAAGGAATTTAAGAACAAAAATTAGCGGAAGCTATGTATGAGAAAGACAAATTAAGTAAATCGAGGTATCAGCCTCTTGTAAAATATCTATTAGCAGAAGACTTTTCGTTTCAGGTTCGCGCGAGTGAAGATTTCGAACATCTTTGAATAAAACGCAAAGGAGTACACTGGGGTAAAAGCGCTGAGGTGCAAGTGTCAATTATCTGATCGTCGGAACTGCAGTTTGGATCATTATTTAATTTCAACTTGAGCCTATCTTGCTAATAAAATTGAACGTGTGGTAGATTTTAAACCAGAACAGTTCGATTTTTCGCTATTAACATTTATCACACGATATCAGGTTCTGGCTTCGCCCTCATCGATCATCATGCCATACTCTCGAACTACAAATTAGTTTGTTTAAATAAACGTCTAAGTCTAACGTCAAATCGAAAAGTGCTTACTTCCAAGAAGAAACATGAACGCTCCAAGCTTCATTCCAAATACTTTTAAGATCCTGACGGGTAATCAGCTTCGCCTTCCACAATAGTTCCTTTACAGTTGGTCACAATTACAGTGGAACCTCGATTTAACGAACCTCTATATAACGAAGTCCAGGATATAACGAACGATACTCTTCAGCCCGGCCAAAGTTACAGTAAAATGTAAATTTATGAGAAAGAACCTCGATACAACGAGCCTCGATATGATGGAATCCTCGTTATAACGAACACTATCGAGAAGTCCAGACGTATAATATACCCCGATATAACGAGGCTATGTCAACAATTGACAAAAGCAAGACCAACAAGAATCAAAATCCTTCAATTCTATAACACTAGAACAACTTCACAGTTAACAGCTCATTATAAATGCTGAAACTGACACTGTCGACAATTGTCCTCCGTGTTTTAACCCTTTCAGTCTCAAGATCTGATTGTTCAAGTGATTCTCCCCTCTAGCCGCAATACATCTCCTTGTCAGTTACTTACGAGAATTTGTGTTGGATCAAGATGATTGGTTTGAGTATTCTTATTACCTGTGTTCAGGTTAAAGTATGGGTATTATGGGGAGAAGTCACATGCTGATCACTTCTGGGAGTTAAAAGGTTAAAAAAAGAAGGTGCTGTAGCTATGTACAGACCTATACAGCGCACTGTAGCTTCATAAAGAAATTAAAGCACAGATGTTATTTACAGTGATCGTTCCAATTCCAAAATTCTGGGTAGTACGATGTCACACCACAAAAAAAATTAACCATCCCTCGATATAACGAACGTCTTTAAGATATGCAAATCAATTCTCTTTGTAATGATGTAATGATGTAGATTTACGGATGCTTGAAACGGTTTTCCGAAACACCCACCGACTGCTTTCAAAGCGCTCAAAAGCGCTCAGCTCGATTTACGTTTCGAGTTTTAGTTTAAAAATTCAATTTTGACACAAGTTAACAATTCATCGCCGTACAATAAGTACTCCAAAGAGACTGATTGAATCTCCTTTCCAAGCTACATCGCCGGGTAAACTCTGATAGGGGCAACTAAAGGCAATTATAAGATGGTTATCCCCCCACGCGAAACGGAAACTGTCCCTAGGAAAAGGGATACTTGCATGGTGAATCTTACCATGGTGCGAGAAAGTGAATGCTCTCGTGGAACGTAAGTCAAAACTGAGGCGTTGTACTATAATCCCTCTAACGCCTCTTTAATACCGCGTGATGAACTCAAAATAACAAACTGTCAGGCGAACTCGAGGTATGTGACTACACTTGAACATGTATCTCCATATCTTGTTAAATGGTATCACAGTTTTTTATCCGGTAGGCAGCAACGCATTTTTTGTCTGGTAACTATCACTGTAGGCGGAAAGCCGTCAATAAGGGTACTACACAAGGTAGTGTTAGTGGCCCCATCTCTTTAATATTTTTCTTAACGATCTTGAAATTACATATGATGGCTTCCCTGCGTTATTCAAATATGCTGATGATTCAACAATTGTTGCACCAGTACTAGGCAAAACTGATACCTCTGTAACCTTAGTGAATGAGTTTTTAAATTGGTCGCGAGAGTATGTCATGTAATCCTAGTCAATGCAAAGAGCTTGTAATTAGAAAGAAATCGAACAAGGACACCTATAATCCAGTTAATTGTATTCCACGACATCATGAATTGTGCTTACTCGAAGTCACACTTCAGGTTTAGTTATCATGTTAAGGTCAAACTAATCAAGGCTAACGAGTGCCTCCATATATTAAGAACTCTGAGAAAGGATCAATATGACCAGAATTAAATAAATCTCCTTTTTAAGACAATTGTACCACCTAATTTAACTTATGGCCTTTCAGTGTATGGTGCGTAAGAACGCGATCTAAACACAGAACAGAACTTTTTAAACAGATGTTACAAGCGGCGTTATATTTCAGTTCCATTGAATGTCAAGGATATCATGCAAATGCAGGATAAGAAATTATTCATTGGAGCTAGGGCCCTAAGCCATCATCCGTTAAATGAAATTCTGCCGAAGCCTAAACCCCAGCAATATAATTTACGTCGCAAGGTTTTCCTCCGCCCAAAGATTAACACAACGTTTCATGAACACATTTGTGAACAGACTAATTTTTGAACACAACCTGTTATAATTACATAATTTAATTTTGGCCAAAGTATATTATTGTAATTATCATTACAAAGTTTCTCGTTTATGTAACATAGGATATGTCTTTTATCTCATGGTCTATTAGAGACTTCACTTCACTTCATCATTAATAGTTTTCTTTTTTCCACGTGGTTTAAGCAATAACATTGCTAACACATACCAAAATAAAGGGCAGGGATGTGAACTTTCAGCAATGTATGGCACAATTTGTCACTGCGAATGAGAAAAAGAAATTGTCCATTTTTGGGGTCGCTGCCCATATATAGACAAATGGAGGTCTCCTTACAGCCAGTTTCAGAGTCCACTCGCCATCCAGACTTGATGAAGGAAGAGAGAAGGAAGAAATGAGATACAGACCTTATGGAAAAAACTACGATACTACGTTTTTATTCTTTTAAGACCTTCGCGTATGTTGTGTGTTTGAGTATTGTGTAATTTTATTCGTACGAGGAAATCAGGCTTGTTTCTGAGGGAGCATAAAATAAAAGGCGTCAGTTTACACTCAACAACAGAATTCTTTTTCGTTTATTATCGTCTCATTTTTAAAAAAAATATAAAACATTTTAATACAGCTATTCATTGTTCACATTTTAAACAGAAAGTCAGAACTACTTCTTTTCGTATTAAAGACATACATTGTTTCGTTCAAATCCTTTACAAGACTTTCTGGATTGTAAAAGCATTCCTTTAATGATTTCTAAAGGAGTCTCTTCGCAAGAATCTTTTCTTTCTAGGAATCATACACAACTAGGAATCATACAGTACAACTTTGCTCAACTAACGATTGAGTTTTATCACTACCGATTGACATTTTAGCGCCAACGATTGAGTTATATCACTAGCGATTGATTTTTTTTGGCACGAATGGCTTCCCATAGAAAGAAGATAACTTTTCAACTAGTGGGGTGAATGTCTCATTCCACCAATGCGTTCTTCGTTTCTTAGCAGGAATCACTTCTTTTAACTGACTTTTCCTTCAGCCTTTCATATCAGCCGAATACAATGTAACGCAAAGTTGTTTTAGTACAACTTTGCTCAACTAACGATTGAGTTTTATCACCAGCGATTGATATTTTAGCACTAGCGATTGGGTTTTATCACTGGCGGTTGATACTTTAGCACTAACGATTGAGTTTTATCACCAGCAATTAAAATTTTAGCACTAAGGATCGATTTTTATCACCAGCGATTGATACTTTAGCACTAACGATCGAGTTTTATCACCAGCGATTGATTTTTTTGGCATAAATGGCTCCCCATAGAAAGAAGATAACTGTTCAAATGTCTCATTCCACCGATGCGTTCTTCGTTTCTTAGCAGGAATCACGTCTTTTAAGTGACTTTTCCTTCAACCTTTCATATCAATTTTTAGCTACCTTCTTCCAGGCAGTTCCGTTACAAACGAGAGAGGGCTAAATCGTGAGTTTAACCAAGCCTGAGGGAAGTTATTCCATCAATCCACCGATGTACGCCCATCCTTACAGAATATAGAAATGTATGACGTATTCCCAAGGCCATGGTTAGAAGGCCTTTAGGGTGCGCATCTGATAAAGTGCGCGCCGTCAAAATTTTGTCTGTCTTGACTTTCTGTGATGCCTTTTTCATTTAAATTATTAATAAGGAACAACATGATTTCTCGTGCAATTTGGCGTAATTTTTTTTAAAGACTGCAAGTTGCTCTCGCCCTACGGGCTCACGTCATTTGGTTGTCTTTTCAAACACGAGTGAGATTTACTCGTGCTTATTAACACTAAATTTCACTCGAAATAATGTTTTTACCTATAAATATACTGTTTTAAACATGCTTTGAGGGTTTCAACTAATGGGCACCTTCTCGTTCATTTCTTCCAACCTTATGACATATGTGCCGTAGCCTCTATTTAGCACGAAGTTATGCTCAGATATTCTCCCGCGGACATCATCTGTTCCGAGAAAAGAACATTTTTGAGCTGTATTTACTATCCTTAAAATATTTTGCAGCGCGCGGGACAAAATGTCCTCGATCAGCTTAACATTTAATGAGCGGGATGTTATTTTTCAGTGTTCGCTGGTACGACTTTATTCTTCTCCAAACGCTCTGTGATATTGAATTACATTTTCAACGCAGAACTATCTGAATAAACATGGGCGCATGATAACATTTTACCCAACCAAGTCATTCAGAGCAGAATCCCATCAGTCTGATGAGATTCTTTATAAGTTAGCGCGCGCTTCTTTCATCTTATTCCTAGCTATTGAGTCATCAATATGGATTTCAATCGTTTTTAAGATTGAATTTGAGGCACAAAGTGAAAAGTAAGTATGCCAAATATCACTAGATTTGGAAACTGAATGGACATCTAACTCTAAAGGCGACGAAATCAGCTTTAGAGTTGACGATACTTCGATTCCCAGACACGATACGAATAATGGCTGGAAAAAGGAAACTGAACTTGCTGACTTCAAATGAAGCCTTGCGAGTTTTGGACCCTTCTTCGGATCGGAAATTAGTATTTTCGATAGCATTTCGTTAGAATCCTCGATAGAATTCTTAACACTTTGTGGGTCTGGTAAGTGCAAGAAATTAACACATTCTTCGCTCCTAAACAACATATTTAGCACTTCTTTGAGTAAAGTTTTGAACTCGAAATACTTCTAGTCATTTTTACCTTACTTTTTATTTATAGTTTTCGGTTAGCACACGATTATTATAACTTGGACAAATTGTGTTTGCTACGTCGTACAGCAATTGGTTAATGCCTATAACTGTGCGTATATTGAGTTGTGGACGCACTTGGAAAGTCTGGGAAGCACTCAAGAAGTAAGAATTGCTGTCGGCTGCTCTTAAAGGAACTCTTACGCTTCTCTTGTGCTCTCCAAACTTCCCACAAATATCCATATTAATCTATACCTCTGTGTACGCACACTAAGCATGAACCACTTGTTTAGTAATTAAGAATTATGATCAGGTATACTTACACGTCACTTTTGGTGGTATAGGTACCATACAGCAACGCCTCATAAGCTGTCCACTTCACTGGAAGACGGCCCTGTAGATTTGTGAAACAGAACAAAAATAATAGTAATCGCGAAATCAACGACAGTTATGGATGAAATAGTACTCTATAAGTATCCATTATTTCTTTATCAGTCCCAATCCGCAGATTTCATGATCGAAACCATGAACATGTCACCTCTACCACCAAAATTATCGTGTACGTGATTATACTAAATGTCATGTAACTGAGTAACCCCCCCCCCTCTCCTTTCCCAATTTTTGTATTACCTTTGTTTTTCGTTCATAAATATTTTCCTGTTGCACCTCTCTGGCCATTCCAAAGTCTGTCACTTTACACGTTTCGTTTTGTCCAACCAACACATTACAGGCTGCAAGGTTTCGGTGGATGATCTAAAGGAATGGATTGTGAAAGAAGCGAGAATCAGTAATTAAAAGAGGAACTGAAAAAAAAGTTCAGATCTGAAAATAGCATATCTAGCGAAATCAATAGCGAGCGTATTTCTTATAAGCCCAAATGATAATAAATTAAAATGCATTAATACTGTTACAATTTCCGAGAGAAAAGGAGAAAATTTTCTTTCGATAATCAGTAAACTGTTGACAATTGAAAACTTTATAGGAGTCAATGAGACCACAATAAGTCGAGGGTGAAGTACATCTGCGAGGCTGCACGACGATTGACAACCGCAAATAGAAAACAAATGATTCTAATAACAAAAAAGCATGAGCGATGCCGTTGAAAATAGGAGGGTGCACCCTGCAGAAAGGCCCTTGACTAAACGGTAAGAATATATTTGCAAGATATGAAATAATATGTATGAAAGAAAAACTTGCCATAACGGTACGCCCGACAAGGAATTTTTAGAATCAAATTACGTCTTTGTCTTTGTTAATTAACTTACAGATTTTGAGGACAGGTAACTCATGCCATCAGTGATTTGCCAGGCAAACTTCATCAACTGCTGTGACGTCAGATTTGTTCGTGGTTTGATATACGGGTCTTTGTAGTAAGTGTCATTTAGTCCACGGCTCTTTCTCAGGTAACCAAGCAGATCTCCAAAAGGAACATATTCAATCAGTACCAGTAGTTCCTCTGAAAACAAAGAAAAAGCCTTTTCCTAACAACTGAAGCGAATTGTTATTGACGAGAGAGCCCTTTTTTTTATAAATTTACAAGGAAAATGCGTTTGACATTAAAAACGTACGCAACCAAAACATACCAGATTCCGTAACACATCCCAAAAGTTTGATGATGTGAGGATGTTTTTCAAGCTTCTTCATCGTTTCAAGTTCTTTCATCAATTCCCTCTTGTACGATTCAGCGGCGTTAGCTGGAGAGTTAAAAGCAAATGTTAATGATATGCAAAGCAAAAAACACACAAAAAAAATTGGTAAGAAATGTTCTGAAATCAGTACATGACTCACATCTAAGCATCTTAATAGCCACTGTAGTCGTATCAGACCTCCCTTGAAGTCCTAATGCCGTTCCCTTGGCCACCTGACCAAAAGCACTTTTACAAATGACTTTTTCGATGGTAACGTGATGTCTTGGAACTTCCCAGGAGCGTTTTGCTGGACGAGGAGGCTCGTAACCTGGACTTGTACTCTGTGCTTTTCTATTATCTTTCCTGGGTTCTTTGAGATCCATGTACCCCGAAGAAGGCTGCATGACTGCGCTTGGATGGCACTGACTTGGTTCGATATTTTGTAGTGTCACCTCATTCTATTAAATCAATGTACCCGTTCAACTGCTTGATAAATGGTTGAAGTCCCTAATAAATCTCAACAGGCCATACTAAGCGAAAACAGTTTACGCATTTTCATCAGACTTATGTTTATATTCTTTCTTTGTTAAAACTAAAATTAATAAAAAGCATGTTGCTTTTGAAAAGGATCATGTTCAACAGATTGATCGAGATTTCTGGAATTATATGAAGAATTATTTGAAAAACAAATCTCAACCGAAAGCAGACCTTTGGATAAATCAATGCGTTAAACTTGGAACAACCGAGAACAAATCCAGCGAGTGGCTTGACCTGGTTCCACGACAAAGTGCATATGTCACCTATTTTAAATGCAGTAAAATCCTTTTTCTCTTCTTTCAAAGATTGCGAATGTTTCGTGAATGCAGCACATATAAAAGTAAGATCTACGCACTTTTTCCTCGCACCAATGCAACTTTAATGTCTTAACTGTAACTTACGTCGTAAACACTTCTTTCTTCTTCATAAGTCCTACTATAAAGGAAAATAAAATCATAACAATAATAAATACTAATACTAATAGTAATACTAATAATAGTGAATAAAGAACTTATAAAATAGCCCTTTACTGTCAAGACTTTATTAATGAATGAAAATAAAAGGATCGACAATCCTGGAATAAAAATCGTAGAGTGCGTTGGCACACTCAAGATGAAAACATGAAGATGAAATCACTACAAAAATAAACAATAGGCTTAATTTTTAATGTAAAAGATTCTCAGTTATTGAATAAATTTTTCAGGTACGCGGCCAAAATCGGCCTGTGGCAAATCTTCCGAGTTTCGTTCTCAGGCGCGGGAAATGCCATCACCAAAGCCACTGAATACGTAAATTTCGGGTTTTTTTTCCTATTTTGGTTCTCTTTCCCTTCTAGGAAAGTTTAAACGTCACTGTCTGTAAGCGATACGGTTTTTACAGTTTTTTTAACAGCAATAATCCGAAAAGATTCCGACAAACGACTTAAGATTGAAAATTGTGAAGGCTTCGCCGTTCATTCATCAACCCGACCGAATGGCGCGAAAGACGAGTGATGTGTCAGCAGCTGATTGGCGATATTAAACATCATGAAAAATATCGTATTTTAAACTCATAAACTACTTTATAGTATAAACTACGGTGTCCAAGAACGATTTCCAGCCATGAGCAAAGCCGTAACAACACACGTGAAAAAATATCGTATTTTTTTAAGTCAACAGCTGAGAGTTTTGTATTTTGAAAATTACGCCCATTGTTTGGTTTTGTATTATTTCAGTGCATTTTGTTCATCCTGAGCCTTAGCGCCAACGCACTGTGCGATTTCTATTTGGGATTGTCGATCCCTTTATCTTCATTCATTGATAAAATTTAAAATTTAATTTTTTTTATATCACAAACAAAATAATACATGGTTACTTTTAGATATGAAATTTCTCTTCTGGTGTTCAACTCGAAGAGAAATTCCATATCTACGCGCGCCATGTATTATTCTTTTTTACTTACCTCACGCGCTCGAGCTGTACTGAAGAATATTGGCCCTTGTTTTTGTAAGTACGTAATGCTACGACCTCGGGCCAATAATCTCCAATATTCCCTCACGCTAGGTTAATAAGAAGTTTATATCTACCCCAAAAGGTAGGTAAAGAAGCGAGAAAACAATATTTCCATTCTTTGTTTCTCGAGTAATAGTAGACAACAGTGTGAAATTATAACCATGGTTTATTCCTTGGATCTTAGTACCGAGAAGAAAGTAGAGGTTAGTAGGATCTTAAAACACTCGTAAGTCCTTGTATAAATGGTCACGTTACGAAAAGCTGTTTAAAAATAAGGACGAAGTAGAAAATTCGCAAGAGCTTAAAGTTCACGGCAGCTATTACAGCGCTAATATGCAGATATTTATGAAAGGACCTTTGTCAGTTTTTTCATTTTATTTTAGAATGATATTATATCTGAAGAGTAATCTCAAACCATTCCGCGTAAGAGCAAATTCTTACCGTTTTTTCTCTTCAGCGCCTAAGGAGGAGGAAAAAGAAAAAAATTAGAATTCTTTGGGTGGAGGTAAAAAAAGTTTGTCTTGCTTCATGACGGATCCTGCCCCACCGCTCTAATGTAAGTAATGAAATTGTTACTCACCTCTCCTGTGTAGCCAGATTATGTAAATTATCAGAAGAAGAATTATGAAGGCAGGAATACCAATAAACGCTGCTAACATGACGTTACTTGAGGACTTGCACTCTTCAGGACCTAAATTGATTGGTTTCGTGAGGTTTAAGGAGGTTATAATCGAGCAAGGTTTTACTTTAATCCTGGCGAAAAATTCTGCTCTAATGACTTGGCTCAGGCTTGTAAACGAAAGAATGCGCCCTGTGACTGTCTAGATACAAAGGCAAAACAGGGTGTTACCCCTTCTTTTCTAATATGGTCTGAAACAGTTTCTTTGTAACATGTACCTTTGGCTGCAATTCCAAATCCATCTGTGGATGTCAAAACTTGTTTTATTGAGTCTGGATCGACTTTAAAATCACCGAATCTGTCTTCCCTTGCAGCATCCAACAGAGAAGTCACAACATGGCTGACTACTACACTCTGATCGAACCTCATCATGAAGTCTAGAACAACACTGCCACACCTAGATAGAAAAGTGTACATCAAAGGACCAGAAAGTCAAAAGCTATTTAAAATAATTTGTACTTCAGTGACATAAGCCACATAGGCCATAGGTATGAACGTGCATTAAGCCAGGCTGAATTAAAATTCATTTAAAGTCGATCGATGTCGAAATCAAGAAAATGGTTCGTTCGTCAAATGTCGATTGGTAAGTATTAACTAAGACTTACTTGAGCAGGAAAACAGGTTTAATGCAGAAATTCGCCTATTTGAGCTAAAGATCCCCCTTGAACAAAAATTTGCGCAAGCTGGTTTGATTTGAGAAAAAAGCTGTACTTTACCTGGTGTTCACAGTGTTAGCGGATAAGCAGCCAAACTTCAAGACAATTTCACAAGCCTAGATGGACAAGTGAAAATATTAATCTATGTATGCGACAAAAAATCGTATATTTCAATTCTTAAAGAAAGATGTTTTTTCGTCTAGTCAGTCAGGAGCGTGGGACAAAGGAAAAAATTTTGAGTTCCCATGAGGAATCGAACCTCAGATCTTCGGATTCCACGCTCCGATGCTATTACAACTCCTACAACAATTCTTGTTGTATTGCTGAAGTATATTGCAAGTAAAATAATGTCTTCATTTAACGAACAAAGAGGTTAACAAGCAATGGTCAGTGGTCAACAAGATTAATTGTTAATTAGTATCCCATAAATATGATGATATTGATCAAGCAGATTATCGCACCACATCTGGGAATTCTGCAGCAACTTCTAAACGTCTATCACAGCTCTCCTGTACTGTTGCTGTCAGGAAAACTTCTGAACCTTCTGAAACTTACGAATAGCCGTATTCTATTAGAATTCCTAAAAGAATAAATGCCCTTTATGCAGTGCTACAACTTAGAAATGGTTTAAGCTGTGGACATATAAAAAGTTTTCAAATAATCCCGGTGAAAAAGTCGTTCCGACAGAGTGTGTTAATAGGCTCGAGAGAAGACTTGCCCTTTCACTTATAATTTTTAATACGAGGCATTTCACGTGTATTCTGTAATATGAGGATTCATTAAGATAAAAACAATTCACATTTATTTTCATATTGTAAGATTTGATTTGGAAACTTTTCACATGCTCAAGTGGGAGTGCGACTAAATCCTGAACAGATGCTAAAGTACGATACCCCGATACAAAATTCTGAATATAAAAAATAGATTGATCGATTTTTATTTGAAGACATCGAATATCAGAAAACGAAAAGTCTCCATCAAACCAAATTTTAAATAAGTTTCTGATGCAAATAAAGCGAATACTTCCTACCTTGGTAATTAGGGTTTTCTTGGATTCCCGTGAAGGGAAAAGGCAAACAAACAACGTAACGTGTTTTATGAACTATTTCCCCTCAAACTAGAGATCAAAGAGAGGAAACAAAGTCGACAATGAGGAAAGGTAAAATAAAGTAAAAAAGGTTTGAAATTTTGACACGAAGCTGTTACTGGCATAAAACTTTGCAAACGATTGCCTCAACTAAGATACCAAACCTGTGTTATAATTTGCAAGAGGTCTACAGTCTAACAGAGCAGCCCCCGACCGCCTATAATGTTGTACTTGCTTCAGTTCATAATATCGAAATAAGATCGCCAATTTTCTGAGTATAACCAAGAAAAACAATTACCTGTGGGAGTTGTTTGGGATGATGTAGTAACTGTACTTGATTCTGGTTTAACTGGAGAAAAATGACGTTGAAAACGAGACATTTTTTAATTAATTAATTAATTTATTATTGTTACGAACCAATTGATGATAAATTCTTCATTTCAGCGGGAAGCTCCAATCACAGAAGCAGTTTTAAAGGTGGTCCTGCATTACGTGATAATGTTCTAGGACTAGTGTAATCATTAAAAGCCACACCATAGCGTAAGAACAATGGTGATGCAAAATTGTCTGTGAAATCCAAGAACAGCACTTATCTTCAAATGTTAAGCCGAGGAGCACAAGAATCAAAGGCAAAATTAAGTCAACTTGTTTCCAAGAAATCGATGGTCGTGGACTGTTTAATGTCAAGTTTGAAACAATGTGACAAATTTTTAGTGCAATTATGGATTTATGCTTGTATGTGCGTAAATTTTCTTCCCCTGTAATTTAATAAGCGTTATAGCATTCTAGCTTTTTCAAAAGTTCTTCAGATTAATACGCATCAGTCCCTCTTACAGGGTTAAAAAATTCCTTTGTTCTGTTTCCTTCTGCTAAATAGTATGTCGAAGGAAAGAGAACTCTAACATGTCAATAAAAAAATATATTACTAGAATTTGCTTAAGCCTTGTATTTTGCCAACGACTTTACTAACAATGTTGCTGACTTACATCGGCCCCAGATTCGATAGTGGTTTATATTTATCAGTAATTTTACTTTAACTTACCAACAACTAGTAAAAACCGGACGGTTGCATTTCCCAATTCATTTTTCGCAAAACAGGTATACCATCCTTCGTCATTTGAAGTAAAATTCTGAACCTCAAGAGTTGAGCAGTTAGTCATTTTTCTGCCGCTGGTATCATTCCCTTTGTACCACGTGATAACAGCTGGGGGGTTTCCAATGTCCACAGGGCAACCAATAGACCTATCTTCTCCTAACTCCAATTTGATGACTGTGCTTGCCTGGGTGGCTGATGGTGCATCTGGGAACAAAAAAGGTGAACCTCAATATCAAAAGCCTTTATGAACATGAAAATGATTACCTTCTCTTGCCTTTAAGCAAACTGTGCAAGCAAGTATTGAAGAATAAAATTGAATCTGCCCTGATTGTATTTGCATTTTTAAAGTTATTTTTCTTTAATCAAATCTACTAAACTAATAAAAGACGAGACCTAGAACCTGCTGATTCTGCCCATGCCAGATATTAAGAACTTAAAAAACTACATGTATATTAATACAGTAAAAAAAGGTTTGAAATTTTGACACGAAGCTGTTACTGGCATAAAATTTTGCAAACGATTGCCTCAACTAAGATACCAAACCTGTGATATAATTTGCAAGAGGTCTACAGTCTAACAGAGTAGCCCCCGACCGCCTATAATGTTGTACTTGCTTCAGTTCATAACATCGAAATACGATCGCTGATTTCCTCAGTACAACAAAGAAAAACAATTACCTGCGGGAGTTGTTTGGGATGATATAGTAACTGTACTTGATGCTGGTTTAACTGGAGAAAAATGACATTGAAAACGAGACATTTTTTAATTAATTAATTAATTAATTTATTTATTTATTTATTATTGTTACGAACCAATTGATGATAAATGCGTCATTTCAACGAGAAGCCCCAATCACAGAAGTAGTTTTAAAGGTGGTCCTGTATTACGTGATAATGTTCTAGGACTAGTGTAATCATTAAAAGCCACACCATAGCGTAAGAACAATGGTGATGCAAAATTGTCTGTGAAATCCAAGAACAGCACTTATCTTCAAATGTTAAGCTGAGGAGCACAAGAATCAAAGGCAAAATTAAGTCAACTTGTTTCCAAGAAATCGATGGTCGTGGACTGTTTAATGTCAAGTTTGAAACAATGTGACGAATGTTTTGTGCAATTGTGGATTTATGCTTGTATGTGCGTAAATTTTCTTCCCTTGTAATTTAATAAGCGTTATTGCATTCTAGCTTTTTCAAAAGTTCTTCAGATTAATACGCATCAGTCCCTCTTACAGGGTTAAAAAATTCCTTTGTTCTGTTTCCTTCTGCTAAATAGTATGTCGGAGGAAAGAGAGCTCTAACATGTCAATAAAAAAAATAAATACCACTAGAATTTGCTTAAGCCTTGTATTTTGCCAACGACTTTGCTGACAATGTTGCTGACTTACGTCAGCCCCAGATTCTATAGTGGTTTATATTTATCAGTAATTTAACTTTAACTTACCAACAACTAGTAAAAACCGGACGGTTGCATTTCCCAATTCATTTTTCGCAAAACAGGTATACCATCCTTCGTCACTTGAAGCAAAATTCTCAACCTCAAGAGTTAAGCAGTTTGTCATTTTTCTGCCGCTGGTATCATTCCCTTTGTACCACGTGATAACAGCTGGGGGGTTTCCAATGTCCACAGGGCAACCAATAGACCTATCTTCTCCTAACTCCAATTTGATGACTGTGCTTGCCTGGGTGGCTGATGGTGCATCTGGGAACAAAAAAGGATAACCTCAATATCAAAAGCCTTTATGGACATGAAAATGATTACCTTCTCTTGCCTTTAAGCAAACTGTGCAAGCAAGTATTGAAGAATAAAATTGAATCTGCCCTGATTGTATTTGCATTTTTAAAGTTATTTTTCTTTAATCAAATCTACTAAACTAATAAAAGACGAGACCTAGAGCCTGCTGATTCTGCCCATGCCAGATATTAAGAACTTAAAAAACTACATGTATATTAATAGAGTAAAAAAAGGTTTGAAATTTTGACACGAAGCTGTTACTGGCATAAAACTTTGCAAACGATTGCCTCAACTAAGATACCAAACCTGTGATATAATTTGCAAGAGGTCTACAGTCTAACAGAGTAGCCCCCGACCGCCTATAATGTTGTACTTGCTTCAGTTCATAACATCGAAATACGATCGCTAATTTCCTCAGTACAACAAAGAAAAACAATTACCTGCGGGAGTTGTTTGGGATGATGTAGTAACTGGACTTGATTCTGGTTTAACTGGAGAAAAATGACATTGAAAACGAGACACTATTTAATTAATTAATTAATTAATTAATTAACTTATTTATTTATTATTGTTACGAACCAATTGATGATAAATGCGTCATTTCAACGAGAAGCCCCAATCACAGAAGTAGTTTTAAAGGTGGTCCTGCATTACGTGATAATGTTCTAGGACTAGTGTAATCATTAAAAGCCACACCATAGCGTAAGAACAATGGTGATGCAAAATTGTCTGTGAAATCCAAGAACAGCACTTATCTTCAAATGTTAAGCTGAGGAGCACAAGAATCAAAGGCAAAATTAAGTCAACTTGTTTCCAAGAAATCGATGGTCGTGGACTGTTTAATGTCAAGTTTGAAACAATGTGACGAATGTTTTGTGCAATTGTGGATTTATGCTTGTATGTGCGTAAATTTTCTTCCCTTGTAATTTAATAAGCGTTATAGCATTCTAGCTTTTTCAAAGGTTCTTCAAATTATTACGCATCAGTCCCTCTTACAGGGTTAAAAAATTCCTTTGTTCTGTTTCCTTCTGCTAAATAGTATGTCGGAGGAAAGAGAGCTCTAACATGCCAATAAAAAAAAAATACCACTAGAATTTGCTTAAGCCTTGTATTTTGCCAACGACTTTGCTGACAATGTTGCTGACTTACGTCAGCCCCAGATTCTATAGTGGTTTATATTTATCAGTAATTTAACTTTAACTTACCAACAACTAGTAAAAACCGGACGGTTGCATTTTTCGAAAAACAGGTATACCATCCTTCGTCACTTGAAGCAAAATTCTCAACCTCAAGAGTTGAGCAGTTAGTCATTTTTCTGCCGCTGGTATCATTCCCTTTGTACCACGTGATAACAGCTGGGGTGTTTCCAGGGCAACCAATAGACCTATCTTCTCCTAACTCCAATTTGATGACTGTGCTTGCCTGGGTGGCTGATGGTGCATCTGGGAACAAAAAAGGATAACCTCAATATCAAAAGCCTTTATGGACATGAAAATGATTACCTTCTCTTGCCTTTAAGCAAACTGTGCAAGCAAGTATTGAAGAATAAAATTGAATCTGCCCTGATTGTATTTGCATTTTTAAAGTTATTTTTCTTTAATTAAATCTACTAAACTGATAAAAGACGAGACCTAGAACCTGCTGATTCTGCCCATGCCAGATATTAAGAACTAAAAAACTACATGTATATTAATAAATTTAGATGAGGAGTCCATTCCTTTGCGTACTATGACGATGTTCTTAGTTTCTTGCTAGTTAACACCAACATCATAATATATCCCTAAATAAACACTGCGTCGGTCATGTATGCAGTTCCTCAAAGAATAGATGTTATAACGATTGAAACAGAAGAATTGAGAAAATTAAAAAATAAACGAAATGAAAGGGAAGAAGACTAACAGGTGTCAAATCCTGGTCCTGGTCGTCTCCTTAGTCATTAAAAAGATTAATTTGAGACACATGGTCTGATACTGCATCAATTTTCGACATCAAAAAGAGTGCACAAAAAAGAAGCCATCTTTACAACCTTTCGTAATCCTTACTCCCTCCCAGAAAATATCTATTATTTTGCTCCCTCTTAAAACCCAATGCCTGACTTTTTATCTACATACGCGTGTATAGATAAAGTAGTAAAGAAAAGAAAATGACAATATTTACTGCCAACCCCATACATAACGGGTCACCCAAATGTAGATGAAAGTCCCTACGCGTTACGTAGCATTACGAGGGATAGTGAGGCGTAGAATTTTTAAATTATGTAGATGTTAATAACATTTAAGTGGAAAAAATGCTGCATTTTTAACTTTTCTCAACGAAATTATTTCTTGAAAATTTTCAGTATCCCCACCATGGAGTAGAAAGAATTAAGATTATTAAGATAGGAGCGCGTATCATTGAATTTACCTTTAATCTGGTGGCACACCACACTAACATCATTGTGATGCCCACAGCTATGACCTCCCCATCCTGCGTGCGGGCATTGTGAGACTGATTTCTCAGATCCTCCACACTGCACCTTATTCATCCATATCGGGCCTGTTCCTTGTCCAAATGCTGCATCTCTAAGGGCTGATAAGGCTCCATCGTATCCAAGTTGGCGACAAACCACATCAGCATCCTTTAGGTCCCAGTCATTATCACAAATTGTTCCCCATGTTCCATGAAACTGGACTTCAACACGTCCAAACAACAGCGAATTGTCGGGACTCACCAAACGGACTGTGGTTAACGTGTACATAGAGAAAAATATTTTTTACGTCGCTCTCAAGAAACTTATTACAGTCTCTACATTTCGTGACTACTATTCTGAAAAATATCTACCGTTTTTCTCGCGATATTTCAGAATGATTCGTAGACTGGAATTTTCAGCTTTTATCATGTGTGTTACGCCTCAAATTACATACGACTCATGTATCATGCTATATTATGCCGTGTTATCTAACTGGAATGTGAACGTATCGAAGTCTGACAATAAAAAGCGAACTTGAAACTGGGTAACATGTCGTTTTTTTTTTTTTCCCCATTTCTAGTTTCATAGCCTTAGAGTTACTTTACATGAAAATGACGATGAAATTTATAATGGAAGTCCATCATATGCTGGGCTGTTAAGGTGACCAAAATTGAATTCAGATATCCCTCTTCGAAAAATTTAGTTTTTCGTAGGTCCGTATCCAAAATAACTTCGGACTTGAAGATTCTGCCCGAAGCCGCATTTTCAAGACTTTTATCAAAGTGCAAATAACCCATATTTGTTATAATGAAATTTTCAACTCTGAGTGTTGCACTTGTAGTGTTCTGATTGGTTTACACAACCTCGATTATCAGCTTATATTCCGATTCAGCCTATACGGAAATGCATTGCGACGAGTTGGAAGTTGAAGAGTTTTGCTGAAAATATTCAAACGTTCTGGATTTAATGAAATTTGCTGAGCAACTATTCCATGTGTGCTTGTTGGCTATTTACCATCTCATATCCAACGCGCGCACATTAAAATAAATGCAATTACTATAGGTAGTCCTGAGGTTAACCTAAGCGTTCTGATTGGTTCTAAGTTGGTCGGAGTTTTGCCAAGTACTTTGTAGCAAAATGTAAGTTATTAAAAAGATACAGGTTACAGTTTAGACAGCGAGCCCTGTAGCGGCTGGTTACTCAAATGTTCCGCTCTTTTGTTTGCTACTATTGTTGTTTTTTAGAACAAGTACCATAAGATTGTATATAGAGACAGTAAAGCAACTTAACTAAGTATGTTTTTTAACTTTCGAATGTTAAAGGACCCTGACCGCAAAATGAAAGAGTTTGTTTCCAAAAATAGAATACTTGATAGATAGGTTTTACCCCAACCATCGGATAGTCACGGGTAACAAAATGATCATCAAAGGTGAACTGCTGTTGAAAGTGAAATAATTAAGTCTGAACTAATCAGACTTTAGCGGGAGTTTGAACTCGTGCTTCCATGGAATGCCTTAAGTTCTTTGTTGCCAGTTTTCAAGAAGCGAATTGAATCGGATTTAGAGAACTAAATGGATTGGAAAATAATTGTTTGCAAGATCATAATCTAGCTAACCTTTTAGTTGGCGGCACACTACGCCGGCATTTTTACCATGACCACAGTTATGAACTCCCCATCCTCCATGGCTGCACTGCGTTATCAATGTCTCATTTCCTTCACAATTAACGTCATCCAACCATATCGGACCAGTTCCCTGTCCAAATACTGCATCAGCAGGTGCTGATGAAGCTCCATTGTATCCAAGCTGGCGACAAACTACTTCAGCGTCTTGTAAGTCCCACGAGTCGTCGCAAATGGTTCCCCATGTACCATTATAAAACACTTCAACACGACCAGACCACAACGAATTGGTGGGGCTCACCAAACGAACTATTGTCAATGTGAGAATATAAGAAAGCTTGTTTAACATTGTGAGGGCTCGTCAAAAGATCTGTTCTTGTGCTGGAAATGATGCTTAACCAGTTTATAAAGGTCTATTAAAGTCAGCGACGGATTATGATGTATATCAAAATAACAGGAACCTCCTTGATATATTTTTGAAAGAAAGATTGTTCTGAATAGCTTGTAAGCTGTGTATGTTATGGATGGTTTTACTTGTGCTTTAGTTAGCATTGATTCACTGAAAATAGCGTTATACGCATCACTTTGTAAAAAAGGCTAAAAATGAGTTGAAGAAAAAAAGAATATCTGTTAGCTTTGAGCTTTTTGTTGTGAGCATCTATCGCCACTTTACCTGCAGGTCGGCAAACTACGCCAGCGTCCTTATTGTGACGACAGTTATGAACGCCTAATCCTAAGTGATTGCACTGTGATATTGATGTCTCATTCCCCACACATTGCACGTCATCCAACCATATCTGGCCTGTTCCTTGTCCAAATGCTGCGTTACGAACTGCTCGTAAAGCTCCATCGTATCCAAGCTGGTGACAAACTACATCAGCGTCCGGTAAATCCCAATAGTCGCCACAAATTGTTCCCCATATACCACTGAACAGCACTTCAACACGACCAGCATGTGAAAAATAAGAATTCACCAAACGAACAGCTGTAAAGTAGACATAAAAGTTAACCAGCAGTTATATTAGTAAGCTAGTAAGAACTAGCATATGCAAATATACTATCTTAGAAATTAGGTCAAGCCAGGCAACTTCGCAAATCCGGTATGAGCAAATGTCCCAATAAAGGGCAGGGTTTTACTCAATAATAATAATACTTTTTTTAATTTCCCAACTAAAACTAAAAAAAATGATATCAGGAAAATCAACTTTTAAGGGAAGTTCTTGAAAATTGAATATGTACAATAGAAAACTGTCTTGTTAATAACTAAAAACAACAATTTTCATCTCTAAAATTCTGCAAACTAATTACTGATTTTTTATAAAAATTATTTAGTGACAAACTAATAATAAAAAATGTATCAATACTTTGCACAAATGCTTTATGTAGAAAACAAAAGTTTTGGTTTGCTATGATTTCCATGGATCAAAGATAAATCAAGGGTTACAAAAGAAAAAACAAAGTAGTATTCCTGGCTTTGGCTTGATTTCCCCAGAAATAGCGTTCTCGATGCCTTAACGAATATTTGTATTTCCTCTTTCAATATCCGTATCAATGTCCAACAATTCTAAATGAACATCTCTAGAAGCTCGCAAGCCTCTTAAGCAAAGTAATGCTGATCTCAGCAGTGCAAAGAACACCCTTGCCCTAATCCATAACATGATAGTCGCATAGCTTCCGCCCTTTTGGTAGCAACTAGCTAACTCAGCAAGTGTACAATGGTATCATTTACATTCCACCGCCGTTTCACCTGTGTTTGAAAGGAGATATTGAAGAGTCCTTTTCTCGAAACGCTCACGGAAATTATTTACCCTTCGACGGGAAGCATGGTATTCGGCAGAGCTGTTTGTTTGCCTATCAAGACGACAATCGAAACTTATACTTGGACTCAGATTTCTCCTGTTTATCTTTCCTGAATTTTTGTGTCCTTTTATTCTTACTGTTGTTGGGTGATACAAGAAAACTGACTCGCAGTGCGAGGTTGAAGCCACCATCTTGTAACGACAAGAGGATAACAATTTCTTCACTCGAGGCTGCCTTATTTCGCCCATAAATTCAACGAACTCGTTCCAACAACCTGTCCTAAGCAGAGTTGTCTCACTCAATCCTGGCTCTAAATTATCCTTGCAAATGCTCTATTCGCTTGTAGATCATCGTAAATGCGAAGGATTCAAACCAAGCGAATTTATAGACTTTTAGGGTATGGACTACTTGACTTGAATTTTCCTCCCTGTCTTTATTGAACTAGTTTAAGGACTACTTCCATCTTCAAATTGTTCCACATGATTCATAAACTGTAGATTACTCGACTCAAGAAGACAACGACCTGTCTGTCTTAAATGAACGCCTTAACGGCCTGTTAAACAATGTTTTTAGCCGAAGCAGTAGCCTTCTACTTGGCATTAGAGTGATTCATCACAAATGATTACATTTTAGATCACTGAATAAGAATCCCTGGCTTCATATCAGTTAGGAATGATCGAGACAATCAAGGCGGCGGCGTAGTATAAAGAAAACCTAACTGTACATCCAGTTTATAGATGGGATAATTTTGATATAGAAGCCGCAATGATGCGTCCCCACTTCTGTGAGATTAAAATCTTTTCTGATCGGCTCTATCTACAGACCTTCCCTGGTGACTTTGATTCTGATTTGTTACAAAGAAAATCTTACAAAGAAGCGGAATCGTTGGCAACTGAGCCGCGTAAATATCGATCATCGACTTGCCTCATGTAGTACACCAAGAGGTCAGTATTTTTGTGTGTTTCATATGAAGCTATACCTTAACATAAAATTGTTTAGCAACTTTATACCACGAAACGACAGTATGCCACACATTGACTGATAGTAGTGGATAATGTTATAAATTTAATGACGCAACATCTTATTAATAATTTGTCGCAAAGCGTTTTCCTAAGTAAGAAACCTTTTATCTCGCGAAATCGAGAGGACCGGTCTTAGCGAGAGAGCCATTTAAAAGTTGGGAAAATAGTTCGCTCCTTGTCTATGGAGAATGATTTCAATATCTCATCGCCTTTCCTAATAAGAGTTACATCTAAGGTTGCTTTACGCAATGCCTTGCAAAGGGTTATACATCAACGATTATCACCAAGAAGTAAGCCACCATACCGAGTTTTGGCATTTTAAACGATTGACACGTCGAGCTTTAAGTGTTTGTCAGAGCACAGCAGAGGGCTGATGGTCATAAACTACCCATTAATTTTTGCGCGATTTTATTGCCTACTTTAAGTCACGTGGTGGAGAATCACCGGACTGTCATCACACAATAATCCCCGTCTACGTCGATATTTATCCTCCGATTATTCATGTCGAAAAGAAACAAAGCCATTGAAAAGGGCCAGCTCAAGAGTTTTAAGGTCTCATCTCTTTTGCTCTAGACGGAAGAAAACAAATCGTACGGTAGAGTCAGGTTGATAGCGATATAAGAAAGCCTTCAGCCTTGGGAGACACTATGTAGCTATACTTTACCATACCTCATTGTTGATCCCAATAATGACTGTGCGCTAAAACTTAATTTAAATGTTTTTTAAAGAGTTTCTTGATGTACACCATCTCAGATCTTACAAAGTTTATTCCTTAAGTCAATCATTCTAAATACAATTAATTAAGGACCATCATTAAAGATTGCAGTCGTACGCTTTAAAAAATCAAGAAATGGCACCACTTGCTATCCGTTAGTGTAAATAAGATCGCGAGATGGAAAGTTTAATTGAATTACTGTCGAATATGCAATAGCTTTCTCTAATTCTGATTAGTCCATGCTAATGCTTGCTAAAGATGGTAATAAAAAGTACTCGTATCTTTACTCTACCTTTGGGTCGGCATACCACACCAGCGTCTTTACTATGCCCACAGTTCTCAACTCCCCATCCTTCGTGTCTGCACTGTGATATGGTTTTCTCATTTCCAAAACATCTAACGTTATCCAGCCATATCTGACCAGTTCCTTGTCCAAACGCTGCGGCTCCAGGTGCTGATAAAGCTCCATCGTATCCAAGCTGATGACAGACTACTTCAGCGTCCTGTGAGCCCCATAAGTCATCACAAATGGTTCCCCATGTACCATTATAAAACACTTCAACACGACCAGATAACGGTAAATTGGCGGAGCTCACCAAACGAACTGTTGTCAATGTGAGAATATAAGAAAGCTTGTTTAACATTGTGAGGGCTCCTCAAAAGATCTGTTTTTGTGCTGGAAATGATGCTTAACCAGTTCATAAAGGTCTATTAAAGCTAGCGACGGATTATGATATGTATCAAAATAACAGGAACCTCCTTGATATATTTTTGAAAGAAAGACTGTTCTGAATACCTTGTAAGCGGGGATTTACATCTTTGTGTGTTATGGATGGTTTTACCTGTCCTTTAGTTAGCATTGATTCACTAAAAATAGCGTTATACGCATCATTTTGTAAAAACGGCTAAAAATGAGTTTAAGAAAAAAAGAATATCTGTTGGCTTTGAGCTGTTCATTGTGAGCGTGTATCATCACATTACCTGCAGGTCGGCAAATTACGCCAGCATCTTGATAGTGACCACAGTTGTGACCTCCCAATCCTAAGTGATTGCAGTGTGATATTGATGGCTCATTTCCCACACATTGCACGTCATCCAACCATATCGGGCCTGTTCCTCGTCCAAATGCTGCGTTACGAACTGCTCGTAAAGCTCCATCGTATCCAAGCTGGTGACAAACTACATCAGCGTCCGGTAAATCCCAATAGTCGCCACAAATTGTTCCCCATATACCACTGAACAGCACTTCAACACGACCAGCATGTGATAAATAAGAATTCACCAAACGAACAGCTGTAAAGTAGACATAAAAGTTGACCAGTAGTTATTAGTAAACTAGTAAAATCTAGCATATGCAAATATACTATCTAAGAAATTGGGTAAGGCCAAGCAGCTTTGCTAATCTGGTATAGGCAACAGCCCAATAAAGCGCAAGGTTTTACTTAATAATAATAATATTTTTTCTTTTAATTTTAATAATCTTTAATAATCTTTATTTCTCAACTAAAACTAGAAAATATTGTATCAGGAAAATCAACTTCAAAGGTATTCCTTGAAAATTGAACATGTACAATACAAAACTGTCTTGTTAATAACTACAAATAACAATTTTCATTTCTAAAATTCTACAAACCAATAAATACTTTTTCATAAAAATCATTTAGTAACAAACTAATAATAAAAATGTATCAATATTTTACACAAATGCTTTATGTAGAAAACAAAAGTTTTCATTTGCTATTATTTCCATGGATCAAAGATAAATCAAGGGTTACAAAAGAAAAAACAAAGTAGTATTCCTGGCTTTGGCTTGAGTTCCCCAGAAATAGCGTTCTCGATGCCTTAACGAATATTTTCATTTCCTTTTTCAATATCCATATCAATGTCCGACAATTCTAAATGAACTTCTCTAGAAGCTCGCAAGCCTCTTAATCAAAGTAATGCTGATCTCAGCAGTGCAAAGGACACTCTTGTCCTAATCCATAACATGGTAGTCGCATAGGTTTCACCCTTCTTTGTAGCAACTAGCTAAGCAAGTACACCATGGTATCGTTTACATTCCGCCGCCGTTCCACCTGTGTTTTTTAAAAAAGAATATTGAAGAGTCATTCTCTCGAAACGCGCACAGAAATTATTTACCCTTCAGCGGGAAGCATGGCATTCGGCAAAGCTGTTTGTCCGCCTATCAAGACGACGGTCAATATATTTATACTTCGACTCAGATTTCTCCTGTTTATCTTTTCCTGAATTTTTGCGTCCTTTTATTCTTACTGTTGTTGAACGATACGAGAAAACTGCCTCACATTGCCAAGGTTGAAGCCACCATCTTGTAATTACAAGAGGATAACACTTTCTTCACTCGAGGCTGCCATATTACTTCAATGCGACGAACAAGTTCCAACACCCTGTCCTAAGCAGAGTTGTCTCACTCAATCCTGGCTCTAAGTTTTGCTTGCAAATGCTCTATCCGCTTGCAGACCATCGTAAATGCAAAAGAGTCAGACCGAGCGACTTTTAAAACTTTTAGGGTTTGCACCACTTCAATTGCATTTTTCCACCCTGTCTTTCTTAGACCAGCACGATCACTACTTCCATCTTAAATGGTTCCACTTTTTTCATAAACTGTAGATTATTCGACACAAGAGCACAAGGACTCGTCTGTCCTAAATAAACGCCTAAGTGGTCTGTTAAACAGCCTTCTCAGCCAAAGTAGTCGACTTCTACTTGGCATTAGAGTGATTTATTACAGATAATTACGTCTTAGATCATTGAATGAGAATCCCTGGCCTCATATCAGTGAGGAATGATCGAGACAATCGAGGTGGCGGCGTAGTATAAAGAAAACCTAACTGTACATCCAGTCTATAGATGGGATAATCTTGATATAGGAGCCACAATGATGCGTCACCACTTCTGTGAGGTTACATTCTTTTCTGATCGGCTCTATCTCCCTGGCGACTTTGATTCTGATTTGTTACAAAAAAAATATTACAAAGAGGCGGAATTGTTGGCAACCGAGCCGCGTAAATATCGATCATCGACTTGACTCATGTAGTACACCAAGAGGTCAGTATTTTTGTATGTTTCATATGAAGCCATACCTTAACATGAAATTGCTTAGCAACTTTATACCACGAAACGACAGTATGCCACAAAATGTTCTAAATTTAATGACGCAACATCTTATTAATAACTTGTCGCAAAGCGTTTTCCTAAGTAAGAAACCGTTTATCTCGCGAAATCGAGAGGACCGGTCTTAGCGAGACAGCCATTTAAAAGTTGGGAAAATAGTTCGCTCCTTGTCTATGGAGAAATGCTTTCAATATCTCATCGCCTTTCCTAATGAGAGTTGCATCCAAGGTTGCTTTACACAATGCCTTGCAAAGGGCTATACATTAACGATTATCACCACAGAAGTAAGCCGTCATACCGAGATTTGGCATTTTGAACGATTGACACGTCGAGCTTTAAGGGTTTGTCAGAGCACAGCAGAGGGCTGATGGTCATAACCCACCCATTAATTTTTGCGCGATTTTATAGCCTACTTTAAGTCACGTGGTGGAGAATCACCGGACTGTCATCACACAATAACCTCTGTCTACGTCGATATTTATCCTCCGATTATTTCTGTCGAAAAGAAACAAAGCCATTGAAAAGGGCCAGCTGAAGAGTTTTAAGGTCTCATCTCTTTTGTTCTAGACGGAAGAAAACAAATCGTACGGTAGAGTCAGATTAATAGCGATATTAGAAAGCCTTCAGCCTCAAGAGACAGTACATAGCTATACTTTACCATAGCTCATTACCGCCCCCAGTGATGACTGTGCGCTTATACTTAATTTAAATGTTTTTTAAAGAGTTACTTGATGTAAACTATCTCAGCTCTTGCAAAGTTTATTCCTTAAATCAATCATCCTAAATAAAATTAATTAAGGGCCATCATTAAAGATTGCAGTCGTACTCTTTAAAAAATCAGGAAATGGCACCACTTGCTATCCGTTAGTATAAATAAGATCGCGAGATGGAAAGTTTAATTGAATTACTGTCGAATATGCAACTGCTTTCTCTAATTCTCATTAGTCCACTTTAATACTTGCTAAAGATGGTAATAAAAAGTACTCGTATCGTTACTTTACCTCCGGGTCGGCATACCACACCAGCGTCTTTACTATGCCCACAGTTCTCAACTCCCCATCCTTCGTGTCTGCACTGTGATATGGTTTTCTCATTTCCAAAACATCTAACGTTATCCAGCCATATCTGACCAGTTCCTTGTCCAAACGCTGCGGCTCCAGGTGCTGATAAAGCACCATCGTATCCAAGCTGACGACAGACTACTTCAGCGTCCTGTGAGCTCCATAAGTCATCACAAATGGTTCCCCATATACCATTATAAAACACTTCAACACGACCAGATAACGGTAAATTGGTGGGGCTCACCAAACGAACTGTTGTCGATGTGAGAATATAAGCAAGCTTGTTTAACATTGTGAGGGCTCGTCAAAAGATCTGTTTTTGTGCTGGAAATGATGCTTAACCAGTTCATAAAGGTCTATTAAAGCTAGCGACGGATTATGATGTGTATCAAAATAACAGGAACCTCCTTGATATATTTTTGAAAGAAAGACTGTTCTGAATAGCTTGTAAGCGGGGATTTACATCTATGTGTGTTATGGATGGTTTACATTCACTTTAGTTAGCATTGATTCACTGAAAATAGCGTTATACGCATCACTTTGTAAAAACGGCTAAAAACGAGTTTACGAAAAAAAGAATATCTGTTGGCTTTGAGTTGTTCATTTTGAGCGTGTATCATCACATTACCTGCAGGTCGGCAAACTACGCCAGCATCTTGATAGTGACCACAGTTGTGACCTCCCAATCCTAAGTGATTGCAGTGTGATATTGATGGCTCATTTCCCACACATTGCACGTCATCCAACCATATATGGCCTGTTCCTCGTCCAAATGCTGCGTTACGAACTGCTCGTAAAGCTCCATCGTATCCAAGCTGGTGACAAACTACATCAGCGTCCCGTAAATCCCAATAGTCGCCACAAATTGTTCCCCATATACCACTGAACAGCACTTCAACACGACCAGCATGTGATAAATAAGAATTCACCAAACGAACAGCTGTAAAGTAGACATAAAAGTTGACCAGTAGTTATTAGTAAACTAGAAAGAACTAGCATATGCCAATGTACCATCTTAGAAATTGGGTAAAGCCAAGCAGCTTTGCAAATCCGGTATGGGCAAACGTCCCAATAAAGCGCAAGGTTTTACTTAATAATAATAATACTTTTTTTTAATTTTAATAATCTTCAATAATCTTTATTTCCCAACTAAAACTAAAAAATATTATATCAGGAAAATCAACTTCAAAGTTATTTCTTGAAAATTGATTATGCACGATAGAAAAGAGTCAAACCGAGCGACTTTTAAAACTTTTAGGGTTTGCACTACTTCAATTGCATTTTTCCACCCTGTCTTTCTTAGACCAGCACGATCACTACTTCCATCTTAAATGGTTCCACTTTTTTCATAAACTGTAGATTATTCGACACAAGAGCACAAGGACTCGTCTGTCCTAAATAAACGCTTAAGTGGTCTGTTAAACAGCCTTCTTAGCCAAAGTAGTCGACTTCTACTTGGCATTAGAGTGATTCATCACAGATAATTACGTCTTAGATCATTGAATGAGAATCCCTGGCCTCATATCAGTGAGGAATGATCGAGACAATCGAGGTGGCGGCGTAGTATAAAGAAAACCTAACTGTACATCCAGTCTATAGATGGGATAATCTTGATATAGGAGCCACAATGATGCGTCACCACTTCTGTGAGGTTACATTCTTTTCTGATCGGCTCTATCTCCCTGGCGACTTTGATTCTGATTTGTTACAGAGAAAATATTACAAAGAAGCAGAATCGTTTGCAACTGAACCGCGTAAATATCGATCGACTCATGTAGTACACCAAGAGGTCAGTATTTTTGTGTGTTTCATATGAAGCTACACCTAAACATGAAATTGTTTACCAACTTTACACCATGAAACGACAGTTTGCCACACATTGACTGACAGCAGTGGATAATGTTCTAAATTTGACGCAACATCTTATTAATGATTGGTCGCAAAGCGTTTTCCTAAGTAAAAAACCTTTTATCTCGCGAAATCGAGAGGACCGGTCTTAGCGAGACAGCCATTTAAAAGTTGGGAAAACTTTTTAATTGCTTTTTAATTTAAATAGTTCGCTCCTTGTCTATGGAGAAATGATTTCAATATCTCATCGCCTTCCCTAATAAGAGTTACATCCGAGGTTACTTTACGCAATGCCTTGCAAAGGGCTATACATCAACGATTATCACTAAGAAGAGTTTTGGCGTTTGAACGATTGACACGTCGAGCGTTAAGTGTTTGTCAGAGCACAGCAGAGGCCTGAAGGTCATAATCCACTCATTGATTTTTGCGCAATTTATTGGCTATTCTAAGTCACGTGGTGGAGAATCACCGGACTGTTATCACACAATAACCCCCGCCTACGTCGATATTAATCCTCCGACTATTTCTGTCGAAAATAAACAAGGTTATCGAAAAAGGCCAACTCAAGAGTTCTATCCTCTCATCTCTATTGTTCTAGACGGAAGAAAACAAATCTTTTGGTTGAGTCCAGAAATAGCGATATTAAACATAGGCATGCGTAGCATGCAAGAATTATTTTTTCGGCGGGGTGGGTTGAGATGGGACAGGGCGTATATTATATACGATGTAGGAGTAACACCTTCTTGCTTGCTGGTCGACGAACTACTCCAACGTCTTTAGCATGCCCAAATTTGTGGGCTTCCCATCGTCCGTGATGGAAAGGTTAATTTCATTACAGTCAAATTTTGTGACGACTTTCTCGTATTCTGCTTGGCCCTTTTTTGCATGCCAAGTAAAAGTGGCAATAAAAAGTACTCGTAATTTTGACTTAAGCCAAAGACGAGAATCGTGTAAGTTGACGCACTACAACACTTACCAGTAACACTTGCTGCTTTCGGAAGAAGCACCACAATACCTGAAAGAAAAACCACGAAAACTTATTTCTGAATTAACTTTTGCAAGACCTGTTATGTGCATGAACACTCGACATAATCAGCCAGTAATTATTGTGCCTTCTCTAGAAATTTCTCTGTGACAGGGGTACTCAAATTAAAGCTGAATGGGTGGCCAAGTTTTACCATACAAACTTGGTCTTTCAATCAATTAGAAAATATAATTATTCCACGTACTGGACTGGACTGTAGCAGTAAAACTGACATAGAATAATAAAAAATAAATGCAAAAACACATTTTGCCTTTATTGAAATCGTCATCTCTCAGCCAAAAAACGATGTCAATCAATTTTTACAATACTATTAATTATAATAAAGTTCGGATATAACACGCGCTGTCATTGGTTGAAAGAGCATGCTCTATGAGAGTACAGAGCATAGAACTGAGCTAAAGCTGTCACGCCATCTGCCAAATTGTACTATGTTCGACCTTTCTGGGACTTCTTTTTAGCTTTTTTCCGATAATTGAAAGTAAAATTTCGGAACAAGCGAGCCGGCAAGTAGCAACAGAAGAACCAAACAAAGGCGAGTTTTGCGGCGCTGTCATCCCGAGCGATCTTCATGTTCCGGTGAATTCGGCTGTAGTTCATTTAAAAAACACTCGCCTTGAACAGTTTGTTTTCTACCTTATAATGTGAAAAAACTCGCGTGTTTTTTATGAGCCATAATTCGGCTGAAGTTCACTGAACATTTCACTTGAAGATTCTGTATTAAAAACTTCAGGCAAAAGCGTTAAAATCGACCTGCCGAACTATTTCAGTTTGTAAACTATCGCAGATTGTGAACTTTGATGGTTTTTTAACTTTGATGGTTTGACACTTTTGACAGCTTTTGTCTTGTAGAGCCAATTAGATTATTCGAACCATTCTAACAGGGATTCTGATTGGCTTATTGTAGCGTGCTCTATGAGAGTATAGAGCATGCTGACGACATTGTTGTTCGCTTTGGAAATAAAGTTTGTTTTGAAAATTGGAAGTAATGCATGGGGAATTTGACGGATTCTTTATTATAAAACAAATAGAGAAGCCTTGGCTGTGTTCTGTTCTGTTATAAAGCACTTAAGAAGCGGCTAGAACACTCAAGAAGTGGGGAGAAACACTCGACTACGTCTCGTGTTTCTCCCTACACTTCTTTCGTGCTCTAGCCGCTTCCTGCGTGCTTTATAACAGAACAGAGCACAGTCAAGGCTTCTCTATTTGTTAAACAGAGGCAGAAACATAACCTTGAGCATTAGCATAATGTTAACACACAGGCACATGCCTAAGTTATTGACGGAAGGATAGATTTAAGAATGATAGATTTAAGTGCGTGGCTCTGAGGGTGAAATGTGAGAGGAATGCGACCAGTTTTTCAGAAAAATCAGAGTCGTCACTACATAAACGACGAAGTCTGATGGACTTCTTTTTGTGTGATGGATATAAAGATGAATATAACAAGTAATTATGTGAACCTGTAGTGCGTAGACCGTTGCTTAAAATTGAAATTTTTATGTCTAGAAAAGCCAAAGAAGTGTCGTAAATTTCTTAGGTATATTTCAGAGCCGGGTGAAAGGAATTGACGGCGGTTATAAATTGAGTGAGCTCCTCTCTGGCAGAGGCGGTGGCGCCGATGCAGGCGTCATTGTAGCGGCCGTAAAGTTCAGGTCGGGGCCGTGGTTTGACTCAAAAATTGGTGTTCATGATAAATCCTACGAAAAGATTGGCGTAGCTGAGTCCCATTTTAGTACCCATGGCTACGCCATTAGTTTGATTGTAATAGTTACCACCAAATGAAAAGCGACTGAATGTAAGCACTAGTTTGGCTAAACGGAGTAGTGTTTCAGAGCTAAGTTTCTTAACAGTGCGTTGATCGTAAAAATGTTTGAGGGCCCAGAGACCTTAGTCATTGGTAATAACAGTACAAAGAGATGTAGCATCCATAGTGAAAATAAACTTATTTTGGCCAAGGAAATTAAGGTCACAAATAATTTCAAGTGCGTGGTGGCTGTCCTTCATGTATTATGGTAAAGTTTTGACAATAGGTGCTATAATTTTGTCTAAACAGCTGGAAATGAGTTCGGCAAGACAACTGCAGGCAGAGACGATGGGTCGACCAAGGTTGTTAGGTTTGTGGATTTTATAATTAGTAAAAAGTAAACACAAAAATTTCTGCATTTTTATACACTTTTTAGGGCCGACCACTCTTCCGAAGAAAGGTTGGAAAATTTGGTGTTACGATTGAATTTAAGTTTGTTAAAATCGTGGCAACATTTTTTGATGAAAAAATCTAAAGATGCGAATTGGCCCTCTGGGGGAGTCCATTTAGACTTTCGAATCTGAAGTGTTTCCAGAGAATCTAGTAGGGGTGTTAGAATCATCCTCTTTGTCGTGAAAAAAGGCTTTCAATTTGTTATTGGTTTTGTGACGAAGAAAACAATAAATTCGCCACGCGTTCGTAAAAATTTTCAAAACGAACTTTAGCTTCCAAACGAACAAAGGTGGCGTTAGCATGCTGCTGTACTCTCATAAAGCTTGCCAAAACAGACCAATCGAATCTTTCCTAGATTTTTTCAAATAATTTGATTGGATAAGACTAAAGCAGTCAAAATGTGAAACCATCAAAGATGACAAACTGAAATAGCTCACAAAATGAATTAGGTCACAAACTGAAATAGTTTCACAAGTCACATCATTCCTGTTTGATTTGTTTTTAAAGAAAAAACTATTAATATTTATTATAAGAGTGTTAACAGTGTTTCAACTCTAATTAATAATTAAGCTTGAGACACTCTTTAAACGAGAAAACCTTCAAAAAGTCGGACAGTCTACTTCCGGCGTTTTCTCTTTCGTGTTTTTCGTCACTGCTCACGTTATAAATTTCGTCAATTTCGACGTTTGGTATGGCCACAAGCAGTTGTTTATTTCTCCCGTTGCTGCTAACTGACTCGGTGTTTTTATCAATACCTTGGTTCCGAAATTTCACTTTCTATCTCCTTGTGATTTGTTCTGTTACCTACACGGGTTGTTCTGGATCAATTGAAGCCAGGAGGTCGTTTTCATATTCGCGTTCTAGGTCATGCAAGACTTGTAGGTCAATAGAAAAAGAAAAAAAAACGAGAGAGAAGTCCGGGAAATATTCGGCCATTGCACAGATCGTTTGATGGCGTGACAAAGTTACTCCGTGCATCTGTACTCTAATAAAGCACGACGTTTCATCCAAATCAGAACGCGTAAAAAAAAAATTATGACAAAAAGTAGTCCGTTGATGTGCAAAAAGGCTCTGTGTAGTTTACTAAACTAAACAATTCGCTCGCTTTCCCAAGTTTTCCAAATCGTGAGTAAAAATCTGTACGTCGCACTTTCTACGAAGTAATCCATATTTATGCGACAAACTGTTCGTGATCAGTCCCCAACGATCCCTAAGAATTCAGCGCATGGCTGACGTCGTACAAAACTTGTTTTCTCTGCTTTGCTTAACATTTACCAGATTTTTCCGAGCCGATTAGCGGAAGCGATGTATTAGAAAGACAAATTAAATAGATCGAGGTATCAGGCACTTATAAAATACCCTGTTAACAGAAGACTTTTCGTTTCAGGTTCGAGCGAATGAAGATTTCAATTATCCTTGAAAAAACGCAAAGGAGTACACAAGGGTAAAAGTACGAAGGTGCGAGTGTCAATTATCCGTGCGTCGGAACTGCGGTTCAGATCATTATTCAATTTCAACTTCAGTGAGCCTGTCTTGTTAATGAGATTGAACGTTTGGTAGATTTTAAATGAGAACAATTCGATTTTACGCTCTTGACATTTATCGCGCGATAACAGATTCTGGCTTCGCCCTCATCAGTCATCATGCGGTACTCTCGAACCACAAATTAGTTCTTTTAAATATACGTTGAAAAAATCAACTTATCATATTGAAAAGTGCTTACTTCCAAGAAGAAACATAAACGCTCCAAGCTTCATTCCAAATACTTTTAAGATCCTGAAGAGTAATCAGCTTCGCCGTTCACAATAGTTTCTATATGGTTGGTCACAATTACAGCGGAACTTCGATTTAACGAACCGCTAGATAACGAAGTCCTCCGTATAACCAACGATACTCTTCAGCCCGGCCAAAGTTACAGTAAAGTGTATGGGAAAGAACCTTGATATAACGAAATCCTCGTTATAATGAACACAATGCAGAAGCCCAAACGTGTAATATACCCCGATATAATGAGCCTATGTCAACACGTGACAAAAGATACGAAACAGACCAACAAGAGTCAAAATCCTTCAGTTCTGTAAAAATAGAACAATTTCACAGTTAACAGCTCATTATAAATGCTGAAACTGAAACTATCGACAATTGTCTTCTGTGCTTTAAAAACAAGGTACTGTAACTATGTACAGACCTGTACAGCGCACTGTAGCTTCATATAGACATTAAAGCACAAATATTAATTACAGTAATCGTTCCGATCTCAAAATGCTGGGTAGCACGAACTGACACTACAAAAAAAAATTGACCATCACTTTATATAGGGAACATTTTGGTTGCTTTTTCCGCAAATTCGTTAAATCGAGGTTTTCGATATAACGAACCCTCGATATCAATTGTAATTATGTGTAGTATTGGTGTATAAAATTGAAAGTAGTAGATTTAAGAATGTTTGAAACAGTTTTCCGAAACACCCACCGACTGTGTTTAAAGCACTGAAAAACAAACTTTCTCTCTTTGCAGTCGAATCAATTTCATACGTGTGTTGACCAAAGGATTGAAGTTTGAAATAGTGGACGTGGTATTTCAATCGCTATGGTCTCTGCCTAGGGAGAGTTAGGTGTGCTCGAGTTTATTTTCGAGTACGAGTTCGTGTTGGACTTCGATTTACGTTTCGAGTTTTGACACAAGCAAACAATTCATCGCCGTACATTAAGAACTGCAAAGAGACTTATTGAATCTCGTAAACTCTGATAAAGGCAATTGGAAGATGGTACTCCCTCTATGCGAAAAAGAAACTGTCCCTAAGCAAGAAGATATTTACATGGTGAATCTAACCATGACGGGAAAGAGTGAACGTTCCCATGAAACGCTAGTGAAAACTGAGACGTTGTATTATAATCCTTCTAACGCTTTTTAATACTGCGTAATGAGCTCAAAATAACAAACAGCCAGGCGAATTCGAGGTATTAGTGATATTTTTCATTTTCCACGTGTTTTAATAAACAACATTGTTAACACACACAAATTTCTAGGGCAGGGATGTAGACTTTCAGCAATGTAAAGCACAATTTGTTACCACGAATGAGAAAAAGAAATAATCAATTTTTGGGGTCGTTGCCAATATATTGAGAAATGGAGGTCTCCTCACAGAGGGTTTCAGAGTCCACCCGTCATTCAGACTTGATGAAGGAAGAGAGAAGGAAGAAATGAGATACAGACATTGTGGAGAAAACTACGGTACTACGTTTTTATTCTGAGATCTTCACTTACGTCACGCGTTTGAGTATGGTATAATTTTATTCGTTCGAGAAAATCAGGCTTGTTTCAGGGAGAAGATCAAATAAAAGGCGCGGGTTCACACTCTTCAACAGAATTCTTTTTCGTTTATTATCGTCTTACTATTAAAAGATATAAAATTTTTGATGCAGCAGTCACATTTTAAACACCTGAAAAACCAGCTGAAGGTCAGAACTACTTCTTTTCGTATGAAAGACATATTCATTGTTTCGTTCAAATCCCTAACAAGACTTTCAGTCTTACAGGGCTTACAATAGCACGTCTCTGAGATATGCTAACCAATTCCCTTTGTGGTGATATACAGGATTGGTGTATAAAATTGAAAGTAGTAGATTTAAGGATGTTTGAAACAGTTTTCCGAAACACCCACCGACTTTGTTTAAAGCACTCAAAAACAAACTTTCCATCTTTGCAGTCGAATCAATTTCATACGTGTGTTGACAAACAAATAGCCAGGCGAATTCGAGGTATTATTGATATTTTTCATTTTCTACGTGGTTTAATAAATAACATTGTTAACATATACCAATGTATAGGGCAGGGATTTAGGCTCTCAGCAATGTAAAGCACAATTTGTCAACGCGAATGAGAAAAAAAATTTGTCCATTTTTGGGGTCGTTGCCAATATACAGTCAAATGAAGTTCCTCACAGTGGGTTTCAGAGTCCACCCGCCATTCAGACTTGATGAAGGAGAAAAATACAGTACTACACGTTTTTATTTCTAAGACCTTCGCGTAGATATGTCACGCGTTTGAGTATGGTATAAATTTATTCGTACATGGAAATCAGGCCTGTTTCTGGGGGAACATAAAATAAAAGGCACGACATCACACCCTTCAACAGAATTCTTGTTCGTTTATTATCATCTTAAAAAATATATAATTTTTTAATGCAGCTATAAATTTACATTTTAAACACTTGAAAAACCATCAGAAAGTCAGAACTACTTCTTGTCGTATTAAAGACATACATTGTTTCGTTCAAATCCTTTACTAGACTTTATGGATTGTATAAGCTTTCCTTTAATCATTTCTAAAGGAAGGAGACACTTTGCAAGAGTCCTTCCCCTCTAGGAATCATACAGCATTATTTTCAAATCTCATAATTTTAATTGGAAAGTTTTCTGTAATGAGATGATCATCCTGAAGAACTATTACCACATTCACCTCGAATTCTGAAACAGAGGAAGAACAAAGATTATTTGCAAACTGCTGTATTCAACAGTTAGATTAAAAGTGCGAGATTTCTATCGCGTGATAGTTGAAGATGGAGAAGTCCCAATATACTGGAACACAAAGTTGATTTAGTACAAATCTGACAGTCGTTCACAGCATAACAGCAAGACATGATCATAATTTTATTTTTACTTTATTTACAACCGCACACTGTTGGACTACTCAAGCTACTCATTGTTCATCACGGATTATTAAAACTTTGATCATCGGATTATGCAATTCGAGAGTTTTCATTGGCTTAGAAATCATGGGTTATGAGCCATCATACCATGCACAGGCATGAAAACCAGACCGGAAGTGTTATAGTACATTGAAACATTCCGTTTGTTCTTACAAAATAAAGTTGGGGAGATTTATCTATATTTTGGAGGGTTTTTAATAAAACAATTATTCTACTCATGCTTGTTGGATATGAGATGATCATAGCTATCTATCATCTCATATACAATGCACGATCGTGGAATAATTGTCAAGGATAGGGAGCTGCGTGGCCAATCGGATTGCAGCACTTGTGATAAAACGCTGGTAGATTTGCTTTTAGATAAAATAGTTTCTTAGGCAGCTTGTTACATTTTTTCACTAGCAATGACAAATAACTTCCCACTACCCGCCAGAAAGAAGACAACTTTTCAACTAGAAGGATGAATGTCTTTTTCCACTGGTGCGTTTTTCGTATCTTAGCGGGAATCACTTCTTTTGCATCAACTGACTTTTTCTTCAGCCGTTATATCAATTTTTTAGCTACCTTCTTCCAGACAGTTCTGTGACAAACAAGAGAGGGCTACACGGTCAGTTTAATGAAGCCTTAAGGAAATTATTCCATCGGCCCATCGAACTACGCCCATCGCTACAGAAAATATGAATGTGTGACATGTTCTCACGGCCATGGCTATAGGGTCTTTAGGGTGCTGGCTATTAGCCCCTCTATTTGTCAACAAAAAGTGGTTATCTATGATAACGGAAAATAAAGAAAAAAACTGGATTTGCTTTGACTTTCAGTAAAATCCTGCCTGCGCTTGTGATTTTTATTATAGGTACTCAACTGACCAATTTTGAAGTTCGCAGTGGTCAATGTCGGGCAGGTAAATAGACGAGGAAATATCATGTATATTGGGATCCTGAGACCGCGACAAACATCTCCCTCTGCGATCTGAAACGAAAGTTCAAAGTTATTGAAATAAAGCTGCCGCGCTAAGGATAGCTGCAGACAGTTCTTGACAACCGTTGTACCATACTGACCGACATAACTAACTCTGGCAACTAAGTTAGAAAGATTTCTAAACACTTCTTGAACACTTCTTCCAATAGGCAATTTGAGCACCAGCTAACGATTGGGCAATGGGTTTTTAGGCTAACCGATTTCGGTCATTGCCTTACACATGTTCAATATTCCGTCTTAATGAATAAAACAGAGGTTTTCGGTTTATGCCTTTCGATTGTCTATTTCCTGTGATTCATCATTTCACCTCCGTCGCTTTGACACACTATTCTCAACGGTTTTACAAGTTTAAAAAAATATATCGGCTGCTTTCCTTTTTGTGATACGGCTGGACAGTGTTACCTCATTCAAATAACCACAAAAGTCTTAAAATTTCACTAGGGATACATTCTCGTTGTCATGAAGCCAATCTTCAAAAGATATTCTATTTTGTTTAATAGAACAATTTTACAGCCTACCTGAATGTTCTGAATCTCGGTAGCTGTAAAAGAATATTATTCTATTTATTACATATGTTGTTTAGATTTTTGTTTGTTGTTTAGGTTCATTAATCTTGTACAACAACTGCACATGTGAGGGAAACTAAGCTTGCAACCTTTAATTATTAGTTTTCCTAGCCGTTGATAATTTTGTTTTGTTTTGCATAAAATGACAAATGAATAAAATAAAAATAAAAATATTTCTAATACTGATAGCTAGAATTGTGGTGTTTACTGGATGGCATACTGTTATCAGAGAACTGCTTGCTTGCTTTTCTCTATTCTCATCACTTGCCTGCATGATATTGTATTGGTATTGTAAGGAGAAATTCTGTCTTGGTCTGTCATGGGGCCTGGAAGGTTGATATTGTCCCCAAAACATTACAAATATGTGTGGGAGTTTGGCACATTTCAAAATTTGGCAATTTTACACCGTTTCTATGCAAGAAAGCAAAAACTGCAGTTTATAATTTTTTTCTTGATTGTTTTTCATAAAACTGAGAATAAAAACATTTTATGGGCTTGTTATTCATTTCGAAACTTTTAGGTCTTTCCTGTCTTTTGTAATGTAAGATAAGCACCCCATATGTCTAAGACAGAAGAACCAAGTCTACAGATTTACAGAAAACATGTGGTAGCATATTAAGGTATCCTTCAACACACACTGCTTCCTTACATCTATACCACACAAAGTAAAAAAAGATGGTTGGGATTAACTTCTTCTCGCCAAATAATTCTAGTAGCAAAATACATATAGTTACCATCTTTTGAGTATCCTTCTGCACAACCTAGAGTCAGTGAATTGAGTAATTATGAGTTTACTATGTACTTTATTTGCATGGCAATACTACTAATGATAGTGGTACTGGAGCTAATTATGATAAAGGTGAAGATCATGATGATATTTAAAGTAATGATAATGATAGTTACAATATGAAGAATAAGAAAATAATAAATTTGAAAATGAATGTCTAACTGTTTGTCTTAGAGTCACTACCAGTTGTACAGTGAAGACTTTAATTAAGGACAATGATGTCTTTGTCAGACAATGAGATTCAAAAGATAGTGTATCACTGTCTATGCAGCTTGATAGTAAGCTGGTCTTGATGTGTTTTGGCCCATTCTCACTGGTCATTGATCATGACCTTCACTGACATAGATGTGGGGTTAAAGGGGCCATCTTCACTACACTTCATCAAAGTATAGCGATGGAAACAGATAAGAAATGCATTACAATATCAAGCTATAGAGCTGCTATTATTAGAGTGTTGTAAAGAATAGTCAAAATTCCTAAGACATACCCCTAACTCCTACAGTACATTAAAAGACAATTCTATGAAGTTCAGAATTTTTTGCTAAGGTGTCAAAATTTTTGCTGTATGGTCAAAAAAGTTGCAAAACTGTCCATGATTTAAAAACAATATTAGAACCTCTCTCCCTTTCACCTCACCAGAGATTATATTTTCTTCAATTTATGTTGCTTTTATGTTGCTTTAATTCTGAATGCCATACCTAACACTACAGTTAATTTCCTAAGTTTCATTTGTCATAACTCTGATAAAACAATGATTCCTCTAAAGCATATTTCTGGCACCATAAAAAAATGTTATTTAAGGGACATACAATAGAGGAGTGTTAACCACAGATAATAAACCTTTAAAAATTACTTACCACATGTTTCTACTCTGACAAGCTGCAACTCAATGGATTTGATAGGTCTGTCTGATTCAACAACCTCCAGCTATGAAATAACAACAGTTTCTTCATGCAATCACCTGGCTGAATATTTTCACAGTACATTACACATATATTACAGAGGAAAAACTGTTCAAACCCTGTGTTATGAACCAAATATCCCCATTTATAAATTTTGTTCCAAAAGGAAAATCACAGTTCTCAAAGAACAATGTCAAACTACATGACTATACAGGCCTGTTTTTTAAATTCATTCCCTAAAAATCTGTCTTATGATTATTATCTTATTAAAGCATAATTGTTATGAACTCTCTTGACAATAATCAGACTCTTTATTGGGTCAAAAACCACACTCGCCTCGCCTGTGGTTTTAAACCTCTCCTGTTACATAAAGGTATGGCATTTCCTAAAATTCTGTCTTAGATAGACCTCTCCTGTGAACGCAGAGCACAGAGCATTATCCAGATTGCCTTTTACTAAGAACTTTGGTACCTTTGCTTTCTACAAAAAGAAACACAAACATAGTTACTCAAAACAGCAAAACAAGCCAAACATGTTAATGCTGAAGAAATAATTTATCAGATACTGTGTGACCCTTATACTGTAGGTGGCACATTGTAGGTAAAAAAAAAAAACCTTTTCCAGTATGTTGACTTATTATAACTTTGCACAAGTGTGAATAACATTACCTCTTTCACATTTTCAAGGGACTCTGGTGTGATAGAAAACTCTACAGGTTTTACCTCTCCCTTCTTAGATGTCACCTAGAAAAAAAATTTAAAAATTTTAGAGAACATTACCACTAACACAATAATGCAAAAAAGATTAAGAACGTCAAACGCCAATGGGTATAACTTTCTTTACAGAAAATCATTAGACTTAAACTTATTGAACAGTCAGGAACTAATATTCCAGAGGGTCATATTTTGAAATATCTTGTGGCTTGAGATATAATAATGACAATAATAGTAATAGTAGTGATATTACAATACATGTTATCTTAAGTGATGGCTCATTTTCATGACCAGTGTAAACAAAGAATGAAACAAATATCATAATAAAAATGTTGTAACCATAAAATGAGTGATGGGAGACAGACCAGTTAGCTGTTAACAGATCACTCCCAAGAATTGAACTTCAGGCACTTGAGAACAATTCAGTTAGTAACAAGATGGAGAGCTTGAACCTGGACAACCACAAAACTAGTCCAGCACTCTAATCACTCAGCTATGTTGCCTCCCTTCTGCTTTGAGAGACAATAAATAAATGTGCTGTGTTGTCCAATAAATGTAATAGATGGTTAATTACCAATATGTTAATTGACATGGGTAAATGATAAGCATTTGTTCAGGAATCTAATTTTGGTACCTTCCATTCTTATGTGATTGATGTAAACTTTGTATTTATGACAGCTTTATAAAACAATATTCAAACACAAATGTAACCCATATTCTCTTTTCAATATCAATAAAGTTCTAATGTTCAAAACTCACTATTTTGAATTTCACTACTGATTGCAGTTAATTTGTACTTCTAGACTTTCTGTTGATAGTCAATGATGAAATCCTTTTAGTCCATTTTAGTGCATTAAGATCTAGTATGCTATTCAATTTTATTTCTAATATAAAGGACTTTAAAAAGGTGCTTCATTTTGTTTATACAATATAGATGGATGAGTAATATACTTCCACAAATAACCTTATTCTCAACTATAAACTCTGCTTGGCTCTGAAGGTCTTTGTTCAAATATGGCCTTTTCATTTCACTTCGGAGATAATACTACAAAATAATACACAACAAATCAGCTGAAGATTTAAACAGTCCTTTCTGCATTAGAGATTAAATGGAAAAGCCAAACCAAAAACTAAAAAGTTATAGTCAGGGTCTTTCTTTCATTGGAAAGTCAAGTCAGTGTTGATTAGGGATGGAATTAGAAATGGAAAGTGAGTTTAAGCAGTTTAACGTTAAAACTAGCTGAGGTCACTGTGCTGAAGTAAGACTGTAATTGTGGCTGGTAACATCTTCTTGGAAAAACAATTGCTCACAGGAGTTGAGTGACTAATTAAATGTTTAAGAACATTAAAACTGTGGGAGGATTAGCAGGTAGGAAATAAACGAGAAACTATTGGAAAGCATTCAATCTTTGGTATAATTCTATTATGTTATTGATTTGGACATAAGCCATACCATGATAAATATAATAACCTGTTAAACATACTAAAGCAATAACACTCGGTGCTATTGTCAAATCATACAACTGCTCAACATGTAAAACTAAAAAAATACCTGAATGTTTACAAAAACTCCATGATAGGTCTCATACAGTGGCTTGTTACCCTTGGGTTTCAGTGGAATCTCAAAAGGAAGTTCAGTCTTGCCATTTGGCGTAAACCTTACAGTCATTCAAATCCATCTCAGAATAACATTTAAACTATTAAAATTTAACAATGATGGGTCTGTAAATAACCTAGTCAAAAATATAAATCTGAACTGCATAACATCTCAGTGACCTACATGTATATTGCCTAAAGGCTACAGCAAGCAAAGTCTGAATAATTAATGGACTATGCAAGATTTTACATGATGGGTAAAAAAATGCATGTGATACAGGAAAGGATGATAAGAGTGATTCAGTTCTCCAACAACATTATCATGAATGGAATAAAAAAATCAAGATTATATAGATGGGAAAACACAAAAATTACTCATGCTGCCATTGAACTGTTGGAATGGTGATGAAAATACAATACAAATACAATCAAATATCAAACCAAAAATTAAAGATATTGAAATAGAATGGTATAATTTGCCAGGTTTTGCAATCTCTAGGGAGTAGTTGACCAGATGGATTGGCTTCAAGGAGTTGTAGAATGCTTCAAAAACTCCAACACTTTTAGCACTCAGTTGCAGATTCACAGATCCTTCCATAGAGAGAGTGATACCATTGTGTGAGAGCTCTCCGCGACTCTGAACTACAATAACACCTTTAACAATGTCCTAAGATTAATATAGAAAGAGATGATTCAATAACATTCCCAAGTTATATCTAAATTCCATACCACCCTAATGGACTCTCCATTCATATTTGAAATAAGTCAGCACCGAAAAATTGTATTATATATGCTACCAAGATCACCCTGGACAATTTCCAATCCTTATCTGTCATGAGACATTTTTTTTTAAATTTTTTTATTTTTGAGTTTGGTAAAGTATCAAACAAATGTTCGGTAAAGTTTAAAACAAACATAAAATGTAACGATACAATTAAACTATGTACAAGCAACATGTACAAAACTTACTTTAGATCGGTCTCTCAAATAATGGTATAAATCTCCTCACTCTTTGCCACAAATACTGCAATCTGATTAGCTGTGCCATTCGCTATCTATTCAGCGATAGATAGTGAGGAGAATTTCGAAATACCAGTAGATTTATACTAAAATATCCAATCATTCACTCCAGTTTTTTTAAGCACGTTAGTTGATAGTAGATTCCCCCTCGTCAACTATTGTGCGGTAGAAATCTCGAGCTCATAATCTACGTATGCATGTATGTATATATGTATCCGTGCTGAAGTTATGGATTCATAGATTTATAATTAAGATCATTCAGAGTTATTTAAAGTACAGTTGCAATTAAAACATTAGAATATCCAAGAATATACTGACGCCTTCGTGGTAAGTCTTGTTCACTCTCTTCAGGCGAATCTCCAAGGTTGCCATTTTGCAAGTTGAGCCTGCAATTTATACAAGTTTAGCAGTGGCACTAGCACTCATCCTGAAAGCGAGGTCGAGCATGGGCAGTGTTTGGCGGGAACGATTACATGAGTGATCCTGTAGAAATATGTCGAATGATCAAGAAATTGTTACATCGAAACCTCTGAAACCGTGAGTATCTTTCTGGATCGATTGTTTGATCTTCTTCGCGTTCACTGATCTTTTAGTATTTCCGTGGAACAGGAAGGGAAGAACAGAGTTAGGTGATGTAACTCCTCACAACATCAAGCAGCTCAAGAAATTGAACTCTGTTGTATTTCCCGTCAGCTATAACGACAAGGTAAAGATTAAGCTTTCCATCGTTTGTTGAGAAAAGATTCGTTAGATTGTTTTAGATATGTTAATAGTTCATCTGCTGAAGAGACATCGAATATCTTTCGATGGAACAAAAATTTGGTACATTTCATGTGACAATTTGGAACTAACGCATGTGCACAGACAACCAACATTTCATTTTCAAGATGTCATCACTCTGCCATCATCATGCTAAATATGTAGGCGGTCTTTTTCTTTAGATGTTCTCGAACTTCACAAAGTCGGTAAACTACAGACGATGGTTTGCATCTCACCGAATATAAATCGTGACTATGATTGTGTAACTGGTTATTTTTGAAGCCCCCCATCAACGAAATGAGGTGTCAAATGTTCTGCATTAAATACTCACATTTCTCTGTCAAGGATATTTTTAATGTCATCGAAGAATTTTCCAGATAACAAGTAGTTCTTTTTTAACAATCTTGCCTACTTAGGTGTATATAAATTTTAATTTCTTGCCATCCTCCTACATATGTTTGCAGCAGGCTCTGGTTAAAAAAGCTTAACTTTTATTTGTTCGCAAAATATCTGCAAGTTATACCGGTGAAGAGTTTAGGACTATCTCGGGGCACATGAAAACTTTGTGTCTACTGTGTTAGTAGAAATCCACAGGTATATGCTGTAATCTGATTTTCTATGCGACTCACTGTTTATTCTATTACAATTAAACAGTAACATGTGCAGTTGTAATCAAAATGTTGATAGGTTTTAAACGAATAGCATATTTACACTAGGACTCTTAGATCATTCGCTCTCAATTTCTACGGGTGATAGTCAATGATCTCACAATAGAAATCTCAAGTTCATAGATCTAATATTTAGCGACACATTAATTCTCATGCAGATTTGTATTGCTTTACAGTTTTACAAGGATGTACTTGAAGTTGGGGAACTAGCGAAACTAGGTACTTTGTTGAAGAGTATTGGCTAAGATAATTCTATGTGAAATAGTTTAATTACAAGACCATTTTATTTCTTTTTTTTTTTTTGCTACTATTTATTTTGGCAAACTTAAAACCAAGAAAATAGAAAAATAGTTTGAAACTTTCAGTCTTGGGTCTTGAAAAATGCAAAAGAAGTTTTCCTTGTATCACACACATGATTAATTTCAAATATCTTTCTTTATTTAAAACACATTCTTATTCCCAAGACATTTTATATTTGATTCTCTTTCATAAATACCTGACCAAAATTGTTATTGCATCCTCACAGGGGCATTGGTTGGGGGCTATTTTTTTTCCAAGGCTGTGTTTTATTATGACCATTATTCTTATTCCTTAAACATTTTATATTTGATTTTTTCATAATTTTTTTTTATATTGAATCTATTTTTTTTTCTTGTAGCATTTTATAATGACATTGTAGTTGGAGCAGTTTGCTGTCGCATTGACCAGATAGAAGATGCTAGACGGCTTTATATAATGACTTTGGGATGTTTAGCCCCTTATAGAAGACTTGGTATTGGTAAGTTGAAAGAATCATACTTCTGGTGTGCTTTTTATTGGGTTTGTTCTAAGCAAATAAAGTCTAATTATTTGGTACTGCTTGCAACTCTAAAATGCTTAAGAGATGCATAGGTTTTAAAGATTTCTTCATTGAATTGTGTATATAATGTTTACATAATGCCTTTTTTACTCTCAGGTACTGTCATGCTTGAACATGTGCTAAAATGTTGTGAAAAGGATGGTAACATTGACAATGTTTATTTGTAAGTTTTTTTTTTGGTTAATATTGGTAATAGAAGCCTTGGAGCAGGCAATTTAGACAAAATTTAGCTGTTTTTCTATAATTATTTTTCCTTGATTTTTCCTCTTTGTTCATTGTCTGAAACAAATACTGAAAAACTATAGCAAGTTCCCCTCTTCCTTTAAACCAAAAAAGCATACTGTGTATGTGTACTTGTAGTAGTTGAATTATAAATGATTTGGGCAAAGTAATGTTTCAGAACCTAGTATTTTTGTATTTATACGATAAGCTGAATTGTAAACCCATTTTGAATGTACCTCGTAACTTCTTTGGTTACATTCATTAATTCTGTAAACCAGAGTAGCATCAAACCATGTCCCATTTTGAATGGTTCCTACTTATGATTGTTTGGAAGACAGATGCATACATGATATAACTAATCACAATTTACTTCCTTATTGTATAAAACAAATAGATTCCATGTTACTATGTGCCTGTACAGAAAAAAAACAGATGAAATAAAAATGTGGGAAGAACATCAGTGACATACTCAGCTTCACCTCATTGCCACTTTGTTGTTCTTTCATCATTTTGATATCATCTTTGATCTACTGGTAAACATTTTAAGTTATGCAATACTTTTTTCATAGTTCTCTGACATATTGGAATGTTAATGATTTGTCTCTGTCTAATTTCAGGCATGTTCAAGTTAGCAATGAAGGAGCAATAGGATTTTACAAGAGATTTGGATTTGAAATAATAGAAACAAAGAAACAATACTACAAACACATTGAACCAGCAGATGCTCATGTCTTGCAGAAAACACTTAGGCACAAAAAGAGAGATATTTGTGTATGACAGAGTAAATAGATCTAGCACTTTAACATTAAAAAGCTTCCGAAAACATTGAATGTGAACAGATTATATAGTGTAAAACTATATCCTCCTCCTCACAAGTGTCTGTTTTCTTACTTTTACCTTAGTAAAGAAGATCTCCAACAGATGGTGCAAACGTGTTTTAGAATCTGTTGTAAGCAAAGCACAATGACTTGATGGCTGGAAAAGTAACATGAAAATGCCAATGTTAATTCAAAGTGAAAACGATTATTTGTGGTGAAAATCATGTTGGAGCTGATCTTTGTCATTTTTTTCTTTCATCACTTTGTTTCAAATTTAATAAGACATGTTATGAACTTAGGAAATTCTGCAACTCTTGGTGTTCAAAGCCATTGGATATTGCAGAATTCTCCAGGTAATGTGTATAATTTTCCAGCTAAATGTTGATGGCTGGAACTATTTCTAATTCTGACATGGAAAATATTCTCCTACTTCTTGCCATGTTATTTCTCAATGAAAACCTTGAACACAAAAAATGTTAATACTCTTTCATTGCATTTAGAATACAAAAATCATTGCACTGCATATGAGTCAATGCACTTTAAGTTTAGAAAACACTTAACAAAATTCAGTTTGTGCTAATCTTAAGTAGAAATTAGTAACTTTCAAATAAAACAATTTACAAAAATAAAAAATCTCTCTAATGTCTCTGTTTGTCTCTCATATTTACTTCTGAAAAAATCTCTGGGGGGGTTGACCAAGCTATCATGTACTCAATGCAACAGATACGGGGTGTTGTGCACTGGAGTTTGGGGAGTTTTAACCACAGTGTAGGAATTGACAACACAAGTTGATTCAGCAACATTTAAAGCTATCATCTGACCATCATACACATGCAGTTTTACAAGATTAAAAAAATGGGCTGAGACTAATTACAGAACAAGCAAAATGGAAAAGATAAGGAAACTTAATACAGTAAGCTGGAACTTATATCTGATCCTGTCTCAGAGAAACTGCAACGTTATGCAACTGGAACAATGTAAATAGAAACTCTGATCTATCTCCATCAATCTCCTTGCTCCAACTGACTTGCTACTTAGGGACATACTACTATAAGGGTATAGTTCATGTGTACAATTGCAAACTGGTTTATCAGGAATGCTAGCCAAGTAGGTAATTCAAGCTGTGAACAGTTATACACTAGGAAAATTATGGTGTAAACTTGACAAAGGAAGAAAACAGAACTTTTTACCGACTTTAAATCAAAACATAATGATTACGCAATCAAAGTTTTCTTTGAATGTTCTTTACACAAGCAGTTACCCACAAAAACGAAAAAAAACAGTTAATAAGTTGGTCATTATTTCATCTATCATCTTGATTAAAATCCATCTCCTACCTACATGCTACCTCACTAAAAATGAAATATTTTTTAAATTTATCATCAGCTAAGAAAAAATAATCATATCATATTTGTGTCAACCCTGTAAATCTTGAACTTAGAAAAGATGAAAAAACATTAAATGCTTCATATTTAAAAAAATTGAGTGACTCATTTATTATCTGTTTCCTGCCACCAGTCAAACTTTAGAAACACCAATAAACAGCCATTACATGACAAAAGAAGAAAAAAAAGAATGTAGCTATAGGTTTAATTTCCATTTAGAATTTGTGGGACATCCTTTTGTACAATTTCATGCCAGAAGTGCTTCATTGTTTAAGAAAGTAATGTCTTCAAAGTTTGACTTAAATCAAATCAAAGTTTGATTCAGCACACTGCATTTAAAAGAGATACCTATACACAGTGGCAGATCCAGACCTTAAGCTAAGGGTGGGAGCCCAGTTTTTTGTTGCTTACCCTGTCCTACCCTTCTGCAATTCTTTTTTCTTTTACCCAAAATAAGGGGGAGGGGGCCAGGCCCCTGGGCCTTAGCCTTTTTATTTCTGGTCAGAAATGAAGTATGGGAGGACTTGTTCAAATAGCAAGAATGAGCTGAATGTTGATTGCATTAATAATTTTTTTGATCTGGCATCAACTTCAGCATTTAAATCATGTGAAAGTAAGACTCAATAAACAAAAAAAAAGAGACATATTTAAGGAAAGTTTATTATGCTTTCACCAATCACAAATTTTTTGCAGCTGATGAGCTCATTGTCAGCAACATTTCATACTGGCCTTTTTGAGTTTAATTTCATCATGCATCAAGTGGGGTAAAGAAAACTTGCCAATATGGTAGGTTTCCAAAGATCAAAAAAATTTGCAACCCAATACATACATGTCAATTCTCTGCTGTGTAGAGCACGTCTTTTACTAGTCACAGAATTCCAGAATGAAAGCAGGTTTAATTTGTGCCAACTCCTGAGAGGATCAGTATTTAAATCCCTCATTTGTCTTCCCATGTTAAGTCGTTTTCCGTTCTTTGAAAATAGCGTCAGGTTGTGACCGATAATGCTTGGTTCGGTAGTGAGGACTGACACAAATAACTAATATTGAGGTAATAAAGTTCCAGAGTTTTGTTTCTCCGCATGTGTACAAAATAGTAATAACCATACCCGTAACGTAACTTTTCAGGCTGGGAGACTGTTAGTGAATTATTTTTGTTCTTGGCATATTTCTTTAATGAAAACAATTGTCTCGGACGATATGTAAAGCTGTTCATGTCAGCCGTTGCCTCATAAAATCCACATCAAGGGCTTTAGACAAATGGAAATCAGGACAAGAAGAGGTATGTTTTTTAATACCGCTGGACACTTTCTCATCTATCACCCTTCTGTGTGCACGTTAACGAAATTAAGAGGAACAAAAGAACTGTGCAAAAATCGTCACAATCTATCTTAACAGAAATCCAAGATCCAAGAAACGCATGTGCCTTTCGCTCCCCTGCCACTGCCATATTGATAGGTTGCATGTATACCGCTGGTTGGCTGAAGGGCTCGCGGTAGACGAGGGAGATTGGTGCTAAGTGAATGTTCGTGAACGATCGAGGTTGTTCTGGATTACACTCGTCTCTCGAACTAGACCTTTAGAATTTCCTCGAACCCACAAAAATAGACTTAGAGAAGTCTCTAGATACTTTTTCTTAAAAATAAAATCAATTTCATTGGCTAATCACTGATGAAATAATGTCAGCATATTTCTCTACGGCCGCCATGTTGAATACACCGCTGGTTGGCTTAAGGGCTCGCGGCAGACGAGGGAGATTGGTGCAAAGCGAACGTTCGTCAACAATCGAGATTTTTCTGGATTGCACTCTTCTTTCTCCGGAACAATCTAGTAGCGGCTAGGATGTTAAAGAACCTTCAGAATTTTCTCGAACTTACAAAAATAGACTTAGAGAAGTCTCTAGATACTTTTTCTTAAAAATAAAATCAATTTCATTGGTTAATCACGGATGAAATGATGTCAGCATATTTGTATTTTTAGACATCTGATGTAATGTTTCCTAGCTTAGGGGGTATAAATGCAAGCCTTTTTACGAAGCTGTTCAAAAATTTCACGCGAAAGAAGCTCCCTCAGCAAGAAAAAAGACTACAAGAACATTATCAGAAGCTTTCGAAGATGCCAGTGAAGTCAGCTCCTGCAGTCGGAATCGACCTTGGAACAACTTACTCATGTGTTGGAGTCTTTCAACATGGTAAAGTTGAGATCATCGCTAACGATCAAGGAAACCGCACAACCCCCAGTTATGTCGCTTTCACTGACACAGAACGTTTGATCGGCGACGCTGCTAAGAACCAAGCAACGTTAAACCCGAGCAACACTATCTTCGATGCCAAACGACTGATCGGCAGGAAATTTGATGATCCTGTGGTTCAATCAGACAGGAAGAACTGGCCTTTCCAAGTCATCAGTGAGAACGGCAAACCAAAACTGCGTGTACATACCAAAGACGCATGGAAAACTTTCACTCCAGAGGAAATCAGTTCTATGGTCCTCACTAAGATGAAAGAAACAGCTGAAGCTTACTTGGGCCAAACTGTTCGAGATGCAGTTATCACAGTTCCAGCTTATTTCAATGATTCTCAGAGACAGGCCACAAAAGATGCTGGCACAATAGCAGGACTAAATGTGAAGAGGATAATCAATGAGCCAACCGCTGCTGCTCTCGCATATGGCTTGGAAAAAAACCTCAGCGGAGAGAAGAACGTGCTAATTTTCGACCTGGGAGGAGGTACCTTTGACGTCTCCATTTTGACAATCGACGAAGGATCACTCTTTGAGGTTCTCTCCACAGCTGGTAACACACATCTTGGCGGAGAAGACTTCGACAACCGCATTGTGGATCACTTTGTAAAAGAGTTCAAGCAAAAGTTCAAGAAAGATCTCAAAAGCAATCCAAGAGCATTGCGTCGCCTGATGACTAATTGTGAGCGAGCCAAACGAACGCTGTCGTCCAGTACTCAGGCCAATATAGAGATTGACTCATTATCTGAGGGGATTGATTTCTACTCTAAGATAACCCGAGCCAAGTTTGAAGAGCTATGTATGGATCTCTTTCGCTCTTGCCTCGAGCCTGTGGAAAAGGCACTAAAAGATGCAAAGCTGGACAAAAGTCAAATCCATGAGGTGGTTCTGGTTGGGGGCTCTACAAGGATTCCAAAGATACAGAAACTTTTAGAAGACTTCTTCGATGGTAAAAAGCTAAACAAGTCTATTAACCCAGACGAAGCCGTAGCTTACGGTGCCGCGATCCAAGCAGCGATCCTATCCGGAGACCAAAGCTCAGAGATCAAGGATGTCTTATTGCTCGATGTTACACCCTTAAGCCTCGGGATTGAAACCGCCGGTGGGGTAATGACAACACTGATTGAACGCAATACGAGAATCCCAACAAAAGTTTCCAAAGAGTTCACAACCTATTCCGACAATCAACCCGCCGTTACCATTCAAGTCTTTGAAGGCGAGCGTGCTATGACCAAAGACAACAATGAACTGGGACGATTTGAGCTGAGCGGAATCCCACCGGCGCCTCGAGGCGTGCCCAAAATAGAAGTCTCTCTGGATATTGATGCCAACGGGATCTTGAACGTATCCGCGAAGGATCAAAGCACTGGCAGAAGCAACAATATCACCATCACCAATGACAAGGGAAGGTTGTCCAAAGCTGACATTGATCGCATGGTGGCTGAAGCCGAGAGGTACAAGGAAGAAGACGAGAAGCAGCGCCAGAAAATCTCAGCCAGAAACAGCTTGGAAAACTATGCGTATAGCGTCAAACAGTCGATAGTAGATCCAAAGGTGGAGAACAAACTCAGCTCTGCAGATGTGGAGACGGTAAAAAGCAAGGTGCAAGAAGTAATCGATTGGTTGGACAGAAATTTACAGGCAGACAAAGAAGAGTACGAAGAAAGAGAGAAAGATCTACAACGAGTGTGTTCACCAATCATGGCCAAGTTACATGGACAGCAGCAGAGCACCAACGGGTCCTGCGATGGACCTACTGTAGAAGAAGTTGATTAACTAATCTGTAATTATTTTTGGATATTCATGACTGTTTTTAAGAATGATTAAGAGAGAAATCGGAGACATATTGGTTTTACATGTGGCTTGTAGATTTTGTAGTCTTTCTTGGATGCATAATTTTGTAAACATATTTTTCTGCACATCATTTGGAACAGGTGTCCTTCAGTTTTACAGTGAAACTAATGGCATACTCAGTATAATTTATGTCAGTCCTTATTGAGACTTTTTATCTATATGCTGTCTAAATAAAGCAAACGCTATTTATCTGAGTTTTTAAGTGTCTTGAGTTGTGTATTTTTTAAGTCTTATTTCTGAATAACTGAATATATGGACTGTAGGAAACAATTTCTATTTTGAACGATAAGAAGCAAAAGAAATCAAAATGTACTTGTTTAGGGCAAGTGGAAGAAAGTTGAATAAAAAAATTTCAAAATACATAAGATTTCTGAAGAGTTCAGAGTTAAATTTCCATTCTTGGAAAACTCAAACGATGTCTAACAAGGAGTTAACAGTTCCGGACTTTTCCGACCTTATTCAGCCTAAATTATCCTAGTGAAAACAACGTAAGCATGCATATAAATGCCTAAACCCAGTAAAATAAGTGCGACCAACTCGCGATCAATTAAGGCTTGCATCTGATTGGTAGAGAGGATATCTAGTTATTTAAACCAATCGGAGAGCGTTATGAAGGCCCCTAACTAAAAAGATCGTGCTTGAATTCCAACACGTACCAGACATCCATTTTTCCACGTTTTAGTAGGCGAGCACAGATACTTACAATGATACGATCTGATCTTATCAAGTTGACAACATTTTTCACTGTGTATCAAAATTCCTTGCTTAAACTAACTGCATGGCTTTTTAATAGGGTGAAAGATATTGTATGGCAATGTCTAAAGTTACAAATTCAATTTCAGGACGGGATGGAAGGGACGGAAGAGAAGGACCCGCGGGACCGAGAGGATTAAAGGGACCGAAAGGTTTTAGTTTGCAAATGAATAGTAATTTGTCATTCATTACAAAGGTGTTACATGAACTTGCCCCTTACATTCCCGTTTCAACCATAGGTGACAATTCTTTCAAAGGCCAAAGAGAACGCACTGAAACTGGAAAATAGAAACTCATACCAGAACACTTTCTTTTTCTTTTCTCAAATCGTTAATTTAACTCTCCACGGTTATATGTGTTTTACTGATATTTTACTAAAAAAGTTTCAAGGTGGCTTTGAAAAATTTAAGTTAATTGTAATTACCTAGTCAGTGTATGAAACTTTTCGTGAAAAACTTTTGCACAGGCTAGTGGAATTGACCCAACCAACATGTCTCATACCATCAGAAGACATGAAACATTTACCTCTAAGGGCGACTTCTGTGCCAGGCTGTTGAGACTTCGTTTACTAAATTGAACTACCTTCATTTTCAGTACTTATTGCCTTCATGAAACTACGATCTCATTTTCTTTGATACCAAGTGATACTGGTCGAACGGGAAGTACTGGACTCAAGGGACCTCCAGGCCCTCAAGGAATAAAGGGACAAGAAGGACAGATGTGTGTTATAACCGCTGGGGACGAAAGAACTGCTCTGGAAATGCTACTCTGGTGTACACAGGTGGGGAGAAAAAGCATTTTATGTGAATGAAGAATAATTTAACCCGCAATGACTCTCGTATGTTATCATTTTGATTTTTTTTGTGTTGTTCTTTTCTAACCGAGTCAAAAAAGTAAGAGGCTCGAACGGGAGCCCGTTGCTCCTGGCCCGAACTAAGGAGTAACTCAGCAGTCCTGAAAAGGGATGTTGCAGGTGATGGTGAAAGCCATTTCAAATATCACAATGATATTTTTCGCCGGGTGGCGACAGTTCATTTTGTCTTGGTGGATGTTTTGTTGTTTGTACGTTTGTTTTACCTTTTTTCGATTTAATCTTCCTGAGCCGTAACGGGAATACTTTTTATTAGTAAACCAAATTTTTTATTTCAGCAAGCTGTTAGTTTTAAGAGGTTTATGAGTCTTCTTTGGCTTGTGCAAAAGGATTTATGGGCAGCGGCTATTATACTCATACCGGAGGTGGTACCAACTACGTTTGTCTCACCAACAATCCCATTTATGATGAGTTTGTTGATGGTTGGCAAAACACAGCAGCAATCTATGGCACCGAATATCAAGCCTCAACATTTCCAGACCTTAAGAACCTTGACCAGCATGACGCACCATGTGCTGCGTGTTATGTTAGAACACGAGGCTCACAAATAATGATACCTGGAACAAACAAGTGCCCTTCGGGTTGGACAAGAGAATACAAGGGGCATCTGATGACATCATATTAAGGTTGTGGATGGAGGTCATAGTGGCACCAATGGGGCTCTTTTGTATCTAGTACAGAGAACCGGTCACGCTTTGCCATGTGGACCTTACATAAGTGGCCATGAACTCACTTGCGTCGTTTGCACCAATTAGTTCAGATTTAAGATTTCCCTTAACATTTTGACGTAGACGATTTGTTTATAGTTTTTAAACTTCAAGTACTAAAACAATTAAGTACAAAGTCAAATTTTGGGTTAGCCTCCATTATTAATGTAGCTTTACGCCAATAAAAGGATTACGTACTGAAATACTGCCTGTGCATTCTAAATGTAAAACTACGAATTATATTTTTAATGAAAATAACTTTTTATTGTCTGTTATTTTAGATCGGGAATCGGGAGCGAAAGGAAAAATGCAGAGATATATTCATTAACGAGACATTAGGAGCCGAAAGAAACAAACTGTTATATGAACCTCGAAACTCGGTATTTAGATATAGTGGATTTTCAGAATGCATAAAATTTCCGAATTCTACGCATGGTGTGACTGCCAACAAAGTCAGGTTTCAACACGTAAACGCTTTAGAATTTATTTAAATTACGGTTGATCGTGGTTGCTAAAAGGAACAAATAATTACAAGTTATTACGAAGTAGAAGGAATAGGAAAACGCAAAACAACAGAGGAAATACAATCGGACAAGGAAAGACACTTACAAACGTTGTGTAACTTGCGAGCACAAGGGACGGAAAAACTAAAAGATGATCGCAGTGAAGGAATCAATGTTAACCTAATGCACTCTGATACTCTAATGTTCAATTTTTTGAGAAATTTTTACGAATGAAATTGATCAAAGAGGAATTATGCGAAAAATCTAACAAAATACAAATCGCCGATTTGCGAAAACAATAAGAAAAATGTGCGTGCAAAAACACAAAAATGTAATTAGGAACGTAAAAGGAAAGAAATCACTAAGTGGGAATGCCGCAGCAACAAAAGGTAACCTCCGGCTTCTATCTTGGAGAAGCGAAAATATTGAAAGCGGAAAGGGGTGGTCTGCTGGAGAAAACATTTCTTAACTTTTGACCGGATGCCATCAGGGAGTCCAAGACTGACCTTAATGGTCAATCCAGCTTGCCATCGTTAATAATAAGTTCTACATCTCGAGTGGATACAACGTGAAAGGGAAATTTCCTCGAGACAAACTTGACGAAATTCGCACCAACTGATAACTTTTGAAGTTTGTCGAAGTTGCGTTCCGAACAAGGTGAATATCAGCTCGCCTTCCAAAATATTGACAATTTAAACAATTCACGGAATAGAAGATTATTTGCTGATTCGACGTCGGACATTTTTTGTTCGAAATATAAGGATTCCTTTTCGATAACAAAACCGAGTAAATGATTCTATACTCGCCTGTTTATCAAATTCCTTTTATTCTTGTTACACTTATTATGACAGCATATATCAATCACCAACTACGTGTCGATATCCGAAACAGCGGTCCTGAGTTTTGGTAAATTCACAAACTTGAGACTTTTGAACGATACCCTAGAACTGTACACGATATAAAGACTTACATAACTCGCTATTATAAAAAAGAGACTATGTATACTAGATATAGTAGTCTAGATATGGAGTCTTTTTGAAAATCAATCTGATTGTAGCAATAAGTTTTTAACAGGAAAGTGTTTCTAATTTCGATATTGACATTTTGTTTGCAAATCTTAAATTAAGGTTTTACTTTATCACTTTCGCAGTGTACTTATGAAATATTCCTCGAACACAAACCTTTGACTTATGTTTGGATTATCATTTGCAAAATAACTAACGATCTCTTTGTCTGTCTTGCCCTGTTGGAACAACTGCCGGATGTCATCTGCCAAGGTCTCGGCGAGTGGATACCCATCATCCGGAAATGATGTTCCCGGGTCGCTTTCAGCGTTAACCTTTGCCTTGATGTCTTTAAGTGGCCTATCCTGGAAATATCCCTGGACTGCATAGTTCAGGACCTTTTGGTAGCTATCAAATTCTGCAGAAATCTCCTCCCATGTAGCAGCTAAGGATGTCAGTTGAGTGTAACTATTCGGTGGTAGACCTGCCTCCGCTGCGATCTGATTCAGGGCTGCCGTCATAGCCTTCTGATACTGTTTTATTTGCTTCTGCTTTTCGTCGACGTCATTAATTGCTTTATCCAAATTATCCAGAGTCCAGACTCCCAGTCCAATTGTAGTGGCAAGGCCTGCCAGTCCAAACACGATACCAGCGATATTGAGACCTGTAATTATTTTGTCGAGCGTGGGAGTGCTGGAAAACGAACTTTCGGCCTCGGGGACGACTGGCGGTTCCTCGCCATTCAATGGTACGGGTTCAAAAGGATCTGGGAGAGGCTCTGTAGTGGGCTCGTCACCTTCAGCCTTACTTTGACGACAGTAGCGGACAATCTGAAGTAATCCGGATGCCACTTTCAAGGTGTTTTTGGTATAGCCAAATACTTTCCCCAAAGTGGTCACTGCCTGTTCAGCATTAGAAGCTGAAGTATCCTTAGCAATTTGCTCGTTGACCTTGTCTAAGAAGTCGCTGGGTAGTTTGTCGAGAGCTTTCTTGACGCGGTCCAGATTAACAGCGACCCGATAGTACACTTCATCGTAGAGGTCGCTGGCTTTGTCTACATCTTGTTTAAGCTTTTTCGCTTTGCTGTCTAATTCGTTCATCTTTTCTTTCTCGGCGACGCCAAACCCAACGCCTGCTCCAATATTTCCTAGACCGAGCAAAACTTTCCCGAGCCCAATACTGAGTTCTGCCATCTTTGCTCCTGCTAGAACGTCTGTTGTGGGTGATGAACGAAAACTAGCGACAAATTCTGTTGGCTAACATCTTAAATAAAAACTCGCTGTATTTGCATATTCATTGTTTATTACCATGAGTGGACAATTGTCGTCACGGCGTCACGTCGCTTTAGGGTTACAAGTGTATCGGTAATTTCAAAGGAAATTAACTTTTCGCTGACCTCACCGACATCTCGTGGTAAATCTGTTGACCAGTACTTAGCAGATTGTAGGAACCACGATAGAAAGTGTCAGGGATAGTCCATGTTTTACCGTAAACACGTGCTTTAGGCTTAGGCTTGATTTCCTAAACGCATAGGAAGTAATTTAACTGACGTCACCGTATGCAACAATAGCACCAGCAAAGAAAGGGGGCTGTCCTGGTGTACCGGTACACGGGGGAATTCCTATTGTTTTCATATCCATACATGGAGTTGTGACGCAGTTCGTTAATGTTTCGTTCCTTTGTGTACCGGTACACGAGGACACAACCAAAGAAAGGTTGTTCACGTCGACAAACTCAGAGTAACTTGTCCGACTAAATGCCGTCTAGAACGTCAGTTCGCCGCAATTCCATCACTTAGGATTTCCATATTATTTCTTTTTGCAATAAATGCAATTACATATTTAATTTTGAGAAAGGATAATTCTTGAGAGTTTACCAGCAATTGTGAATTGATATATTGTCACGAACAGGGCAATATCCGGTTAGTAACATGAAATATCCCTGATCTCATATTTCTATAATCCGCATGAGTGAGCAATTTTCGCCACGTCGTCACGTCGCTTCTAGGGTTTCTGGAATTTATGGAAATAATTTGTAACGTTACCGCCAAGGTGACGTGACGACGTGACGACAAGGATTATGTAAATACCGCGAGTTTTTGAAATGTAAGCCAATAACATCCGTCGTTAGGTCGGTATTGTCACGTCTGCAAATGAACCTTAGCTTTTGCTGACTATTTATCGAATGTGTTCAAGACAAGAAATAACTATCGTTCCGTGTTACACGCGTGAATTTTATTACCTGGCTTGTCCATAGAAAAACATTTTGAGTTAATGTGACGCTTTTGAAGGCCTGTTTGAAAACTGGGGGATTTTTAAATATCAAAAGATTTTACTCAGAGAAGTTAACTTAAAATTTATGCAAGTCAGTTGAATGAAGCCAAAGGTAGAAAACGAGTCGGTGACAAGTTGTTTCTGAATTGCTCAGAGAGGCAAAAAAAGCAAAACAAAACCTAACATCACGTTTAGTCGCATGACTGTATAATAACCGCCTGACATTTCTTCATGTTTCTTTTAGTTTGTCTTGAAAGACAACGAATTAATAAGTTGGCCCGCCTGTAATACGTGAAACAAACATTTCGAATTTCAGAGAAAGGCACGACGTGAAGCTAAAGTCACGATCAGTGATTGTTTACTTCCTTTACGTCATACATCAGTCCCTAGAGGTGACGTCGATCTATTTACAACAGAAAATTTGCATGACGGCACGTATTATGGCGTCCTTTTTAAGTCACGTCGTCAACAAGCGGAAAAATAAGACCAGAAATATATCTTATTATTGCCAAATGTGAGTGAAAAAATGATAGCTTATCATCAGCGAATTTTAGAACATTGTGTAACACAAGAGAAGTTCACTTTCTACTAAAAGTGTTAACACAAAGTTTGAGGTCACGTTTGGAGGAAATTAATGACGTCATTCGCTGAATAATTCATTTATGCACATCGAGTTGTAATTATAAATAGAGCGAGTTTTTATCAAAAGAGTCGCACTTTGATTTGGAGTACAAACAATTTCAGAACAGATAATTACGAAAAGATGGCTGGAGTCGCTCTTGCACTTACTAACGTCGCTCTTGGATTGGGAAACATCGGAGCCGGCATCGGTTTTGGTGTCGCTGAACAAAACAAAATGGATGATCTGAACAAAAAAGCAGACAAACTAAGCAAAGATGTCACCGCAGCCGGCAACATGTACGATCATATCTACTACATGGTCGCTGTTAACCTTGATCGTGTAAAGAAGGCCTTAGACAAACTGCCAAGCGACTTCCTTGACAAAGTGGAGAAGGACATCACAACCGGCATCTCAGATACCAGTGCTGAATCAGCCTTTAAAACAGTGGCTCAAGTGATGGGCTACGCTGGAGATGCGGCAGGACTGGGCGCGGGAGTGCTTCAAATTGTCCGTTACTTTCGTAATCGCAAAGCTAAAGGGGAGGAGCCCACAGAACCAGTGGAGGATCCCTTCGAGTACGTTCCCCTTGACGGCGTCGAGCCTCCCGCCGTGGTAGAGCCCGAAAGTTCATTTACAGAAACTCCAAAGCTCACTAAAGCCATAAATGGTCTAAATATCGCTGGGATCGTGTTCGGAATAGCAGGCCTTGCCACTACAATAGGACTGGGAGTCTGGACATTGGAGAAGCTCGATGACGCAATCGATGAGGTTAACAAGAAGCAGGAGCAAGTTACGAAGTTCCAGACGGCCATGACAACAGCATTAGATGAGATTGTTAAAGATGCAGGGCTCCCAGCTAAGAGCTATACTCAGCTGACCACAATGGCTGCAACATGGGAGAAGATCTCCGGAAATTTCGACAGCTACCAAAAGTCACTGGATTACGCAATTCAGGGATACGTCCTGAACAAGACCTTGGACCAGATCAAGGCAAAAGTGGTTTCCGTCAGCGACTCGGAAACTCCATTCCCAGAGGATGGTTACGCCCTCGCCAAGACCCTTGCAGATGACATCAATTACTTGTTCTCAAAAAATAAGACAGACAAGGAGATCGTTACTTACTTTGCCACTGACAATCCCAAATTAGGTTTACGATTTGTTTTTACTGAATTCTTCATCAGCTCCCTACGCCCATGGTGAGCTGTATAACCTGCATTTAATTTTATTTATGTTTTAATATTGATTATTTTATTATTAGTACGGATCAAAACGTCAATACCAGAAGTTTAGGAATATTTTTTTCTTTTCTTCGGTAACCGACATCTAATCGCAAAGAAAAACGCATCGGCCTCTGAGCTCGATGGTAAAATGAACACGTGAAAAGTAGCCACAATATGGAATTTAGGGCATAGAATAAGAATATGGATGTAGCATATGATTCTTTTTTATATTTCTTGTAACGATGCCACGAGTTACTACTCTTGAGTTTCTAGTCTTTGTTTTATTTTCATATGGTGATGCGCACTTTGAACACGTCAGTTTCAACTAGTCATTTGTGTACCGCTCTAGACATTGCTGTTTAAGGGAATTGAAACTTTTATTCAGCTCTTTGCTTTTATACTCGCGTGTAATACGTGTAAATTTATCATAATTAATAAAATACGTGAAACGAACAAAGGAATGGCTAATCTTTGAACTAACATTTAGCATAACTATTATGGAATATAAGAACCATTTTAGGCATCTTTACCCCTTGATAACCGTGTGGCATGGCCGTTTGGGAGAATCTTGATAAAGGTCGCCGGTACAGACCGAACGAAATGAACTTAATTAAAATTCCGTTCGTGTTATTTACGAAACACTAAGTTCTGAGGCCAGAGGGACTGCTAAAGGTTGAAGAGAAGTTGTCAAAGGGTTGTATTAGGGCTGTCCTATGTACTATATTCCAGATGTTTCACGACAACGTAGATATATCACATTTTATTGACACAATCTACAATTTTATATCAAGATATTAATAAAGTTCTTTACTCTGTATAAATAATCATGCCTCTTATAGAGAATGAAGTCTCTGACGTTCGCTAAATAAATTCCATCAAAAAAATCAAAGCTAATTCTTGAATTGTTAACCGGACACTGACCAGAATATAGTGCAAAATCTGTATCTTTTCTTCGGTCGTATGTTAAATTTTTTTAATGTTTTGTTGTGTTTTTCCGAAAATTTGCTGTGGACTTTGTCTTTCTTTCAGAGAAAAAGGAGAAAGGAGAAAAAAAATGCTGAATAAAGAAATATGCTACTCTCTTTCCTGGCTCACTATTGTGAAAATTACAGATCTGATAATCTGATAGAAGAGACACGAGGCCTCCTAACAAGCTGCTGAAGAATGAGGATTCATGGTCACTGCGTTAAGAGAAACGAACACACAATCCATGAACTCTTAAGAACGAAGAAACGTATGTCAATTTAAGAGAACAGTTTGACACGATGGAAATGAGATTGGAACAATCACTCCAAAAATCAGCCTTTGGCGAAGCCAACCTCATTTTGCTTCTAATTCTTGCGCAAACAATAACTACCCTTCGTGAAGAGGTTGAGCCGAATATCACGACTCGTCAACTAATTTTAGTATTCTATCCTTGATTTTTTGCGTGGCCTTTTTCGCATTAGGAATGACATATCTTTCTGTCTCAGTCACTTCAATTGTTTCTCCGTCGCTTGTTCCATATTTAAATGTGATCAAGTCTGGATGTCTTCTTTTCGAAGTTATTTTGACCACTGAAGTCAGATGATGCCTGTTTTGAATGAACGCCCAGCCATCTCTTTTAGGTATCTCGCGTAAAATAAACATTTGAACATCTGTGAGGAGAATGTAGCTGCAAAACAAAATAATGTAAAGAAAGAAAGAAAGCAGAAAAAAGGTGAAAACAACATAGGTTAGAGAGATCCAACAAACACCAACGTCAGCACGAAACTGAGTACGTCACACTTTTTTCTTAATGAAGCCTTTCACTAATGCTTGCACAACGCATAAATCCCCGCTTCAAACTTTTTAAGTTATTGTTCTAAAAAGAACAACATAAAAAGAGAGATGCAAAGGATTTTTTGGGATGTCGTCAGAACAAGAAAGGCATATTGCATGCTATAAAGATCTCCAGTCATTTCCTATTATTTTAATCAAATTTATTGTTATCTCAAACTGTTTAGAACCGTTCGAGCTAGCAAAGTTCTGCTAAGATCAGAACCTGAATTAGTCGTTTGTGTACTCAGAGCAGTTTCCAACTTTCTAAAAGGTGACATGGTGGAGTAAAGACAATGACTGTGCAGTTAAAAAATTTCAATGTTATATATAGTACCTTGGTGTCATGTATCCACTCCTGATGATCTGATGGCACTTAAATGAGGCTACCACATCCTTACGATGAAGCCATGTATCTATATTCACTGCTTCCTTGCGTGTTTCTTCCTCTGAGCTTGCACTGCCATTATCTAGCAAGGTAAAAGAAATGTTATACCCATGTAACTAAGGAAGGTTATTAGAAGGTTTCATTTTGACTGCTGACAAGACGTCATTTAGCCATTGTATTGTCCATCTCCCTCCTTGCAAAATAGTCTTTCTTTAAAGATACCCACACATAATAATCTGGTGCCTACATGTACATTGAAAACCATGCTATTCCTTTTTCTAAACACCGACAAATATAGGATGCAAATCGACAAGTTAACTGTCATGCGTTCGCAAAGGGGTAAACACTCAATATGAAATTCACTGAAGGGTATTTCAAATAAAAAATTACATTTGACGAACTGAGTATAAACTTCGAATTGCAACTGAAGTAATTGCAGGAAATAAAGCCGTTTTAACGGAGCATGAACACGCCGGTGCCTCACAGATGGCACCCGGGAAACAGCAACAGCTGAGCTCACATAACCTAATTTCTGGAGTGACGCAATTCCTTTTTTGGGAAACAAAGGGCCCACTGACATTTTCCACGCTCCAAAACCTGTAGCTTATACTTCAGTTGGTCAGAATAGTAAATCAACATTTAAGAGAACGGGCAAAGGTTTGAATCCTATCGAAGCCTGAACTCTAGTTTCTTGCTTTCCTGTTTTGAGGTTTTACGTTCCTTTGTTAGTGAACTTTTTCCATCTTATCTCAAGAAATAAACTTGTGTTGAATACAAATCAATAATTACCTCCTTCTTCATCTTCGTCGTCAATACTGAACACTGGTTGTACGTTTCTATATAGCTTGCTCTGCCTGTCTTTCTCACTAACGTGTCTGGTACAAAATAAAACAGTTCTGCTTAATAAACGTTTAACTCACGGATTCTCCGTAGTTCAGTTACCTCTTCTTTAATCCAAATACAGCAACGAAGTAAAAAAAAAACTCATGTGGGTATCACGTACAACCATGGTGAAATTATAAAGGAAGCTTGACCCATTTAATCCTTTTGATATTAAAAAATTGTGTAAGAGAAATACATCTTGTATCTATGCCAAGATTAAAAAAGATATTTTAAAGCAAATTATTTCCTGTTCTATTAATTATCAAGGTTTGAGCTTCTAATAGCAAAATATAAATTCACCACTAGTTGGACAAAAATATAGCAACAAGTTTGCTTGTGAAATCAGTATGAAGCTGGTAAAGTAGCTAAAGCTGTCATCCAGCTGGGCCAGTTTTTCAGAGGCTGGGTAAAATTTGAAATTACAGATTTCTTTATTCCTCTGTTGAAAATTCTTTTCAGGATAAATTTCTTATTCTTTTTAGAGCATCCAATAATCAAATTCTAGACAAAAAGAATTAAACCGAGTTCTCTTTTAACACTCTCTGAATTTTCTTTTAACTCTCCAAGATCTGATTGTTAATTCTCTCCTTTAGCTGCTAAACATTTCCTTGTAAATTAGTTACAAACATTTGGTGTTGGATAAAGATAACAACTTCTGTCCCTCTAGTTTGAGTATTCTTATTACCTGTTTGCTGAATAATTACCTTTCCACAGGTTGATGTGATTCAGCAATGTATTTTCCTATTTTCTGTGTTACATGAGTCCCTGATTTTATAGCTGAGGACAACATGCTGACCAGGCCACCCTGTATGTAGCAAACATGATTTTATGTTATGGAATAAATTGTACAGTTTGAATAAAAGGTTACTACCGAAACCAGAAAATATATGGATTATCCAGGAACTGTTATTTTTCAACCAAAACCAAACCCAAGAAAGCAGACCAACACTGTAGGACAGACTAGAGGATATGTCCAAAGGAGTGATATGTAAACTCTATTGCAATCTTAAATAAGTCCTAATGAATGTAGGAAAAAAGAAAAAGGAAACAGACTGAAACTGGCAGAGCCAAGTATCATTGTCAATGTAAACTAGACAAGTTATTGGAGTGTGACATGGGCCTCCCAAAACACTCAGTGAAATTAGGTAACTACATTGTTTGGCAGTAACTTCCCCTCGGAAACCTACTGGTTGCTGTTGGTTGCTGTCATCATTGTTGTCTTTTTTTTGTGGTTTCATGAAATGTAATCAATCTACACAATTTAGTTAGAAACTTACTCTAGAATCACTAGGGCTCTGTTCCCCTCTTGACAGTTCATGATAACTCTACAAAACATCCATCCAAAATTAGATAACAACATAATAGTGATTTTTCCTGTATTCAACATATTTGTGTTTTTATCTGGTTGCCTTTTTTAGCTCCTGAGAGTTGTGTGCACTGAGGTTTTTTTTTTCGATTATCTACTCACCTCATCTTCTGAAAAGGCTTCTGGTGTACAAACAATGCAAGTGTTTGGAGTGTGGTCTGCCAGTCCAACTGATAAGTTGTCAGATAATAATTCATGGAGAGCTGAAAAAAAAAAAAACATTCCAATGGAAATAAAAGTTTACTTCACAAACTAACCTTAAGTAGCAAACTAATTCTACATTCATCATCCCCGTGGCAATCTTAGAATAGAATAAAAATCCTAATTTTTGGGGTAATTGTATAACTACTGTATATGTGTATTGACATTAACTTTCACCGCTGAGCATAAAGGTATTGAGCACAAACTTAAGGTATTCACAATTTAGTATCAAAGTTTAAACACAGGTATTTCATGCTAAGAGGAAATAATACCTTGGTATCCCCCTCGAGCAATACTGACATACTTGGACTTTTTCTGGAGAACAACAAAGCATCAAGATCAATCAGTGATGAAATAAGACATGAAATTTTCTAGAAAATAACCAGACTTGGGTAGTTTATTGGTAATGGGAAGAACCCACTCCTTATGCACTGATCAATCATACAGAAAAGCAAGTATGATCATACAGGCATGCTTACTATGGAAATACTGTGCACTGAATAGTGTACAGTGTATGAGCCATCATTTGAAAGGAATATGGACCCTCACTGAAATTTTTTGCAAACACTTTCTTAATAGGGCCTACCTTCAAATTCTGCAATCTAATTATGCAACTGCTTATTCAACTGATACATGTAACTGAGATATAATTTGAGTGATATACTTTACCAAACCCATGCAATAACATTGACAACTGACAGTTATGCACTTACCTGAAGAAAGTTAGCAATGACCATGTGTACATACTGGTCTTCTTCTTCTCGTCCTGAGCCAATAAAGCACAAGTGCTCTCCACTTGCAGCTGATCCTGCCTCAATAGACTGTTGCTGAGTGGCAAACAACGCATTGGCTGCTGTAGCAAACTCTGATGGAGCTTGTAACATCTGTAATCAAGGATACAAGTTACATGACTTTGGACACTGTTAGACTTAAGTAATTGTGAGAAAATTTATACAAATTTCAATACAATCACTTAGGGTGTTTAGAGAAATTTCAGTTGAGTGAAAGTCTGAAGGGAACTTCTTCAATGATCTTAGAAGGTTTTCTTCCCAGTTCTGAAGTACTATAGTAGCTATCATTTCAAGGATAGCATCTTAAACATGCCTTTTGCCCAACAGCACAAGCTTGTCACAAACTGATCACCACTAAACTTTAATTTCGAACTAAAACAGAATGCCAAGAAAAAATTTTATTAAGCAATTAGAAACCTATCAACTAAAACAATTGATAACAATGTTCCAACACCCCTTTGCCTAGGACACTTTATTTATAAAAATATGAAGTTTCCCTCCATTATTTCATTTGGTCTATAGTTCAATGTTTAGCTCAGCTGCTGGCACATGCTGATCTCAGTGTTACCTCCTTCTACCAAAGTCAAGCACTTGAATGACTGATCTATTCTCACCAGGTTAGCATCCAAGTGAAAGGCAGTAGGAAGGTGGCCACTGTTGTACTGATCCGCTGGCCTGCAGTCCACCACAAAAAATCTCACACCATCCTTCTGTACAAGGCACAAAACATGATCATTATTGCGACAACAAGCAACACCATTTTTAACTAACAATATGACTGTATTATGTTGTAGACGCCCATATAAACCCCTAAAAGTGACAAACAATTATATCTCCTTACATTATCACCCCTAAATCACATACTAAGGTCATTAGAATAGAGAGAAGGATCACCAATTTAAAAAGTTCTAGATTTTTCATCAAATTTTCCTTGTCAGAACCTTACAAAATGTATAGAAAACAATATGGAGAATGTGCATACTGACATTGAGTTGTAAAGGTTAAAGCCTTCATTCAGTCAAGGTCACTAATACAGGGAATTGCATAATGTTTTCTCACTGTAAATCAAAACTTTGAATGGCTAGTTATAACTGCATTTAACATACTTTAGAGGATTGATTGACTTCAACAAGTTCAGACACAGAGACAGGTAGACACAATGCTTGAGAGACACTGTTAGAATTGATGGTTTTTATACCAAACAACTGGTTATAATATTCCTGCAAGGTAAAACAGATAAAAATAATTTCAAAGGCTAAGAATTGTGATCTAATACCTGCTTTTAGGCTGATAACTGAGTTTACTTATTTGGGAAGGGTTTTCCAATTTCTGATACAATGAAAGCATGTGACAAATATAAGAATCCTTTATGAAAATCTTTCTGCTTCTTTCTGTGTTTTGTTTTTGTCATTTACTATTGTATTTCCAACCCTTTATCTAACATAAATAATATTAGAAATAACCCATATCAAAAAAAGTTGACATTAACAGGAAAAATATATAAATGTGTCTTGTATAATCACTGTTCATTTTCCATAATAATAAAGACATATTCTTGTAAATTACATGTACATGACTATGCAACACAAATTGCCTTGTACAGTATTAGAAAAAGAATGCCACATCAAAAAATACAGCTTTAGCACCAACCTTTCTGAAAGACTGTGGTGTTCTTGAAGCATAATACTGAGCTAATGAACAAAAGTCTTCAATGTCATCTTCCTCCAATTGTAAAGGAATGGAAGAAATTGTCTCTGGGAAAAAAAAACAGAGTCAAAGCAAATAGCAACTTGATACAACTGTGGCCCTTACTTCAAAATCAGTTTTTTCTCCCACAAACTTATGTGTAGCATTTGAGCTAGCTTAGAACCTTTAGGGAGAATGGAATTTTAAAACAATGTATGGCATTCAGAAATAAACATCATTCTCAAAATAACTCAATTTCTCATTTTTAGGATTATGGTTTATACACCTGTAGAAGGTAAATCTGTAACTAGTCTAATCGATACAACTTAAAATTCATTTCCAACTACAATATCCTTTTTTGATTAGTACTATTATTACTAGAAGTAGTCATAATAACACAGTCAGAAAACAAGAATTTTATAGCCGGCACAATTAGTTTTTCTCACCTAGTAGTTCTGTTTTGTTTTCATGTTCCATCTCTAGAAGCATGTCTCTAAAATGAAAATTTCACAAGAAAGGGTGTGACACACTCTTGTCTAAATGAGGTAAGCTCTATTCATCAGATACAATGTAGATCACTATCCTGAACAAAGCATAGTTTTACAAAAGATAACTTAAACACATAACATGCATCTTAACCTGCAGGCATGTACCAGTACATTGTATATCCAACAATGCTCCTTTCTTATGCCTTAATTTCAATTATTTTAAATGCCAACAGCTATTCATTTGACTTTAAAGTTGACTAATGCTCAGGATAACTTTTAATTACATAACAATCAAACAATGTAATTATCAAGTTTGTTAGGTTGATATCTATCCATGGCATCTAATCAAGAGATACCTAGCAAAAGGAGTCATGTGTCTAAAAGGTTAGGGGCTTAAACTGTGACCCTAACACAAGGGCAGCTATATAGCATTTAGTAATGAAGACTGAGAGATGTCTGGGTATCCATTACATTCAAACCATGGGGTAAGGATAAAGCAAAAGAAAATAAAATACATTAAGAAATGTTCTAGTTCTCACCTGCCATTAATGACCATCACAAGCATAAGGAAAAAGACCAAAAAGGGATCAGCCTCCAGGAGATATACATCCCAAATGGCTCTTAATACATTTGTTTCACAGGCTACCATAAAGAGACTTCGTAGCTTAAAGAAAAAAAAAGTTATGAAAAAACCTTCCTACAATTTAAATGGCAATGGTCAACCCAAACATAAACATAGACATTCAGTAACAAAAATACATAACTCTACAGGAAAAAGTACATATCTCTATCCCAAAAAGTGTTTATTACAGGAAGATGCAGATTCTTACCCATCTTTGACAATACATGTCAGGCCAAAGTTTTTTAGATTCTAAGAAACAGCACAGTTCAGGATCATGGTACTGTAAGAGGAGTCTATATAAATGAAATGGCTTTCCATCTCGAACACAGTCTCTACAAACAAAATGAATCAATAAATAGATAAACAAAAAATAATAATTATAGCAAATAAGTATAAGACTAGTTAACCCTAATTCCCAGCAGTGATTCACATGTAACATCTCCATTCGATATCTATCCACTATCCAGCAAACAGTTAATGAGAGTACTCAAATGTATCTGGTAAAAGTTGTTATCTTGATCTAACACCAAATTCTTGCCACTTATTAACAAGGAAATATGAAGCAGCTAGAGCAGAGAATTAACAAGCAGATTCTGGGAGTTAAAGGGTTAACAGTAAGTGATTAATCATTCCAAGTGGATGTCATTTTACAAACTCTCTCCCAAACAAAGAAACATAATTGTTTTCACCCTGAAGTTAACTTTTTGAATACATTGTACACATCAGGAGAAAAGTTTTCCATCATTCATGTTAAGTCTGCATGTAAACAAAAGCGATTTTGCTCCTTTGCTAATGTTGTAAGTTTTGTGGGTAAAAACTTCATATGAAAACTGTTTACTTTACAGATTTCATGTTGCTGTATTTTCAGAACACTTTAGTGTGACAACCAAGACAGTTGTTTAATTGGACAAGATATGATTAATAATAAAGTATATGGTATTGATTAAATGAAACACTTGGGAGATAAAATGTACATGTTTCTTAACGTTTCCAATCAATCATTTCATCGCCCAGTTTGCAACATTAAATAAATGTAGTGTTGCAGTTTAAAATATAAATTTGTTGTTGGTTTTTTTTAATCAGAACTTTGCTATGTACATAACTCATTACAATTCATGCCTAACAGGAGAAAGAGGACATAAATCAAAATAGCAGAAGTGAAATAATTCACTGTGAATGAGGTCAATGAATCTTGTAGTCACCTGGGTATGTATTTGTAGAGCATTGCATAAAAGCAATTGTAAACATCATTCATGGGCAGCTCCAACATCATAAAAGGTGCAAGCACTTCTGTTAATCCACTGGTAGGATGGTACTTTTCATTTCGAGATTTACAGTAAAATGTTATGATGCCCTCCATGTCACGCGCCACCTCTTCTGCTTCATCTTCTGGCAGCCGAAGTTTAACTGCAAAAGGAAATATTATTTTTTCCAACCTTATATTTGATTACTTGATCATAGCTATGGAAGGACTCATACATGGGGTCTAAGTATGGAAAAAATTGTCTGAAAGTCACAAGTGGATCAAAATGTTACAAATCCATTTTAAGTGCACAGCGAAACACTTCAGACTGAGACTAGATACATAGTAATTCTATGAAATTTAAGGGGACTGGAGAAACAAAATCAGGTTGTAACACTACGGAATATTTCGCCTATGGAAAACCAACAAACAAATGACCAAACAAAGATTTAAACATCTGGCTAATATGATGCAATTAAAACTCACCACAGCAGCTATACTGGGACAAATAGAAAGTGGCATAGGCAAAGAGTTGACTGCTACCAGAAGGAATGGGTGTAATGAGACAGCTCAACAGAGGAGGAGGGTGTTCATTCAACACATATCAATGGCATCAAAAATACCAAATATCATTCCCATTGCTAACACCCCTTCCCATAACAAAAGATATTGATGAGAGAGCAAAATGGCAATTAGAAAAACCTTTCATTCATTGTTCCTATCCTTCTTTTGCATTAAGGTTACTTTAGGAGTCATGATATGCATTAATGAACATTATGCAAAACTGTTTTCAGTTTACATAGGGCTAAACTAAAAAAAAACATCAAGAGGTCAGCATAGAGATGGAGAAGTGAGAACTAAGCATCATCATTGTATTTAAATATAAATTTTTTAATGTGTTGAATATCAATAAGTAAAATTTGAAGGTTAATTTTTGTTTGATTAAGACAGTTACAGGCCAGGCTAACTCCAATTTTTTGTGGGAGAATGAAACTGATTCTTTAAAAACTTGTCACATCACTAGCTGTTTATAGATCTGACTGTTAAACATAGCTGCTTCAGGTTCAACCCTAGCTAAGCTATACAATTTGAGGCAAAATTTCTTTAACTTGCCACATTTACATTCTGGACAGGAATAAAGCTCATTGTATTAACTTTGGTTTACAAATCAGTAACACTGACACTCTTAAGTTTCTACTGACAGAAAAAAAGAAAACAACATAAACCTTCTTTCAATGGGAAGTCTTGCATAATATAAAAAAAAAATTAGAGAGTTAATTCCGGAGTGGTACAAGTGTTGACTACCAGCATGAAAAATCATTTGAAAGAACAAAAAGGGCCCGAGTTTTAAGTTTTCAACTTTTGTCATATATTATGAATGAGGCCACCACACTCGAGGAAAATAATAGATGACTTCATGATCATGTCCAATTTAACGCATCTTAACTCAAAATCATCGCTAATCAAACAGGAAATAAATAGAAAAGTATCCTCAAAGAACACAGAGAGTTCAAATTTTCCAAAGGAAGTGAAAACGCTAACATTTGACGCTTGTAAGTCACTAATTAATACTGAACTAATCAAAGCAAGCGTCTTTTGTTAATTCTCAACTCAAACACATAATTTCAAAAAAGGACCGGGCTATTACTTAGCTAACTAGTTGTTTAGTACTTAAACACAGACGCTACAGAGAACAATGGATAATTATAATTAACACTCACCAGCTTGTTTGCGACAGTCATCCCGGATTGTATCCTGTTGATTAAGATCAAGTAGTCCATCCCAACTTGACAACGCATCTGGTTTACCAACCACGTTTAGACAAACCTTAAAAAAGCAACGTCGTTCATAAATATTCACGCCTTAAGTCTTGTGCAGATTCAGTGTAAACGATTAAATAAATACCTTCCAAACATCCGCTCGATTTTCGGCTGGGATTTTATGACCTTTACATAGTTCGCGCAATCTGTCGATATCCTTTTGTTTTGACAGCGCCAAAACTAAGTCTGTGTGCCTGAAAGAGGTCATTTGAAGATTTTATCAGTGTTCTTAAAGACTATGAGTACAATATACCATTCGAAGAAGTCTTCAAAACCACTATAACCAAAGTATTTGGTGTTTTTACCATCCTGTATCATCTATTCTACCACCTTCCGCCATTTTGAAAACGTCATCATTGTCGTTTTCCCAGAGTTCTTAACATAATTGTAGGACCGCAATACGTCTAAGCAAATCGTTCCCGTGAACCCTCTCACTAAAAACATGATGACGCTATCAGTCGGTGTCAAAAGGAGAAATTCTCACCGTCCGCCATGAAAAAAGCGGTTATAGTTAACATTCAAACGGTTGCAAGGTCTTTCGATCCTTTGAACCCCGATCTGCGACTAATAGGTAGACTTATAATATTTTATCGCGGCCAAAATTTGAGTTGTGTGTGACATATTTAAACAGCTATTTCGTTACTGGAGAATTCAAAGAGGAGTGCTTCCTTTCTACAATCATTTCAAGTATATTATCACAACAATTAGACTTCTTGAAGAAGAAACGCGAAGGTGTTCGACAAAATATGCTTATCAAGCATGTTATGTACCGACGTGTTAATTCGTATTACTCTCAAAACTGTTTTGCTTGTTTATGACATCACTGAGGGGAAACCCCCCTGTCAATTGTAAAGGTCAAGAATTCGTTTTGATTATCATCTGTCTGAGATGATCTGCAGCATATTTTTTTTTGTAATTGTTAAATTGTGATATGCGAAGGAAAGTGTCATTTCGACTTCAATCGTGCAGTCACACTAACAAGAAATTAGACAGTGGTGCGAACCATATATAGAGAACTTGGATCACGGCCGAAACTTGACAAACTTTGATGTTCACTGGGGTCAAGGAACCGAAGTTAAGGGAGTTTTAAAATTTCCTTTGCACAGACTTGTAGTTACACCCCTCCTAAAATAGAATGATGGGATATTTTTGACAAGTTACATCATTAGGGATAATTACCTTACCAATGTTACTCTTTCAGCGCAAAGCTGCCTCTCCAAAAGCGTTTGGTGTCATCCTGCAACATACAAGATGGTGAGTACATGTTTATCCTCAATACATAAAAAGGAAGAAAAGCATTTTCCCACATGTTCCTTTGTTTAAAGTAATTAAGCTGAATTCTTCTTTCGTGTAAATACGATCTTGTGAATATTCCAACTGCAACGAAAAAAATCCAATATACATTGCCCTGAATCATCTGCATCTGCATCTGATGTGCAAACGAAACGCACATCGAGGTGGGATCTTTTAAAACCCTAGTACTACAAGCAATTTTGTTATCGAGAGCTATGTCGAAACTTGGTCGAGAGTGAATCGTAGCTGGCTTCAAAGTGTATCCCCTAGCTTAGTGTTATCCGAATGTAAATTAGAATTACAATCTCCTGAATAATTTCCTAATTAGGAAGAAGTGACACTGTACAAGCGTATAGAGATCTTTGTTTCAGGATTCATCTTTCGTTCATTCGTTCATTCGTTCATTCGTTCACTCGTAACACTGTGTTATCTTTTTTTCAATTTCATGTCTTCCTTTGAACCCCGGTCTGCGACTAATAGGTAGACTTGGAATATTTTATCGCGGCCAAAATTTGAGTTGTGTGTGTCATATTTAAACAGCTATTTCGTTACTGGAGAATTCAAAGGGGAGTGCTTCCTTTCTACAATCATTTCAAGTATATTATCACAACAATTAGACTTCTTGAAGAAGAAACGCGAAGGTGTTCGACAAAATATGCTTATCAAGCATGTTATGTACCGACGTGTTAATTCGCATTACTCTCAAAACTGTTTTGCTCGTTTATGGCATCACTGAGCGGAAACCCCCCTGTCAATTGTAAAGGTCAAGAATTCGTTTTGATTATCATCTGTCTGAGATGATCTGCAGCATATTTTTTTTTGTAATTGTTAAATTGTGATATGCGAAGGAAAGCGTCATTTCGACTTCAATCGTGCAGTCACACTAACAAGAAATTAGACAGTGGTGCGAACCATATATAGAGAACTTGGATCACGGCCGAAACTTGACAAACTTTGATGTTCACTGGGGTCAAGGAACCGAAGTTAAGGGAGTTTTAAAATTTCCTTTGCACAGACTTGTAGTTACACCCCTCCTAAAATAGAATGATGGGATATTTTTGACAAGTTACATCATTAGGGATAATTACCTTACCAATGTTACTCTTTCAGCGCAAAGCTGCCTCTCCAAAAGCGTTTGGTGTCATCCTGCAACATACAAGATGGTGAGTACATGTTTATCCTCAATACATAAAAAGGAAGAAAAGCATTTTCCCACATGTTCCTTTGTTTAAAGTAATTAAGCTGAATTCTTCTTTCGTGTAAATACGATCTTGTGAATATTCCAACTGCAACGAAAAAAATCCAATATACATTGCCCTGAATCATCTGCATCTGCATCTGATGTGCAAACGAAACGCACATCGAGGTGGGATCTTTTAAAACCCTAGTACTACAAGCAATTTTGTTATCGAGAGCTATGTCGAAACTTGGTCGAGAGTGAATCGTAGCTGGCTTCAAAGTGTATCCCCTAGCTTAGTGTTATCTGAATGTAAATTAGAATTACAATCTCCTGAATAATTTCCTAATTAGGAAGAAGTGACACTGTACAAGCGTATAAAGATCTTTGTTTCAGGATTCATCTTTCGTTCATTTGAGGTCTGAATTGATTAGTATTAAACCCTTTTCATATATAACTCGTGACATTGTCTCTTTTTTCCAACTCCAAGTCTTCCTTTGGTCCTTGATGAGCGACTGCTTAGAGAGACTTGGTATACAAAATTGCGGCCATAAGTTGAGCTGTCTGTCAATTTAACAAATTAATTGGTCACTAGAGTTTAAACAATACAGGATCCTTAGTTTTCACAATCATTTAAAGCTTATAATCACTGCAAGCAGAGTTATTAAAGAAAGAACGCGAACGTATTCGACAAAAATGTGCTTATCAAGCATATTTTGCTACCGTCGTAATCATTTGCATTACTTTTAAACCTGTTTTTCTTGTTGAATTAAGATAGCATTGAAGAAAGGGCTTAGATAAATCATGAAAGTGAAGAATTATTCCGACTGATGTCTGAGCTAGTCTGCAGCTGGTTCGCTTTCTTGTAAATATATTCATATAAAATTGTAATGTGTGCAGAAAAGCATCATGTCGACTTTAATACATGGTACAGTCACGCTAAATAGAAATTAGTTCCTTTTTCATTTTTATTTTTTTTTTTACTTAGGGTTGAAAACTTTGAATTAAATTTGACTCAGGAAAGTACAAATTATTGATTCTTGCGGGAGCTTTTCGAAAGAAGAAAACAGATTGATGAAAATAATCAGTGAGAAGTGTTTTTAAAAAAATAATAATCGAATGTTTTTCCATTGGCGGACATCTGCAAAGAGGTTGTGACCCAGTAATGAGATAAATAGAGAAGGATAACATACGCGTGAGGACAGAAAGGATATTTCCCAAGGATTAATAGAAATTGAAACAAAACTGAACCAGCGGAGAAATACGCTAATTGCGACGTAAAAAGATTGGTGGTAATGGTTATACGCGCGCCTGGGTTTCATGGTTTTTGTGTCATTTTGATCGGAGCACATCACGAAACCTGATCTGTTTTTCAGAAGTTATTGTCAAGAAGCCAGCTTTTGATCAAGGAGGACATCACGAGATCTGATTTATTTTAAGAAATTGCCAAGACGCTTGGATTTCAGACTTTTAAGCATATAAAGTTCTTCTTTTTGGAAATTTCTCTTTCGTTGATTTGAGGCTTGATTCGCTTCAAATCTGTCATAAATTACTTGTGATATGAGTTTTGCTTGCTTTCTATTCCATTTGATTTGATGTGCACCCCTTTTGGTCCTCGATCAGTGACTGTGTTCGAGTTAGCATACCTAATAAGTTGCAACCAGAATTTGACGGCTGCAGTGTGTGGCATATCAAATTATTTAGTGCCGAGTAGAGAAACAGAAGAGAGATTCTTGGTTTTCACAATCATTCAAAAGGTATAATCGCAGTAAGCTGACTTGTTAAAGAAGGAAAGCGAAAGTGTGCCACAAAAATGTGCACATTAAGCATGTTATTTTACCGGAACTTTTGTATGGATTTTGCAGGGCTTTGATTCAAGTGTCTAAGAGATTGGTAATTCTTTAATTCTTTTGTTACAAACGGAAGGCATTGATGTGTTTAGGTACGCGTCATTTGAAATTTTTGGACGCTACAATAGGGCACGTGCAGCATATTCTTGAGTTCTTGAGTGTGTGTGGGGGGGGGGGGAGGGAGGGGAGCCGGGGTAAAGATGAACGTATAAGCTTCAAGGGCATCCCCAGCAGGGCAAGCCTTTTTAAAAAAAATTAGGGGAGGTGGGGGAGCTAAGGGTCCCTCAGCCCCTCCCTCTGCGCGGGAAGTTACTGTCGTGACAATCTTGTGAGCGTATTACGTGACACTTTTTTTCTAATTTAGTAAGTAAGCTAAGGGTTTGGTGACAGTTGGGTTATCTAAGATTAAGTGTATAATTAAGCGTAGCACGGTAATAACAGACTCGTAACAAGAATGTTCGGATTGCGCACAGCAAAAGTGATATAGAAAATCAAAAATGGTCCGAAATAATTAGATAAGGAATTGGCACCTTTCAGAATTCTTCCCTTTTATTACGAACAGAGAGTTTGTCCCAAGTCGGTTCATAAACGAGCGAAAGCATACCAGTCAAATGATTGAATTTCACTTTCGCAGGTCAATCACAATCTTGAACACGATATTCAGTTAAAGTACTCATTTTTGCTATCGTTTATCATGTTTCACCATATGAGTTTATAAAAGAAAATTATTAAGCTTTTTGAAAATGTGCACTTTGATGGGGTCTTTCTTAACCCTTTGTTCCCAAGACCGTTCTAGTACATCACAGGGTACCCAATGAAAACTTGCTTAGGGGCTACCTTCTTGTAGAGTTTTATGCTAAGTAATCAAAATCATGATTTTAAGCAGAAACTCAAGAGTTGTTATTGACTCAGCGAGATTCATGTGTAAGGAACTTTTACTATGATATCCCTTTGACACACCTGATATTGCTAAGACTAGTGGAAACTTTCTATTATCATATAAATACGGTGTTATAAAAGGATTTCCAGCCCTAAGAAAAAATACGTAACACCACACGTGAAAAAATACGAAATTTTTTCACGTGTGTTTGATATCGCGAATCAGCTGCTGACACGTCAATCGCCTTTCGCTCAAGTTGATGAATGAACGGCAAAGTCTTTACTATTCTCAATCCAAGGTCGTTTGTCGGAATTTTCTCGGATTATGGCGGCTAAAACACTGAAAAATTCGTATCGCTTACAAACAGCGACCTTAAACCCTCTCTAGAAGGGGAAGAAAAGAAAAACCGGAAGTTACTTATCAGTGGTTTTGATGATGGCATTCTCGCAGCTGAGAACGAAAATCGACTGCTGGAAGATTTGGCACAGGCCGATTTCGCCGTGTATCTGAAAGATTTCTCCTATCAGTAAGGAAAAAGTCGATAACTGAGAATTTCGTATATTGAAAATTACGCCCATTGTTGTTTTTGAAATGACTCAACGAATTTTTTCATCTTGAGCCTAAGCGCCAACCCACTTTACGATTTTTATTCGGGGATAATCGATCCTTTAATTTTCAATAATTAATAAAGTTGACTTTTCTTGTTAGTAAAGGGCTCTTGAGTTTATATGATAAGCAAAATGGTACATGGTTGCTTGTAGAAATGAAGTTTCCCTTCTCGTGCTCAACTCGACATCTCATAACTTGTTCGCTGTGCTCACTCAAAGAGAACAAATTCCATATCTACGCGCGCCCATGTATTATTCTCTATATGTCAGCGTTAATAGGAATTGGAATTTTATTCAAATTTTGACATCGTTTCCGAACAGGTTTGAAAACTTATAAAAGTATCCTGACTGACAAGGGAAACAGCCTCAGGAAACCGTCATGATCTATACCGAAGAACAGCTAAACTACTTTAGAATTTGTTACATAGTCACCACTATACTGACACAGGCACTTAGATCAATTTTCAAAAAAGAATGGGACCGTCGTTATCCGTCGGGAGAATGGAATGATACACCAAAAAATGGACTGGACTTCTTCAACATGGAGTGTAGTGGGAGCCGAAAACCTAATGCTCGTCTACTAGCGACAATAAAACGCGGAAATAGTGCAAAGTGGGATTGCACAACGCTGTTTTCTGTACTCCTTAACTCCAACTCTATCTCTCGCGGACTTAGCCCAATGGATTGCTCGCCTATCGATGACCTCAGACAGTTTCGCAATGAAGAATTTGCTCACATGCCACGGGGCCAACTGCCAGAGAAACCTTTCATACTTGCCGTCCGTAGAGTTGAGACTGCGTTTCAGGTTCTTGGCTTTTCCACTGTCAAGATTCAAGAGATTCGTAAACAGACAAAATTCCCAACGGAAGAGCTTCAGAAAGTTCAGAGAGACGTTGATCGCCTATATCAAGAACTCTGCGAAACTAATGCTAAGCTACAAACCGCAGAAGAACACCGCCTGTTCCTTGAAGAGCTGTTACTTTATGACTTTTCCTCATTTTGCATTCTCCCCCCAAAACCATTCCACGAGATCGCAAAACGCGACTTCGAGGTCGCTAAAATCATGGAACAACTTGAACATCTGAGAAAGAGAAATAAAAATGGTTTGAGCTTCTATTACATTTCTGGTAACCCTGGAAGTGGCAAATCTCAACTGGCCCGTCTAGTTGCTGAGAAGTTCTACAAAACGGTTACCAAAGACCATAGTTACCCTTCTTTCGTGATGACTCTAAAAGCTGAAAGTTTAAAAACGCTTTTGGAATCATATATTTTATTGGCGCGACAGATCAAGTGTATCGAATACGCAGTGATGCCCATCGTTGAATCAACAGAGATGCAGGTTGAAGAAAAAGTAAAAAACCTCAAAGATTTGATAGCACCAAAAATTGAGCTCTATGGATCGTGGCTCCTGTTGGTCGACAATGTTTCCAATGTATCAGATATACATGATTTCCTTCCTCAGCCTGGAAACGAACAATGGACCAAAGGCCAGTTGCTTATCACAACACAGAACACTTCTTTCATCCCCTCAAACAACTCCTTTGTTTCTCACATTTCCGTGAGCGAAGGTATGGTGCCTACTGATGCGCGTTGCTTTTTAGCAAAAATCTCTGGCATTACAGTACAAGGACTAGAAAATAAAGTTGCGAAGGAGTTAGATTACCAACCCCTAGCTTTGGCTAGCGCTGCTGTCTACGTCAAAAAGATCCGTGAAGGAGTTAACGTAGAATTTGGCTGGAAAGAGTATCTAGAGAAGCTCAAAAGAGGAATGCGAGCTCTTACTGAGAAGGAACTAACACAGACGAACTCAAGCTACAGCACATCCATGACTGCAGCAACAAAGATGGCCATTGAAAGAGTGATTAACAGTAACAGCGTAGTAAAAACTGCATTTACTTTCCTCTCCCTCGTTGCTCCTCAGCCCTTGCATCTCGACATCGTTAGCAATTACGTTTTGATTGAGGAGAAGCACCTGGATAAAGAGGAAGTTGCCCTTCAGATCCAAGGATATTCACTGCTGATGCTCGAAAAAGGACGAAATGGATTTTTCATTAGTGTGCATCAAGTAGTGTATGACGTTATGAAATCAGTAGTCAAGGAGTTTTGCCAACCCAATCGACATGTTAAAGCTGCTGCTCTAACATCATTCAATCAATTCATAGAAACTAACCTAACACACACTTGGTACAAAGAGGACTGTGTTGCTGACAGCAAGCATCTCATTCCACACTTGAATGCACTTGCTCTAGAAATTGGAGACGTTTTACATGATTTCAATGCACTCAACTCTTTATACAAGCTAGGAACAATTTGTCGAAACCACTCTGAATTACCTGCAGCTAGAACATACTATGACACAGGTTTGAAACTGATCGAAAGAGAAGAGACCCATGCAGATGTAGATGTTGCTGATATCTATAGCCAACTAGGTATTGTACTACAGCAAATGGGTGACCCAAACCAGGCCAGGGAGCATTTTATGCGTGCTCTAAATATCACGTTGAACGAGTTCGGACCCGAACATGTTCGTGTGGCATGTATTTACCATCACTTAGGTATGGTGCATCGTGCCTTGGGTGACCTGTTACAGGTCCTGAAGTATCATGAGCAAGCCTCAGAAATTTGTCTCAGAAAACTTGAACCTGAGAATATTGGTATGGCGAATACCCATCATCATCTGGGTAATGCACACTTTGAGTTGGGTAACCTGAAAGAAGCCAAGGAACATTATGATCGTGCTTTAGAAATCCAGCTAAAGAATGTTGGACCTGATCATGTTTATGCTGCGTTTTCTTATTGTAGCTTAGGAGATGTACATCGTGAATTGGGGAACCTAATAAAGGCAAAGGTGTACTATGAACGTTCTTTAAAAATTAGGCTGGAAAAGCTTGGACCCGAACATGTTGAAGTCGCGATTTCTCTCAACAACTTGGGTATCGTACACCGTTACTTGGGTGACCTAGAAAAGGCCAAGAAGCATCACGAGCATGCTCTAGATATTGAGCGAAAAAAGCGTGGACCCGACCACGTTTACGTAGCAAATACGTACCATCACTTGGGTGATGTACAGTATGACTTAAGAAACCTGCGGGAGGCCAAGATGTATTACGAACGTGCTTTACACATTCAACTGGAGAAGCTTGGACCTGATCATGTCAATGTAGCTCTTTTGTACTGCAGCTTGGGTGATGTAGAGCGTCAAATGGGTGACATGCAAAGGGCAAAAAAGTACTATGAACCTGCGTTGGACATAAAACTGAAAAAGCTTGGAACCAAGCATGTTCTTATCGCACGTACTCACCATCTCTTAGGTATGGTACAGCGTGCCTCAGGTGACCTACAGAAGGCCAAGAAACATTATTATCTAGCTTTAGACATAACAATGAACAAGCTTGGTCCCGATCACGTCACTGTCGCTGATACTCATAATGAATTGGGTAATGTGCAACGAGATTTAGGTGACCTGCAGCGGGCCAAAGGTCATTTTAAACGTGCTCTGGACATTGAATTGAAGAGGCTTGGACTTGAGCATGTTGACGTTGCACCTACTTACCATGAATTGGCTACGGTTCATCGACCTTACACTGAGATAAGAAACCCTAGACTCAAGAGGTTTAATTGCGGAGTTGACGATTTGGATTCTGAAGTTTCATCCGTTTATCGCGATGATGATTGCGCTAAATGCTGTACAATTTCTTGATCACATCTCAAAAGAAAGAACATTTCAAAATAGAGGACTAACAAGGGTGAGCGCTCATCTTAAACAACGCATTGTCTGGTCAAAGTATTAGAAACGTAAGCTTTACGCGTCTTAACTAAAGTCCCAGGGAGTAAAATTGAAAGCGGAGGTTGTAAAAAAGAAGACACAAAGGAAAACGTTCTTACGTTTAAAATATCTACGTGTAGCCGTACCCTCCCCTCGCCTAAGGTAAAACTTGCATGGCTAGTTCCCCTTCATGAATAAGTGCTTCCTTTATTGTTCTTACTACTTCCTATTTAACAAATATTTGCCTCAAGTGAAGTGAATATAGTCTAATAATCCCCAAGATAAATTGGAGGGGATTATTCAAAAATATTCCCTGAGCCTGTGGTAAATAATTGTTTAAGTATAATTGCTCAGG